CGTCTATCATAGAACCGTTGTTTATTAGTATACAGAATACTGATTTTTTTCAGAAGTAACTCATTTGTCAAAATTTATATGTAGCTGATTGTCGACGACATGTAAAGAAGATTTTTAACACATAGAACATCTGCTTTTGAAAATTTGGACAGATGACACTAGTTGTTGCTGTGAGTATTCCATATAGACAGATAATCCGATAGAAACTCTATTAGAGGATAAACAACATTAAATTGCGATAAACTTGGACAGATTAATATCAACTAAGTAGATTAGAGTACGAGAAAAAGATTGTTGTAACCATCAGAGAATGGGTTTCTTTGTCATTTTTGGTTAAGCTAAATAACCTAAATTGAAAAGATCTTTTGTCAAATCATTTCTGACATATTCGAGAGAGGAAAAGAAATGAGAAGGATGTAAAAGAATGTCTCATTGAGTAATAACTAAGAAAATATATCTCGCCGCTTTCTTCCACTGCGAGAACTATTGTTCAATCGATGAAATAATTGCATTTTCAAAGTAACTATTTTACTTGAGGCGATAGGAAAATACATGTGCAGACGGTTTCTTATCACGTAATGAAATGGTATCGAACCATTCTGTCTTCTCAATATCTAATCGAGATAAAAATGTCCCTCGATATTTTCGGATAGGATTTAGCCCTTTCAATCAATTCTCTCTTAATTAACAATATGGATTGTATAATTCACTGCCGGTAAAATAAACAAGTTAACGATTGTTTGGTATTTTATTCTGATTCGGTTGATGCGAGTCGGATGATGATCGACAATGTTGTATATTTATCTAGCAAACGACGTGATATAGGCTTATGATCCAAGAATATGGAAGATTCCATCTGTACAACTTCTTAAACTAATGAAACGCAGATGATCTCTATCGATCCGCGTGTATATGGTTTGTTATTCACTTGTTGTTCATGGTCAATCGATCAATGCTTCGAGATTTCGATCAATGACGATCAGTCTTGATTAACATTTTCACGATATCGTATCAATCGACTCGTATACACAATCATTAAGCGAAACTGCGGTATGATTCGTTGATAGATTCCCGTATATATAATATCCACATGACACATCATTATAGTTGATCGTGTCAAAAAATGTACCGTGACATTTGCGATATGGACTGTTGACAATATCCAGAAGACGAAAAGCACTCTATTTTAAAGATAAAACTCATCATTTACTTCGACTAAACAAGTTGCATTCTAATATTCAGTTTGTGAAGAGTAGGACGCGATTGATCTTGATTAGAACGATCTCATCTAGCACCAAATTAGCAGATAAACGAAGGATTGAACTAATGATGAAACCAGAACTAATGTGTGTTTTCGTTCATTGTAAGATCTTATCGATGACGCCAGCTACCCGTACTATTAACAACATAAAACCAACAAAGTGCGACATCCTTCGTCTATTATGAGATATAGGCGACACCCGGACAACAATCTATTTATGATTGAGGAAAAAAAGAATGTTTATGAAAGATTTTTCTCATTTTATTTTCATTTTTTCTTAATTATTTAATCCGAACTGCAAGATCTTTTGCATTCTCATCCATTTTGAACAACAACAACATCATAATAACACGCAAACAAATACACACACATATATAGCAGTCATTCGTTCGGTCGACAATGTCTATAGATATGTGTAGTTATTCTCGCAAATGATCACATGTTTTGTTTTCTTTCTCCGATGAAACGAGCTTTTTTTCGATCATCAACGGTCAGCTGATCCTTTAGTTGGATTACCTGAATACGAAAGAAAAGATTTCATCGAAGAAAAACAGAATTTTTGAGCGTAATAGTATTAGTTATCCAACAGAATGGCAACGAACTTGACACCTGTTGCATTTTCAAGGTCGAGAGATATGTTTGATTCTGTTTTTAGATTCATTGATTGTTTTGAAAACTCTTCATTGACAACTTTATTCAATAAAAACATGTGCTCACCATCACCTGGTAAACGTCGAATAGATACCGATGTGATTAGATTGTGAGTTTGTCTCTCAATCTAGTGAGATTTATTTACAGGAGTATTTTTTACGTAGAATTGAATCAAAACATCAAGTTACACTTATGTCGGGTTTAAACGAGTTTATGGTGAAGTTTGCTGGTCCTCGTGAAAGTAAGTGTCGTTCAATAATTGAGAGATGATGTATCAATCGGATGACTTTCTTCTTTAGCTCCATATGAAGGTGGTGTATGGAATATTCGAGTTGATCTTCCTGAAAAATATCCATTCAAATCGCCCTCCGTCGGTATGTACATGTGTATCAGTGATCTAGGCAATGAGATGATCATTTCACTAATTTTAGGCTTTATGAATCGAATCTTTCACCCAAACATTGATGAAATGTAAGAATTTTTCACTCTTGAGTTCGACAATGAAATTTCATGGGTATACTCATAGGTCCGGTACCGTTTGTCTCGATGTGATTAACCAAACATGGACGCCCATGTATGGTATGTTTAGAATGATTTTCGATGGACATGTCGGTGTCGATGAAAGTATTTCTAGATCTTGCTAATATTTTTGAATCTTTTCTTCCACAATTACTTGCCTATCCAAATCCGGTGGATCCGTTAAATGGTGATGCTGCTGCTTTATATCTTCACAAGCCTGATGATTACAAGAAGAAAGTTAAAGGTTCGTATTGGCTAGCAAACAGATGAATCCAATGATTGATTGATATCATTTGTAGAATATGTCCAACGTTTTGCAACTGCCGATATGGCTGATAGTTTATCATTATCAATAAATGGTCAGTCATCGTTGAACAGTTCATCATCGACTAGTACTTCGAATCAAACGAATAATTCGACGAACTCGAATCAAGCAACTAAAAACGAATCGGACGATGAAGTTCTAAGTGATTTTAGCGAAGATGAAGCTGCCGATATGGACTTAGAATAACTCATGTGTGGATAGCTTTCTTTCTAATTATTTTTTTGCAGTATATACATAGATTTGTTTTCATCTTTATTATTATCATTTCCTCTAAATACTATTCTATTTGTTTCACATTTGACTTTTCTAAGCGCGTCTCAATCGAGTTTCATGTGTGGAACAACATCATGGGAAGATAATAGACGGAAAAGATCCTCGAGTCTTTCCTCTTTGTTATTACCTTCCTTTCTTCGTCTTTGTACATAAACATATCTGTGCGCGTTCTTTTTCTTCTCGATCATTTACAAAGTACATACAGTATTTCTTTTTTTCTCTTCGTAACGATGCACACATAGATATCAGCATTATATTAGCAAGCATGTACATGCTTTCGCTCAGGTTGCAACTACTGTACTTTTTCATCCTTCCTTATCTTCTTCTTCTTCTTCTTGTGTATTTGTGTGCTGAACAGTTTTTCTTTTGTTTGTCTCTGTTTCAAATATCTTTGGATTGGTTCTTTGAAAGTTATCTCTCAAACCGAATTGCCTGTTCCTTCTACTTATATGTACAACTCTTCGCTGCTTTGTTTACCATATTCTATACATATACATAACCTAGTAAAAAGAGAAAAGCACAACGTAATACTTGGGCGTTTCTATTCTTTGCTGTCGATTGTGCGGAAACAAATGAGGGGAGTTCAGTTTGCTTGAATCTGTCATCATCTTTGCAGAAGAACAGCTGGACGAAGAGAGTAACGGACCTTGTTCTATCGTTTGGGTTTATTGCTTATTAATAGTTCATTCATGGGAGTTTTTGATTAAAAGCATTGATCGAGTACAATTTCCGGTGACTTATTTATTGATGAAACCATTGTTATCAACGTTTCGAGCACTTCGAAATCGATCTAGTCAAGATGTTTTCCTCGTCGACATTAGCATCATTTGCACGATTTACGTTTTCTTCATGCGAATATAGTTAACTAAGTCACGATTCCACTCGATCAATGTGTTATTTTGTTTACAAAACCTCTCGTGATAGCACATTTATCATCCTACTCGTTCTCTCTTTCATATATCAATCAAGATACGCCGAATTTCGCACAATTACTCAAACCACTTGATAAGATAACACCGTCGATTGAATAACAATCGAACGCAGACGTTGGTGGAGTTATTCAATTCGTGTTAAAGCTTTCTCTTTTAATTGAGGACGTTTTAATGGACGTATAGTGTTCACGAGAATGTACAAAATATAAAAAAATAAGATATATCAAAGAAGCGAAAACACGAGAAATCAAAGAGCCTTCAGACAACGAAAGAAAACACAAGAAAAGAAAAGAAAACACAACAATCATTGCACAAAGTTCACCAAATAAAGTAGATAGAGATATACTTAAAGAGAACAGATCTATTTACAAATAGAAGACATACAGATAATGTTCAATTAATATTTTTTAGAATAGAATTATCAAATAAGTTACAGACTTCGGTTTTGTTTCAATTATTCACTAAATAAATACGAATCATCACCAAANGATAGATATCCTTTTTGAGTGTCATTTTCAACTCTACTTACTTGTTTGATATGTTCAAGTGCACAATAGATACGTAAACTGTGCTCATCCATTGTAAAGGAAACAATAATGACAATGATGATGGCACAATTGCAATCAACAACTATAACAAGAAACATGCTTCTTGCCAAGCAAGCAAACCCAACTTGGGCTAAGTAAGTTGCTGCTCAAGACAAGAGAGCGTGGTCAGAAGAATATTGTCATATCTTTGTCAAAAACATAAGACAGAAATCAAAACGTATAATGATTGTTCGGATCAGAATTGCCTTATGGAAATCGTGATAATAGATAATCAAGGAAAGTATTGAACGAAAAGAAATGCGATGAAAAAAGAAGAGCAAGAAAAAAGAGAGATACAAAATCGAGAAGAAGAGCGGCATCGGGAAAAAAAAGAAGATGAAAAAAAATCTCTGAGCGATGATAAGAGCATAGAGACAGACGATCAGATTTCAATCACTATTTTCTCCCTTCTGTTTGTATTCTATCTTCTCTCGGACATGCTTTGTCTTCATCTAATGATGAGCTAGTTTGCAGATATTCATCATTGTTCTTACCTGTAAATGTGGTTCGAGAAGAATTTCGAGAAGATCATGAGAATTCGTCGATTTATCTGAATAGGAGCCCTGTTCTATTATTGAAATCATATCAGTAACTGTTTGCAATGCATTGAATTCAGGAGGACGATAGGGACGAATTTCATCAGAATTGATTCGATCGTACAACTAAGAAATAAAGAGAAGATTTGTGCTTTTGTTTGTTCAATAAACGATCATTTACTTCAAGTAATGTTTGCAATTGTTTATCTTCGAATAACTTCTGTAAGAAATCAAGTTCAACTCGATCACCGATGGTTAACCATTGCGTATCTTCCAACGAATCGAGTATTTGTGAAACGGCTAAACAAAAAGACAATGTCAATGATTTATCAATTCACATATCAATCACCTGTTAGATTTTTCATTTACGAATTAGAATACTTCGTAGAATTTTGCCCTATAAACCTCAAGGCACTATTACGAAAGGATCACTTGAGATGAAATATGAACAGAAATGTCATAGGAATAGATTGCTACCAGGATACATACTACAGATAGTAATCAAGAGCAAATGATCAAGTGTATATACGTGGCGAATACAGTAAAGAGATGGTTCGATATATATATATCGACGATTGAATGTTATATGCTTTAGAACAAACATCATTTCCATATGTTTGCCATCTTACCGTTGCATGTAATATTTTCAGAATGTGAACGACAACTATTACGAGGTTGATGATGATGATGATGATGATGATGATGATGAGAAAGCATACGCGTCTCGAAGCAATTAATCTACTCTATGAGTGTGTTTGTCTGTGTTCGGTTTCCTTCATTATTTCTTACATTTTCTCTAACATCCAACTCACAAGAAAGACAAGAGAGTAAGAAATTGCGGGGAATGAGAGAAAGAGAATAAGAAAGAATGCATTCCTTTTTTTCCTGTTTGTTCATTTTTACTGATGATTAAATGATGAGGGAATATACGTAGATAATTATCAAAATTTTTTACGTACCCGAGGATGCCATATCATCGAAATCATTGGGATTTGTAGTTGGTGATAAATCTCGTGTCATATTTCCTGATAAATTTGTTGCTGTCATCGACGAACAAATCGGTATTTGTGACCAAAGGGGACTCGACACTGCTGCTAGTACTACACCCTAATACACAAGAGCAAATATTGTTAGAAACAGAAAAGAAGAAAGGTGTTCAAATACGTTGGTTTTTCCTCCGCTAGAACCAATAGAGACTAGGCAAGTTTGGATAAAAACCTAGGTGAGGAAGAGAAGATTACCAGATGCCATAGTCGACAAAGAGAAAATCCAGAGATAATTTCTCTTGGAAGGAAATTTCAAGCTTTCTTTCTAGATTACTTTATAGAAATTGCCTTCATTTATAATGATATTGACAAAACAAGTGTTTTTCAAGCCACTGAGACGACTTCGAATAGGTAAGGGAAAAAAGAATCTTTTTCTCTTCACTAGAAGTTCCTAAGATGATGTTCGCAATATCTTCAGTAGAAGTTTTTCAATACGATGAAATTATTTAAAGATAGAATATGAAATCTTGAAGTTGTAGGGAAAATAGAATGTATTCACAATAAAAAGCTACATAATGAGTGAAGAAGAGAAAAAGCAATTTACCTTCAATTTACGACGAGCATTGAATTTGCGTAATTCTTCAACTGTATCAGGTAAATGTTTTCTCAATGCGAATTTTTCACGTTCCTGAAAAAGAAAACAATCAAAAATATTTCTCCATTGAGTGAATAACTATTCATTAGCCGTGATTAATCGAATATTGTTCGACTTTTCCTTCCCCAATAGGATTTAGCGCCGCACTTCTGTTATTATTAATGAAAGAGTCATCATTTTATAAAAAAGACATATGTAAACAGTGTGAAACCGAGTTTGGAGAAAAGAAGATAATAAAATTAGATGATAACAGTTATATTTATTATTTCCTTCTTTCTTTCTTATATTATCTTAATGAAACACATTTCCCTCTCTCTCTCTCGCATTCCCACTATATATATATACTGAACTTGTTCTCTTGTAGACAAGATTCTCTTGTCAATTTTTCTTCTACTTATATTTATATAGACAAAAGATTTCATCCATTATTCTCTTTTCTTTCCCTGTCATTCAAAAGAGTAGGAGAATCTAGTCAGTATGTGTATTTGTATACGTTGTATCTTCTTTTTTTAAGATCAACTACTTACAGTTAATGATACTCAAGTATCTGCTCTTTTCGTTTTTCATCTCGAAATCACGCATACGCTTCTTAGAATCGATCAAATTACTAAATATCACTATTTCAGTGAAATAATGTCACGATAGTGTATCTTTTCCCAAACAAAAGAAGGAAAGAAAACTCTAGTCCATTTTCTCTCTCTCCCTCTCTTAGTGGATCTCTTGTTCGCACTCTCCCATGAGATTATTGAGTTCTATTGACAGTGCATATGAAATTGATTCATACAGGATAATACATATTTGTTTAGAAACATTTGTTGAGATAACACACATTCAAAATCTTTTTGTAATAACATACGCATTACTGTTTATTAAGAAATTTTTATCCGATTATGTGTATTTTATCTATCGAAAGACGAGGAGCAAAGACGATAATCAGGTAATCGATGATAAACAGTAACTAATGCGTGAGAGTGTTTCTTTTTCCACTACCATGTCCCGTCTGCTATTATCTAATTAATAGAATCAACAAAAAGAAGCGCGTTTAAGTTTATCATAATATTTGTAAATGTCGTGCTTGAGAAATGCATTTGAGAAATTGTCCTGTTTTCATGTCGGACTGACATGAAAAGTCAACACAGAGATTTCATAAAGTTCAATTAGATCGACTTGCTTTATCTGTTCACTTACTCGAATCCATGGATGTGCAAGTGCGTCTTGTATTGTAATTCGTTCGTTTTGGTTCAGACATAATAGTCGAGTAACGAGATCTTTAGCGGATTCAGAAATATGTTCCCATTGTTTACTTTGCATCTGAATACGAAACGATACTTTTTAATTTTTATCCTTCCGATGAAGACTTACATTACAAACACCCTTCGTGATCATTTCAAAAACTCGATTTCTCGTACCAGCGAATGGTAAATTACCGGCGAGAAGAACATACAGCATGACTCCCAATGCCCACATATCAACTGGCCGACCGAAACCTGGTGATTCTTTATTTACTACTTCAGGTGCCATGAATGCTGGCGTACCAATACGACCTGCCTGTACGAATTCAGATTCAGGTAATTGTAGAGCAACACCAAAGCCTCCCAATTTAACCGGTGCAGCATTTTCCTTAGATGACAGTAAAACGCAATGAGGTTTTAAATCGCGATGAATGATTCCTCGTTCATGAATATATCGAATAGCTTCAAATATTTGACGCATATAATGACTACAGGAAATTAAAGGAAATGTTTGAAAGAAAAGGAAATGTTTAAGAGAGATAGTCACCTAGCTACAGCTTCACTGTATACAAAACCGGCGAGAGCACGCTTTTCAATCTCGAAACACAGATCTGATCCATCCATACTAGAAGAGAAGAAAAAACAGATCATATTCGAACTTATCGTAGTTCGTATCATTCGAGAACGTACTATTCGAAAACCATGAACAAACAACCTTCCGCTTCAAATGTCTCATAGAGTTCGACAATATGTGGATGCTTAAGACTTGCACAGATACTTGCTTCACGTCGTAGATCTAAAACATTTCCAGATGAAGAAAAAAAATCTGCCTTTAGGGAAAAGCTGATTAAATCTACCTTCAGCAGTAAATCCTGGTGTCGCAGTGAACTGTTCGACATCAATAATTTTCACAGCATATTGTTTATCGCCTGATTTATTCGTACAACGTCGGACTACACTGAATGGTCCCCTACACAATAACAAAAAGTAAAAAAGAGTGTTATTCAAATCATTGAAATCCCGACGGAGGGAAAAACATCGTATTCATACTTTCCAATAATCTCATACAGATTATATAAATCAGTAAAAGATGTAGTTGTTGTGTCGGTTTGTTCATCATTACCGGGTGTTGTCGTGGCTGTTTCTATATGCATGATGATAATCGACGAAACAACATCAATAGATGCTTATTGTCGATAATTCTAAGAAGAAGGAAGAAAAACATCGACCGATCAAATATATGTACGAAATTTTGAAGCACAACGATGAGTGACAAGATAATATGAATGATACGTTAACATTAGCTTTTGTCCTAGATAAGTGAGTGACTGAATGATGAACTCAATGCGACAAAACGACATACTAGCCATGCTTCGGAGAAAAAGGCTAATCAGGCTAATTTGATTGCATTTCCTATCATCCTAACATGACGGATCCGAACAAGCAGATGGAGCAACAGCAATTAGCTTTAACCAACTTGAAGAGAAAGAAAAAAAAATCGAGAGAGAAAGAGATATAAGAGAGAGTGTGTGTGTGTGTGGTGGAGAAAAGGACGAGAAAAAAAGTAAACAAATAACAAGAAACAGAACAAATGATTGATCTGACTGACAGATGCATCGGATTCGTCTATCATAGAACCGTTGTTTATTAATATACAGAATACTGATTTTTTCTGAAGTAACTCATTTGTCAAAATTTATATATAGCCTATTGTCGACGACATGTAAATAAGATTTTTAACATCTAGAACATCTGCTTTTGAAAATTTGGACAGATGACACTAGTTGTTGTTGTTGTTGTGAGTATTCCATATAGACATATAATCCGATAGAGACTCTATTAGAGGATAAACAACATTAAATTGCGATAAAACTTCGATAGATTAATATAAACTAAGTAGATTAGAGTACGAGAAAAGATTGTTGTAACCATCAGAGAATGCGTTTCTTTGTCATTTTTAGTTAAGCTAAATATCCTAAATTGAAAAGATCTTTTGTCAAATCATTTCTGACATATTCGAGAAAGGAAAAGAAATGAGAAGGATGTAAAAGAATGTTTCATTGAGTAATAACTAAGAAAATACATCTCGTCGCTTTCTTCCACTACGAGAACTATTGTTCAATCGATGAAATAATTGCATTTTCAAAGTAACTATTTTACTTGAGGCGATAGGAAAATACATGTGTAGACGGTTTCTCATCACGTAATGAAATGGTATCGAACTATTCTGCCTTCTCAATATCTAATCGAGATAAAAATGTCCCTCGATATTTTCGGATAGGATTTAGCTCTTTCAATCAATTCTCACTTAATTAACAATATGGGTTGTATAATTCACTGCCGGTAAAATAAACAAGTTAACGATTGTTTGGTATTTTATTCTGATTCGGTTGATACGAATCGGATGACGATCGACAATGTTGTATATTTATCTAGCAAACGATGTGATATAGGCTTATGATCCAAGAATATGGAAGATTCCATCTGTACAACTTCTTAAACTAATGAAACGCAGATGATCTCTATCGATCCGCGTGCATATGATTAGTTATTCACTTGTTGTTCGTCAATCGATCAATACTTCGAGATTTCGATCAATTACAATCACTCTTGATTAACATTTTCACGATATCGTATCAATCGACTCGTATATACAATCATTAAGCGAAACTGCGGTATAATTCGTTGACAGATCCCCGTATATATAATATCCACATGACACATCATTATAGTTGATTGTGTCAAAAAATGTACCGTGACATTTACGATATGGACTGTTGACAATATCCAGAAGAAGAAAAGCACTCTATTTTAAAGATAAAACTCATAATTTACTTCGACGAAACAAGTTGCATTCTAGTATTTAGTTTGTAAAGAGTAGAACGCGATCGATCTTGATTAGAATGGTCTCATCTATCATCAAGTTAGCAGACAAAACGAACGCTTGAACTAATGATGAAACTAGAATTAATGTGTGTTTTCGTTCATTGTAAGATCTTATCGATGACGCCAGCTACCTGCACTATTAACAACATAAAACCAACAAAGTGCGACATCCTTCGTCTATTATGAGATATAAGCGACACCCGGACAACAATCTATTTATGATTGAGGAAAAAAAGAATGTTTATGAAAGATTTTTCTCATTTTATTTTCATTTTTTCTTAATTATTTAACCCGAACTGCAAGATCTTTTTCATTCTCATCCATTTTGAACAACAACAACATCATAATAACACGCAAACAAATACACACACACATATATATATATAGCAGTCATTCGTTCGGTCGACAATGTCTATAGATATGTGTAGTTATTCTCGCAAATGATCACATGTTTTGTTTTCTTTCTCCGATGAAACGAGCTTTTTTTCGGTCATCAACGATCAGCTGACCCTTCAGTTCGATTACCTGAAGACGAAGGAAAAAATTTCATCGAAGAAAAACAGAATTTTTACGCATAATCGTATTAGTTATCCAACAGAATGGCAACGAACCTGACACCTGTTGCATTTTCAAGGTCGATAGATATGTTCGATTCTGTTTTTAGATTCATTGATTGTTTCGAAACCTCTTCATTGACAAGTTTATTCAATAAAAAAACATGTGCTCACCATCACCTGGTAAACGTCGAATAGATACCGATGTGATTAGACTGTGAGTTTGTCTCTCAATCTGATGAGATATATATTTATAGGAATTTGTTTCATGTAGAATCGAATCAAAACATCAAGTTACGCTTATGTCGGGTTTAAATGAGTTTATGGTGAAGTTTGCTGGTCCTCGTGAAAGTAAGTGTCGTTCAATACTTGAGAGATGATGTATCAATCGGTTGACTTTCTTCTTTAGCTCCATATGAAGGTGGTGTATGGAATATTCGAGTTGATCTTCCTGAAAAATATCCATTCAAATCGCCCTCCGTCGGTATGTAGATGTGTATCAGTGATGTAGACAATGAGATGATCATTCCACTAATTTTAGGCTTTATGAATCGAATCTTTCACCCAAACATTGATGAAATGTAAGAATTTCTCATTCTTGAGTTTCGCTATGAAATTTCATGGGTATACTCATAGGTCCGGTACTGTTTGTCTCGATGTGATTAATCAAACATGGACGCCCATGTATGGTATGTTTAGAATAACTTTCGATAGTCATGTCGATATCGATGAAAGTATTTCTAGATCTTGCTAATATTTTTGAATCTTTTCTTCCACAATTACTCGCCTATCCAAATCCGGTGGATCCGTTAAATGGTGATGCTGCTGCTTTATATCTTCACAAGCCTGATGATTACAAGAAGAAAGTTAAAGGTTCGTATTGGTTGGCAAACAGATGAATCCAATGATGGATTGATATCATTTGTAGAATATGTCCAACGTTTTGCAACTGCCGATATGGCTGATAGTTTATCATTATCAATAAATGGTCAGTCATCGTTGAACAGTTCATCATCGACTAGTACCTCGAATCAAACGAATAATTCGACGAACTCGAATCAAGCAACTAAAAACGAATCCGATGATGAAGTTCTAAGTGATTTTAGCGAAGATGAAGCTGCCGATATGGACTTAGAATAACTCATGTGTGGATAGTTTTCTTTCTAATTATTTTTTTGCAGTATATACATAGATTTGTTTTCATCTTTATTATTATCATTTCCTCTAAATACTATTCTATTTGTTTCACATTTGACTTTTTCGAGCGCGTCTCAATCGAGTTTTATGTGTGGAACAACATCGTGGAAAGATAATAAAAGGAAAAGATCCTCGCATCTTTCCTCTTTATTATTACCTTCCTTTCTTTATCTTTGTACATAAACATATCTGTGCGCGTTCTTTTTCTTCTCGATCATTTACAAAGCACATACAGTATTTCTCTTCGTAACGATGCACACATAGATATCAGCATTATATTAGCAAGCATGTACATGCTTTCGCTCAGGTTGCAACTACTGTACTTTTTCATCCTTCCTTATCTTCTTCTTCTTCTTCTTCTTGTGTATTCGTGTGCTGAACAGTTCTTCTTTTGTTTATCTATGTTTCAAATATCTTTGGATTGGTTCTTTGAAATTTATCTCTCAAACCGAATTGTCTATTCCTTCTACTTATATGTACAACTCTCCGCTGCTTTGTTTACCATATTCTATACATATACATAACCTAGTAAAAAGAGAAAAGCACAACGTAATACTTGGGTGTTTCTATTCTTTGTTGTCGATTATGCGAAAACAAATGAGGAGAGTTCAGTTTGCTTGAATTTATCATCATCGTTGCAGAAGAACGGCTGGACGATGAGGGCAACAAACCTTGTTCTATCGTTTGGGTTTATTGTTTATTAAAAGTTCATTCATGAGAGTTTTTGATTAAAAGCATTGATCGAGTACAATTTCCGGTAACTTATATTTATTGATGAAACCATTGTTATCAACGTCTCGAGCACTTCGAAATCGATCTAGTCAAGATGTTTTCTTCGTCGACATTAGCATCATTTGCACGATTTACGTATTCTTCATGCGAATATAGTTAACTAAGTCACGATTCCACTCGATCAATGTGTTATTTTGTTTACAGAACCTCTTGTGATAGCACATTTATCATCCTACTCGTTCTCTCTTTCATATATCAATCAAGATACGCCGAATTTCGCACAATTACTCAAACCATTCGATAAGATAACACCCTCAGTTGAATAACAATCGAGCGCAGACGTTGCTGGAGTTATTCAATTCATGTTAAAGCTTTCTTTTTTAATTGAGGACGTTTTAATAGACGTATAGTGTTCACGAGAATGTACAAAATATAAAAAATAAGATATATCAAAGAAGCGAAAACACGAGAAATCAAAGAGTCTTCAGACAACGAAAGAAAAGAAAAGAAAAGAAAACACAACAATCATTGCACGAAGTTCACCAAATAAAGTAGATAGAGATATATACTTAAAGAGAACAGATCTATGTACAAATAGAAGACATACAGATAATGTTCAATTAATATTTTTTAGAATAGAATTATCAAATAAGTTACAGACTTCGGTTTTGTTTCAATTATTCACTAAATAAATACGAATCATCACCAAAACCAGACGAAACATCGGAAAATAATCGTATGCGGGTAAAATCCAAGGACAAATTTTCTGCTTGGCGATCATTCTGGAAGGAAAACAAAGTCATAGAGTGAAACAGAAGAGATAATTGAAAAAAGTTTCACTTACTTGGCTGCTGACAGAATCTGAATAAGTGTTATGTCGACGAATTGAAATGGGAAAGAAACGAGATCGATAGCAAATATTAGCTTTTGACAAAGAATTTGTTTCGTAGCCATCGTCCAATGGTGATGTTTGTATTCCAGCTAAACGAAGTAGATCTGGTGTACGGAAATCCTCCTCGCTGACACTTTTTCTATTCTTTTTCGTTAATTTATCGTCAGATGAAATAGTTGTCGAAGATACCGGTTGAGAATAATGTTCGAGCAAATTAGTCGATCGTCGAAGTGGTTGAACACACAAATATTCTAGAACACGTCATTTGAAAAAACCCGAATTTCACCTCCAAAAGGTTTACTTTGTTGATTCCATGGCGAAGAATTCGTTTTGTTCATCGTTGCTGCAAATTCGACTTTTAACTTGCGTCCTTTTAACATAGCGCCATGCGTTTCTCGGCGTGCTCGTTGCGCATCGTCCGTATGAACAAAGCGCACAAATGCATAGGATTCGTGGAATTTCGCGCATTCGTCAATCAAACCATACGGAGAAAAGAATCGCCAAAGATCACGTTGAGTAATACGTGCAGCCATATTTCCAACAAACAATTTATGTTCATCCATTTGCGCCGAAAACGAACGGTTAGTTATGCGAGGAAAAAGAAAGAATAGAAATTAACGATGTACTTATTCAAGATGTTTTCGAATCGAAATGAAGAAGATCAGAACTGACGAGACGACGATTGATTTCTTGGTCGAATTTTATTTCAATGAATGGACGTCCATGACGTAAACAGACATATACAATGAAAAGAATGATAAAAAAAAAAAGAAAATACTAATCGACAGAAAGATTTCATCGGACGAATCAAGTGTTTTTATTTCGAAAATAAACAAAATTTTCTCAAGTGACAAGCATCACATTATCGTTTGTTATGTCTTCCGTTGTTTCTTGATAGATGCGATCATGATAATGTCGCAATGGTATCATATGATAAACAGGTCGAAAACTAAAATAAATGGCGAAAAGTTTGAAGAAGAAAATTTCTGGATGAATTTACTTGGTAAACTGATATTTTCGTTGTTTGTCGAGACAAACTAAGAGAAGAACAAGAAAAACTAATAATAATACAATTGAAATTATAGTCATTAGAATGAAAAATAGATTGTTCGATGAACACGATGGTGAATTGACTGTATTCAATGAAATTTCTTGTTCTTGTTCATTGAGACAACTAAACGAATGAGATATATTATGACAATGGAAAACAAATGAAAGAAATATTTACATAACATCGGTCATGTTTTCGATTTTTAAGAATTCGTTCACCCATCGTAGTGAACATGAATGACAACGAAGTGTTTGACTAGTTATATCAAGACTATCGAGTTGTTTCATGATTAACAATGGACGAAAGACTGATTCATCGAATGTTTTCAAATGATGATTACTTAAATTGAGCTAATAAGCGAAGACAAATGACAAATGGAATTTCTTCTTGATTGATATCAACTTACCAGTCTTAAGTTTATCAATTTTTTGAATAAACAATTCTTCAAACGAACAGATGCTAAATTTGCCAAAGACAATTCTTCTAATTGTATCAGATTCTCAAATAATGAACATGAAAGATCACTTGAAAGTCCATCCAGATATAAAATCTTTAAATTCGAAGGAAATATCGGTTGTTTTTTTAACTGAATTTGTTTCACATTCAACGGATTTCGAGATAGATCGAGTTCGTTCAATTGTGGAGTTGATCGAAAGAAATCAACGGAAATATTAACAAAAGCATTTTCATCAAGTTGAACTTTAGTCAATGATGGTAAAGTAAAGTTCAATGGGGATAAATATATTAGTTGATTCGAGTGTAGATCTAATTCAGTTAGGTTCGACATTTGTGTTAGACAATTTCCATCAAAAACGTGTAATTTGTTGTTACGTAAGGAGAGTTTCTTTAGATTTATTGGTAACCTCCATTGAATATGTTCGGTTGACTTCGAGCAGAGAAATTCTTCGAAATGATTATCGTCGAAATAGATTTCGCTCAGCGAATTTAATAACGAAAATGAAAGAAAATGTTCATCGATGATATACAGATTGAGATGCTTCAACGCATTGACGAATTTGAGAACTTTCAAGCGAGGAAATAGCAGATTAGAAAAATAATTTCGAGTTATATGTTCGATCGGATTGTGACTAAGATCAAAATATTCCAAATTCGGATAACTTAAGTTCGTTTGATGCAGCGCATAGATTCGATTGGAGGTTAACGAAAGAATTTTAACTGTTGAATAACTTCTCGTAATCAATTCGATATGATTATGGTCTAAGTATAGACTTTCCAATTGTTTAAAATTCGACAAATCTGGTAAATCAAATAATTCGGAATAGACGATCGACAATTGCGTCATATTCGAAAAGTTCGAGTACGACGAAATCGTTGAGTTTGCACAAAACACAACAGTCGAATTGTCTCCGGAAAGAGAACATTCCTTGGCATAGATGAGAATAAATAATTGAAGGAAATATACCAACGTCGGTTTCATGTCGACGATTGTCTTGCAATGCTCGTCGTTATTTATACAGGCAAACTTTGCTGATAATCAATGGTTAATCAAGCATCCTCTAAAATAATAACATTACGCTATTCTTCGCCGGCCGAGTATAAATAGATAGACAAGGCAAAACCAATAAGTTCTATCTACACAACATCTGTGTTAATATTTCACGCAAATAGAACGATGACATTGTCGAAAAATGAAAGAAATATTAATTAAAAATAAACAAAGAACGACGAGATTTCGAGAAGTATGTTGGAAACGCTTCTAATTGATCGGGTGACAAAAACCTAGGGACGAAGAGAGAGAGATAGAGAGAAAATAAACAACTTCTTGCGTCCTCTTCTTAAGTAATTCGATACATACGACGCTCAGATAGATCGTCAAGGAAGTGTCTGATTTGTCGCTTTTAGTTATTGACTAATTTGTCAGGAAGGAAAGAGTAATTGCTTACAGCTTGTCGATAATTTATTGATTAGAATAATATTCTTTCTAAACAAATATCAGTCGCTTTTCATATCATTACTTTACATTTGACTCGCGTGGAATAATCATTAGAAAAGAAAACATGCGTTTCTAATCAATGATTGGCAGATGAATATATTCGACAAGCAAAGAATAGGTCTCTCCAGAGATCTTCAAACAAATTTGACTTTCTCATCGATTTCTAATTAATTTTGAACTATCCGGGCGACTTATAGAATAATGACCTCACATGATGTTCTTCTTGAAAGAGAAGTTTGCAATGAAACTATTGAAAAGCAAAGCGCGAGACAAGTTCGGTGAATGTTTGACTAGGAGAATTAATTACTCTGCATATTCCTAGAGGAAATCGATTGTGCAGCATTATCTATTCATAGTTTTCGAACAAAATATTGTATTAAAAATGGCCTAGATCAGTTGATTTTAGCATATTGTCGGTGGTGTCAATCAAGTTGATTTCTTCTTGACGAATCTTCTTTTTTATCAAGTGAAGAACTTGAATAGAACAAAGGACACAAAAGAAAAAGTTAGTTCGTATGAGAAAGAGAGTGAACAAAACAAATTTGACGGCGACGAAGAAAAGCAAACTTTAACAAAAGAAAACGAAAGTTATTGACTGAAGTTTTTTTGTTTTGAATAATAAAATGTGTGCGCCAGTTTGGTCTTCTTGATGGAATATTTACAGTTTGCTCTTGGAAAACGAAACACGAAGATGCATGGAATCAGCTAGACGATAGTTATGGGTATTCTAAAGAGAATCAAACAAATCTAAATGAGATAAGAACGTGAGAAGCATCATTACAATCAACGCCGCAATCGTTTCTTCAATGGTATCCATTTCGATCAATGCCATTTTGTGATCTTTTTCAAAGAATTTGAATCGTTTGATAGTACCATATTGAGAGAATATGTTTCGAATCTCGTCTTCGGTGGTTTCACTTCTAAAAACTGATCGTATTTATCGAGTTGGGAGAACATGAGTTAGAACGTACGGTATATTGGATAGATGAAGAACATTTCCAGGCGGGTGAATATTATTGTAGTTTTTCGAGCCTGGCTTTTTGAATCGATGTAATGGAGAATTCGTGAAATCTTTCGTTAAACCCATGTCCTGCACAAAAACGAAGTTCTATTAAATATTTCTGAGGAAAAATTATCCGTTATACCGAAGAGCCGTCTTTAGGCATTTGGACGAATTGATGTTTGGAAAAAGAAACTTTAATTTGTTTGCCGAACATATTTATATGATCGAGATTCTGATGGGCTGATGAGAAAGACACAAAAAGATCAACTGAGAAGATTTCTTATCGTGGTATACATACCAACAAGTGCTTGTTGTGGCGTGGCAAATTGAATCAATGCGGAATCTTTCTTATTAAATAAGATCTTTACCCGATGCACATCACCATAGACACCTAAGAGTAAATTGAATGTCAAAAATTTGTTTTTCACAATTGATTTTCAATCTTTTCTCGAAATTCACATTGAGTTTACCGAAGAATGTTTAGAAAGTGAAATGTTCGATAGAAATCACAGAAAATAAGAATGATGTTTCTATGTTGGTTTTTCACTTTCTATGTCAATCTTCACGTATGTTTGTGTTCCAGCTAAAAGATCTGAGCTATGATTTGAAGAGTGAAAATATAGAAAAATGAAAATATTCATTGAGTTTTCGTAAAAGAAAACAACACTAAATAATAATAAAGTATGAAAAGAAAGAGAAGATAACACATACCGAATAGTGTGAATAAAGACTCTGGAGTCGTCATCTAATCGTCCGGTTGAGAAAAATAAAGAAAAAAAAGAGAAAATAAAGAAGAAACGAATAGAAAGAATCAAATTTCAAAAATTACTATCGAACAGACTAGTTGAAAGAAAGATAGAAATGAAAGATGTTTCTATCTTATCTTTTCAGGAGACTGGAATATTCCAAAAGATCTTCTTCTCCTTTTTCTTGTTTCAACTTACGTTTTCATTCAAATTCGATACTAATATAACTGGACCGTTTTGAACCGACATCATGTGTGGATTTTGTTGTTGAGCTTGTTGATGAAGAGCATGCATATGCGCACTGGCGGCAGACGCATGACCATGTGGTAATCCATGCATAGGTGAAATTTGATGATGAGCAGACCCATATGGATGACCGTATGGAGACGGAGGAGGTGGAACACCTGGCACTGAACCATAGGCATTTGATGGAGGTTGTAATGGACTCATCAAATGACTAGCACCACCTAAATACCGAGGAATAGAATTGTTTTCCTCTTTTGAATATTGTCGCATACCTTGCATGTCATAACTGGGTGTGCCAGGTGTTGACGGTGGCCTACCACGACCAGCAGCAGCTCCGTAGTAATCTAATAGTTTTCAAAATGAAATAATGCAGGTTTCAAAAATAAGCCTGAACTTTTACCGTAACGATAGTCTTCATTGGAACCTGATCTTTGTAATGAAAGAAGATTAGGATTTGAATGCATACGATCTATAAACATGGCGAGATAAACTTCTCTGAAATGAATCTTTTTCCATACATATACCTAAATCATGTTGCTGTTGTAATGCATGACCTTCGCCTGCTGGTAAAGTCGGGTTGGTATAGTCTCGACTCTTATCATTGTTAAATTTGACGGTCAGTGAATGTAGTTTCGAATATTCAATTTGAAGCTATGATTCATAAGTTTGCATTCAAGTTTATCCAAGAATCTTCTACTTACTGTACAACAACCATTGTAAATGTTTTGACCATGTAGTTGCTAAAAATGAAGTACTACGATGCAAAACGTACTTAGCGTTATTGACGATCTTACCAATTTTGCTTGTGCAGCTCCATTAGGATCTTTCGTTTGGATCAAAGCTTGGAATTTATCTACGATGAAAAATTCAACTTATTTCATTTCCATTCAATCGCTGTCATTACCATTCTTAGTAAATGTTATGATTTTTAAGATAGTACCAAATTTGCCAAAAATCTAACGTAAGAAGAGAAAAAAGTATCGACTGAAAGTACAAGACTTTGTCCTCTTACTTGGTACAAAACATCGATTGTAACAGGATATAACATGTTCATGATGCTAACACGCAAGACACAATTCGGTCCGCCTTTTTGCGCTGTTTCATAGAGATCAGTTGCTTGTGCCAATGCTACATGTGCTTGTTGATTAGTTCGATTTGTTGGATCAGTGCGAAGCTCTCCATGATTGGAAAATTGTGCGAAGATTTGTCGACCATTGAGCATAGCTGGTGCCGAGGAAAAATAATCAACCATTTGTTTAGCAGAATCCGTTAGATCGAATTCGAGAAAAGCCTACAAGAACTTGTTGACAATCATAAAATCAAGAAAAAAAAAACCAATTACCTGTGCTTTTTTACGTAGATTCAAAAAATTTGTTACTCGACCGAATGGAAGGCCAAGTTGAACAACTTCAAGATCGCTTGCTTCAATATTTCTTACGTGAACAACACGGGAAGGCAATGCAGGTTCTGAACGGCTCTAGTTTGAAAGGAACAGTACAGTGATAATAAAAAATCATCTTATGGATAAATTTGTACTTTTTTTGCGATATCAGGTATTTGAGAATTTAAGGTGCTGATGCCGTCGCCATTGGCATCAAATTCATCATTTGAAAATGTACGCTAGACAAAAGATGAATAATGTAATAGAAAAAGGAGAAGTCGAATGTCTACCTTCATGTTGATCTAGAAAAGAATAAATACAACGTTATATTTCGAGGTGTAACAATTGAAAATGAAATCATACTTCGCTTGAGCACAGACGCAAACACAAGTCTGTTAGCTCGTATGTCGATGTTGCTTGAAACGTTTTGAATTGTTTCTATTCTACACCTATTATTATTGCCCTCGAATTAAATAGAATCTCAAATTCAATTTGAATTCTTTTTTTCGTTGTAGGAACGGATACGAACAGAAAGAACTATATCGTAAAATCTATAACTTGATCTTTCTTCATTGTTTACCAATAATAATCACCCGTATAGGGAAAACCAACCAATCAGAAAAAAAGTAACTAATATTCGTAGGATTTTACATTTATTAATGAAAACAACATATTTTTTTACAATGAATTTCTTTTGAGATATTATTGATTTTTTTTCGTAGAACCATTTTATCAGCTGTCTTGTGATTTGTTGTTAATTTGAACCAATTAGATTTGCATGTGAATCACTATGACTGCCTGTGTTTATCGGGAATGTTTGAGACGCCAATACGATGAGAAAATAATTGCTCATTTGATAGAATTAATAAACATTTTCAGTTATTATATAGAATCGAATGATGCTAGATTATAAGCAGTCAATGTCTTTGTTTGAAAATGACTTACAGAAGACAAATAGTCAGCGGAGTATACTTTACTTACTCATTAGTCACAATATAATCAGATTTCTTTTGTTCTTTTATTTTTAAATAAGAATATTTTTTACATTTATGACTGATCCACCTATGAAAAAGAAAAATCTCGTTACAACTTATGAATCAATACATCGACAAGCGATGAAAGTTGATTGTGACAAAAGAAAGCGTTGGGCGAAATCCATATTAGTACTAGATATAATAGGCACACACAAATGCGTAAGGATTATGTTAGCTTTCTTTCCTACTAATGTTCCGTGTTGCTTAATAATCTCAACATCATCGTTATTATTTAAAGATAGATATGATTTGTAAGGATACAAAAGAATTTTCCCAATGTTCCCTCGAAATCCAAGGGCACTTAGTAAAGTGTCCTGTCCACATTCTACTTGCTCTATACAACTTGTAAATAAGTGTGTACAACAGAATCCATACACACTCTGTGCAGTTATCATTGAAAATACTACTCATATTCACATAACGTCGACAGACAGAGTATTTAAAACCAATGGTGACGGAATAGAATAGATGTCACGATATAGATTTTGATTGGTTTCTTATTGATCACCCTTTTGCCAGTGCGTGTGAGGAAGAAGAAGAAGATTCTCGTTTCTTTGTTCTGATTAATTTCTTATTCAAATACGTACTCAAAAATTATTAATATCATTTTCTCTTAGATGGAACCTAATAACAAGGACGAGATTTTAAGCAACTTCATTGCTATTACGCAGTGTCCAAGCGAAGAAGCAACACGCTACTTAGAGGCTGCTCAATGGAACGCCCAAACAGCCATGGAGATCTTTTTTGATAATGGTGGTTCAGAAGCTGGTGTACCAATTCCCACAACACACACAGTCCCATCTGCAGCGAATACTAATCAAGGTTCATCAGGTCAGTATCTATTGATTTTCATTAACTATTTTCGATCAAAGTACTTGAATTTTATTCAGAGCCAATAGCGTCTGGTGGAACTGGCGGTTATGAATCAGATGATGAAAGTCCTATGCAATCAGCTATTGAAGAAAGTCTTCGAGCGAATGCAAGTGCAGAAAAATCGACTGGAGATACAAGCAGAAAACCAGTAGTGCCTCCATCTAGATTCGGTACTATCGGTGGTTTACAACACGAAGAAGAAGATTCTGACGAAGAAGGTTGTTAACACGTAGTTTGTTGTGATAAAAAGTTTAATCAATGTGTTTAGGTCAAGCTTTCTATGCTGGTGGTTCTGAACGTAGTGGTCAACAAATAATTGGTCCAGCCAAACCTAAAAATAACGATAAAAATGTAACGAAAATCTTTGAATCAGCTCGCAAACAAGGTGCCATGGAAGCCGATGATGACGATGATCAAGACGGTCATTCTTCACGGGCGAAAAAGGAGAAAGCATTCGGCGGTGTTGGATATAGTTTAGGCGACGATTCGACGCCTTCACGTACTTTCGGTCAACCATCAGCAGGCGCAACAGCAGCAGCTTCCAATCGATCAGAGCAGTTACCACTTCGATTCTATTCCAACGGATTTACTATTGGTGATGGTGAACTACGTAAATTCGACGAAAACAAAGAATTCATGGATCACATCAAACGTGGTGAAGTACCACCTGAACTCAGGAGTTTATCAGCAGGCGGACGCCAAGTCGAGGTAATTAATATCATTACAACATATGACACTAATCTATTGTGCAATTCTCTATACAGGTACGTCTTGAAGATCATCGTGGCGAAGAATATAAACCACAAGCGCCGCAATTCAAACCTTTTGGTGGTGCCGGTCACATGCTAGGCTCACCAGCTCCAAATGTTAGTCAATCAACAACTACAGGTCCCGTTCCTTCTAAATCCTCCATGGCATCGAGTAGTACTACAGTATCAACGACTACGGATTCAGATCGTCTCGAGAAACTTGCTGAACAGCAATTAAAATCATCCTCATCATCAACGACAATTCGTCTTCGCTTACCAGATCTTTCAACTCCTGTACGGATTGCGATTGGTTTAGATCGTACTTTAGCCGATGTTCGTAAGCTTCTCATTGAAAATGTTCCCTCACTTCAATCCAGTCAATTCGAATTCATTGAACCACCTTCGACAAAAATCAAACGTGAAGATGAATCAAAAACAGTTCGCGATGCCAAACTAACCAATGCTACGCTCGCTGTCCGTCGAGCTACATAAGACCATTGAACATTTATCTTTATTCACGAAAAGAATTACTACATTATGACGGATAAGTTTTTTCTTCAATTTAACACTCGGTTTCTTTTTATTTCGTCCTGTTCTTTCTTTTCTTTAAATAAAAAAAACAAGCTGTAAGCAAGGATAAACATGTCTACTATAATGATGAATCATTCTGATGCAATCCTTCTAGATTCATTGTATTGCAATACTTACATGTGGTTTTGCAATACGTTATTCAGATTACTTTCATCATCATCAATTTATTCGAATAACAGCTCGAGACTAAATCGAACACTAAAAAAGTCTCATTATTATTCATTCAACACGGTCATCATGATTATACTGAAAATCAAATCTTTCTAGATTGTCAAAGATGGCTCAACAGACAGCTGATCAATCGAATCTCATTACAATAGATGGATCCTATTTAGAAGGGGTATGATAAGACTTCACCGAGCTTGAAATTAGAAGATTTGACATGAGATTATATTTTTTTTTAAAAAGGGTGGTCAAATTCTTCGTAATTCGACAGCATTGAGTGTTCTACTCGATATTCCTATTCGAGTTGAAAAAATTCGTGCTGGTCGAGCGCAAGGTGGTCTACGACCTCAACACCTTACTGGTATACAATTGTTAGCTCAATTGTCTGAAGCTAAACTTCACAATGGGAATATCGGTGCGACTGAAATATATTTCACGCCAAAAACTATCAAAGGCGGCAATTATTTAGCTGATACAAAAACAGCTGGGTATGTTGATTACATACAAATATTTGTAAGATGATTGAACAGCAGAGAAATCTGTTTATTTTTATCAGAAGTGTCTGTCTAATGATGCAAACTGCAATTCCATGTTTATTGTTTGCTAATGGTTCATCTCATTTAAGATTACTCGGAGGAACAAACGCAGACTTTGCACCAGAAATAGATTATTATTCGATGGTAGAGTTTTTTTTATATGAATATAATCGAAAATGAAATCTTCTTTGCGTGTTGAAAATTAGGTTTTCCAACCAATTGCCAAACGGTTCAATTTCGGTTTCGATATGAATTTAGTTCGTCGGTTCGTAAAAATATTTACTTTCTTTCGAACATCATTGGTTGTACTGGAGTCGTTTTCAGAGGTTATTATCCAAGAGGTGGTGGCGAAGTTCGCATCACTGTGAATCCCGTTGATCAACTAGTAGCTGCTGATTTAACAGATTTTGGGCAGATTAAACGATTTTTTGGTCGAGCTTTCGTTTCCGGAACGTTACCTAAACGAGTAGAAATGTTTTTCAACTTACGAATAGCATTATGTTCTTCTATATGTCGCTAGATTGCTCATGAAATGGCTGAAGTTGCTAAAAACTTGATACATAAGCAATATTCCAACGAGATTGCTGTAGAAATTGAAGTTGTCAAGGAGCCTGATAATATGGCTACCGGATCGGCAACTGGTATCATGTAAGGCAACATATGGAACAAGAAAGAATAAAATAAGCGGAAAAACGTTCTTTATATGCATAGAGTTGGAGCTGAAACGACAACAGGTTGTATACTCGCAGCAAGTGCCTTGGGTAAACGAGAAGTACCAGCACATGAAGTTGGTACACAAGCAGCACAAGACTTGTTAGAAGATTTATCATCTCAAGCATGTGTAGATCGACATTTACAGGATCAAGTTTGTTCTCGAGAGGATTTCTGCTGGATAAATGTGCATGATTGATATTCTAGTTGATTATTATTATGGCCTTGGCAAATGGTCATTCGAAAATTCGTTCTGGTCCATTAACAGACCATACGAAAACAGCGATTGCTGTTGCTGAACTATTAACTAAAGTATGTTGCAGTAAATACTTATCCGTGAATAATCAATTCTTCTTTTTTTGAAGACTAAATTTACAGTTACCGAAGTATCAAATTCAGCAACAACGAACACACATAATTCTGCGTTTATCATTGAGTGTGATGGGATAGGACATCGGCGAATAGTATAAATTCATGCATTCTCCGTTGATTGATAAAACTTGCCTCATTCTTTATTGTTTTTAATCGGCAACAAACAATTCTATGTTTTCTAGATCGATGTCTGAAACGAAGTGAAGACTTGACAAGGCACTTCGATCATTTTTCAGAAATATACAGCCTCATATACAAACTAATATGGTAGAATTATACTTCTCACGACGATTTGCGTAGGCATATTCACTTACAGATAGGAGAAATATTATTTACTGGATATGATATATCTTGACGGGTGATACTTCAAATGCAACTACGAAAATACGAATAGAATTTCTAGGCTTTTGAATACTTTGTCTGCAGATTCACGGAATATCACTTCGAAATTCTTCATTCTTGATAAATTCACGAACGCTATTCTCAATCGAATTTGTATCGAAAAACAGTATCACCAAATAAGATTTTGTCTAGCCTGCATGTTGCATTCCAAGACAAAGACAAAGACAATGAGATAAGGTTAATAATGAAATCTCGACTCTATTTCCTATATGAACCACTATTCGCTATTCTTCACTCTTTTTTATTGTAATAATCTTATATCCTTCTCTCGTAGCAAAAACTTCATGTATTCCCAATGTTCAATATCGCATATATATATATAACCCGGTTCTTTCTTCTGCTCTAGATAACTATTTATAGGTACAAATGCCTGTCAAAGAAATAAACGATGGTGATTTGAAAAAAGAGTTAGAAAAAGCCGGTGATAAACTCGTGCTCATCGATTTCTTTGCTACATGGTAACTCACTGTCGATCAATACCATTTCGATTCCATCTTCCTTATGTATAGGTGTGGCCCTTGTAAAAAGGTCGCCCCAATCATTGAGAAGCTAAGTGAATCTTATCCGAACGCTGTTTTTCTTAAAGTGGATGTTGATCAATGTGAAGTAAGTCAGTCATCTTGTTTGTCTTCCTCATCACGAGTATCAATACTCCTAGACTGAAGCTCGTCAATATGAAATCAGTGCAATGCCAACATTTGTATTCATTCGTAGTTCAAAAGAATTAGAACGTATTCGTGGTGCTGACGTAGATGCGATTGAGAAAACGCTTACTAAACATTACAAAGCAACAACAGCATTTGGAGGTGAAGGTCATTCTATGTTAGAAACCAGTACAGCAACTGCGGCCGTAACGACTGAAACCGATCGTGAACGTTTAGAAAAAGCAGCACAAGAACTGTTCGGCAAACCAAGCCAAGAACAAACGATGACAACGCTTCGTCTTCGTTTGCCTGATATATCAACTCCTGTTAATATTCGATTGAGCACAGATCGAACATTAAACGAAGTTCGTCATTTGCTTTGTAGTACAATAAGTTCGTTTGAAACGAATCCGTTCGAATTTATGGAACCGCCCGCGACGAAAATTAAACTCGAAGATGAATCAAAGACAATCAATGAAGCAAAATTAATGAATGCAGTCTTAACAGTTAAAAAAGTTTCAGTATAATCGATCCCATTTTTATCTGAACAATCCAGACTAATAGAAAAAACTCGATCTTTCTTTGCGTGTTTATTTTCATTAATTTGTTCATTAATCATTCTTGCGTTTAGTAAAATATTACTTAGAAATACCATACAAATATCTTTCGTTCTCTGACGTTCATCAACTTAATTCAATTATCTATTGAATATGACATAACGACGTCAGTTCAATGAACTTCGAAAGAAGAAAAAAGGAGAAATATCTCCTTTTTTTCTCGTAACACACGCTTAGAATTCTTGTCTGATCGCGAAGGCGCGATGCCGACAGCTTCCTTTTCCACATCGATTTCTATTTTCATGAAAAGCGAAAGAAAAAGAGCAAGCAAGTAATGTAATTTTTGCTTCTTTCTTAAGTGGATCATTGATATATAGAAAGGTACGAAACGAAAAGACTATATCATCATTGTGAATATATATCGTTTTTACGACCATGCATCTATCAACGAGTAAGAGAAATCAATAAATAAAAGAGCAGAAGAGAGCGAGTGACGACGGTGAGACACATTGTATTCGTACTGGTTAATGTACTTATTCCATCGTTGTCGTTATTTCTCTCCAGGTAACTTTATTTGCGAGCCATGAAAGTGACATCGAAAGAATGCCCTCGAGAAACTATTGATCGATTGTTTCTTTTCATCGGAGTCTAGATTGAAAACGAAACGTATTTTTCCTCGTGTTTAGAAAGTCATACATTTGTCTAGTGAATGTTCAAAATGACTAGGGGAAGGAAGAAAAAGCAAACAAAGGGGTTGTGTATATGTACATATATTTTTCAAGTTTTAGGGAGAATTGATTTGTAGTAAAAAGAAGGAGAAGGAGAAAAGAAGAGAAAGAGAAAAGGATTTTGTCCAATCATCAATTGAAATCGTTCGTAAGCATCAATCAGTCAGACAGAAACAGAAAGAATGAGGTTTTATTTTGCTTTTTTGTCTATTGAATCAATGAAAGGCTTTCTTCCACTGGAATGCACGGCACACAGGTAGTTACTTTTGAAATGCTCTTTAAAAAACTGATTCTGACCATAGAGAAGAGCAAAGGACTATCAAATTCCTTTCGTTCGATTTTATCGGTCATTAGTCTTGATGGATTTTTTTCTCATTTTCATTATTTTTCGATCTATAACACGCGTTTAGAGATTGATTTCTTCTTCGTTCGTGTTTTTTCATCTGTATTTTACACTTGACTGAGAAAATCAAATCACACGATAGCACGAATGTTTCTATTAATAAGAAATCGATCGATTCATAAACGATCGTAAAGTTCGACTGATATCGTTAACAAGCTATACGTATGAGTTAGTTTGCTTAATATGAGCAAGTTGCTTAGATTTTGTGCTTCAATAATTACCATTAACCTTTTGGTACAGTGAAAATCTGATGTTGTCTATCATTTGCTAGTGATCATCTTGATAAATCACCTGGAGTGATGCAGATCTTTTCTTGTTTATTATTGTCGGAATGATTGAGATGGGAAGAGGAAAAATAGCGACTAACCACTGTGGGGGAATACACCACCACCTGGTGATAATGTTGTTCGGAGAAGAGAAAATGTCTGTAGACGCACGATAATCAGTATTCGCTCGTCGGATAGACTCTATTTAGACAGCGTTTGAACTGTTGATAATTTACATAAACAGATACTTTCTCTCCGAATGTACTTCGATGGTTGTCACTTCAAGAAAAAGAAATACACATCTCACCGTATAGTTTATCTAATATCTTTTCTTTAGAGGGCATTTTTTTATTTACTATTGCATAACGACAACAAACGATTAACTCCTACTTACTGTTATCTATCTATTTCTCTCTCGTTTTTTTTTCTTCGCACGTATATCTTTACATGCTCGCGTGTATGATCATTTTCACATGGACTGCTTTTTCGATGACTTTGACTTAACTATAAGTAATACGATAAATGTATGGAAATAGAGCAGCTGAATTTCTTGACGTCAGCAAACTCTATCAACACGCCATTCTTCGACCGATTCTGTCTAAGGTCTTATTGACACAACGTCATTTGTGGTATATATCTTCTCGATAGTATACAAAAGAATCGATAAAATATAATGGAAGAAGAGAAAAAAAGAAAAGAGAAATAGACGAACTTTCGACTCTTTTTATTTTCTTTCTGATGAAATCGTTGTTTACTTCTATCGAAAGATTGGCACATTGCTTTTCTCTTTTTCTCTTTCTCACGCCCTTCGTCGATGTCTTCTATACTTTTTCGCTCTTGTTGTTTTGTCGTTCTTGTAGTGCACCGTACTCTTGTTTCTACACTGTTACATCACCCAATACTATGTTTTTGTCTCCTCTACTTCGTTTTTTCTCCAGCTCTAAGTACATCACCCTCTCACCGCGCGTTTTTTGCCGCTTCCCTTCGACATAAACACATCCATCTGTATCTATTTTCACGTATAAATCCATAATTATTCCTCATACTGTTGTCAGGGGTAAAGCATCATCTCTAGAACCACACCCTCCCTTGTCTCTCAGCTAAACCCTTCGTGACCACAGCTAATTTCTCATTTATCGTTTTAGTATTTTTTGTTTTCCATAACTCATTTGTGTGAGTATCTATTTGAACGAAATTAAAAGTAGAACATGAAACAAATCGTTGAGCAAGGACCAACTAACACGTCTGATTTTTCTCCGTGCAACGGTCATGAAGATGATTCAATTAAAACTCGAAAAGATTCGGAGAACGACGATGTCACAACAAGTTCTTCATCAGCAACAGCAGCAAATGATCTGATTCTTCTACCTGATTCTTCATTTAATGTTCGTATTCAATCGTCTGGTTTAGAAACCTTCGAATTACCAGTAACGTCCAGTGAACTCGTCCAAGAAATTCATCAAGTACTGATGGATAAAGAAGAAACATGTCATCGAACATGTTTCTCCTTACAACTTGATGGCAATATTCTCGATAATTTTACAGAATTGAAAAACATCGAAAATTTAAAAGAAGGAAGTGTACTGAAAGTCATCGAAGGTTAGTTTCTTCCATTGCTGAATATATAATCATACTCTCATTAATATTCAGAACAATATACGGTACGTGAAGTACGGATTCATATCAAACATATCAATGAATTAATACATTCGTGTGACCCGATTGACGCATATGCGGGTACAAATGGATATTCATTGTGTGTTGTTAATGATATGACCAATGCAGATATTCTATCGCCTAATGGTAATGTCAGAACGTGTCTACTGTCTAATCTTCAACTTGCTTTGTTGTAGACCGTAAAAAAGGTACAGAAACGAATGGAACTGATTTCAATGTACCGGAATATCTACTACCCAATCAGAAGGATGTTCTTTTAACACCATTATTTGCAACTAATAATAAAATACGAGTAAGATGAAGAAGGAAACAGATGTATACTAACATATGATTAATTACATTTTTTATTTAGCCATTACAATGTCTGAAAGTTTTATCATACAGTGGTTGGAATCCACCAAATGGTTCAAGAAAATTACATGGTTTGTTGTCGCACGAAAGATTTTCTTCTTCATTTGATTTAACTTACATTGCAGGCGATCTAATGTACTTACAAGTAACAACATGCGAAGAGAAATCGTTTCATATAACGGCATGTACGAAAGGTTTCTATGTTAGTCAGTGAGTACAGAGACATCGATTGGCATGTATTGATGACTATTCGGTTTTCGTCTATTTAGAACGACGGATGAGAAATTCATTCCTAAACCGGTGCAACCTAAAGCTATTTTTCATTCACTTGTCGACTTGCTGAATAATGTAAGATTCGTACTTGATTTGTTCGACAATGGTATATGTGTTTTGTATCTTTAGATTAGTCCAATATTTAAGAAAACATTTTCTACAATACAACGTAAACGTTGTACGAAACATCCATTTGAGCGAATACAAATTCCGAGTCAAATTCATCCATGGTTATCACCACGGTTCGACCATTCGATCGATTTCTTTCGAGCTGAAGATGGTAAGAAGATTTTCAAGTTAAAAATATTTTGTCAAATGAATATTTTTTGTTATTGTCTTCGTAGCCAATATCAATAAACTTGGACATGAAGATCATATACCTGGTCAAGTACGAGATTGGAATGAAGAATTACAAATCACTAAAGAATTATCAAAGAAATCTTTACCTGAAAGACTAATTCGGGAACGTGCTATGTTCAAAGTAAACGGAAGTGAGAAAAAAAATTTCTATGTAGATAATTCCTTTTCTAGGTTCACAGTGATTTTGTTTCGGCTGCTATTCGAGGTTGTCAAGCAGTAGTCGATGGAAATATAATGGCCATCAATCCAGGCGAAGAATCAAAGTAATTCCATAGCGGACGCGATTGAAAGGACTTTTGTTCATTCCAATGAGTATTTACTTCATCTACTGTCCATTCTTTTTCTCTAGGGTTCATATGTATATATGGAATAATATGTTCTTCAGTCTGGGCTTTGATGTCAAAGAGCATTACAAAGATTTTGGTGGTGATGCTGCTGCCCATGCTGCACCAACAAATGATTTACAAGGCGTTCGGGCTATTAATACTATTGACATAGATGGATTACATACATTAGGCACTGTTGTAGTCGATTATCGTGGAATGCGTGTAACTGCTCAAACAATCGTACCTGGTAAATCATTATTTTTCACTAAAAATGAATCAACTGAGAATGTAATAGGTATTTTGGAAAAGGAACAAGAACAAAGTGTAGTCTATGGTTCGACTGATTTCGGTAAAACTTGTGCGACAAATGATAAATATAAAGAATTGGTAAGACGATATCTAATTAGATCGGAATGCAGAACAAATAATGTTGTTTTTACTTTGATTTTGTTAGTTGGAGAAAGTAGCTGCTATGCTCAAAGTAAAACCACATTCGATTAAAACAGAAAAAGGTGACATTGTCGAATTACTAACAGCCGTTGAATGTAAAGGTATTATTGGCAATGACGGACGACATTATCTCTTGGATTTATTACGTATGATGCCACCGGATTTGAATTACTTACCAGGTTTGTCGAGAAGGATGATGAGGAAGTTAGTACATAGATTCTTGTGTACTTAAGTTGACGTTGAGCATATTTCACCGTTGATGAAACAACTGAATTATCCTCAAACTTACAAACATCGATTATGTTGTCTACGACAAGAATTAATTGATGCATTTATTGAGTATGAAACATTTTTTCAATATGGAAATCGTCGTTTATGATGGATGATTCTTTTTCTTAGACAAAAATACGTTGATTTCTACCGTTCAATTGCCCTTAATTTGTCCAAATTGCGATCAACCGAAGTACGCAGACAAAAGAAGACTTCGTAGAATAAATCAAACAAACGTTTGTCATTTTAGACTGTTACCAACGATTCTGCTGAACAAACCAACGTCGAAGAAGCTAAACGTATTGTCAATGAAATCACTGGTACATTCCATTTCTATTCTTCTATGAATAAATAATAATGTATATTGATTCTAGTTGAAGATAATAGTCGAGAAATCATTCAATCGGCGTGTCGTTCCGTCGGATCCACCAAAGATAATGAATTTGATGTTCGTTTCAATCCTGATCTCTTTCAACCTCACGTAACACTTCAACAAACGGTATACTCAAATCCAATAATCAATCTTTCTCGAAAAAAATTGTTGTTCCATTCATTTATAGCCAGCAGAAACAGCAGCTGATATCAAATTATTGAAAGAAGCATCCGAATATCTGGTATTGAAACAAATTCCATTGATGGTGCAAGACTTTCAAGATCATACAGCTGTACCAGTCGATGGACAAAGTCTTTCAGAAGCTATGCATTCAAGGTATGTATGATCTGAAATGTCTGCGAGATTTTCATCACTATTCGTCTCGTTTGTAGGGGAATTAACATTCGTTATCTTGGTCGACTCGCCCAACTTCTTTCTCAACAATCATCTCTCATCTATCTCTATGTAAATCAGTGTCATTTTTCATCCTATTCTTTTACTTTTTCTCGGCCTTGCATAGGAAATTGTCGTCACGGAAATACTTTCTCGTAGTGCTAAGCATCTTTTCCGTAATTATATACAATCTGTTCCTATTCATTTATTATCGTTTTCGATCAGTCATTTTCTCAATTGTTTCCTAACGATCATATCTTCACCTTCAGCTGATTGTTTATCCGATGACTTATCACCCTCTACACCATCCAACTCAACTCACAATGGAACAGCAAATACGAACTCACCATTGACGACCAGTTCATCGCAAAAATCGAATAGCAAAAAGAAAAACAAAAAACAGCAGTCAAAAAAACAAAATCCATTGATGAGAAATGGTAAGCCAACCGATACTTAACAACTACAGATAAGATTTTTATTCTATTGAAGAATCCCTTGACTTTCTCTCTACAACATCGAAAACACTCTGGACACAATTATCTACCGAAACCAAAGCACGATACAATTTCGACTTAAACTGGTAAAAAGAGCATGTCCTGTTCCATACTCTACGTCTTAAATGATCTTTTTCAGTGATGATATTGAAAGTTTTCTGGAAAAATTCAACATTCGTCGTACTTGTATTTTACGTTCATTTTGTATGAAAACTGGTTTACAATTATCAATGCGTGAATATCAATTCGAAGTCACGAATAAATCAACACGTGCAACTCATGAATGTTTCAATGAAGATGATATTCTAAACATTTATCCAATAGTTAAACAAAGTCCTCCGAAAGTAAGCGAAAGAATTCGAGTTCGACATTCGCCTTAGACACTTTTTTTTCAGCCCAGTGATGCTTATCAATTCTTTACAACTGGTCAACAAAAAATTCAACAAGGTTTACTTCGCGAAGGTTTCGAATTGATTTCCGAAGCGCATAATCTCTTAAATAATGTCTACGGTCCAATGCATCCCGAGATTAGTATGTGTTTAAGATTATTAGCACGATTAAATTACATTATGGGTGATTACAATGAAGCACTTCATACTCAACATAAAGCTGTGATGATGTCAGAACGCGTCTTAGGTATTGATCATCCTCAAACAGCAACGGAATATGTAAGTTTGAAATTCATACATTCGTGTAAGCAAAGATGACTATTTAGATTCATATGGCACTCTATTCGTTTGCAAATGGACATGCAACCAATGCAGCTAAACTATTGTGTCGTGCACGATATATTATTTTAGCTTGTTGCGGAGAAACTCATCCACAAATCAGTTTAATTGATGTGAGAACAATATTTTGATTCTTCTTTGATTAATAGATCGTTCTATTACATAGAGCAATCTTGGTTTAATTTTACAATCCTATGGTGATTATGAAAATGCATTGAAATATATGGAGAAATCATTGGAATTGAATAAAAAGTATTTCTTCAAACGTTGTGAGATAGAGAAAAGATTGATTATCTATTTATCTAGATTCTATGGATCAAAAAGTCTTAAAGTTGCTCTTTCTCATCATCTTTGTGCTCGCATTCAATCTTGTCGTGGAGATTTCCGATCGGCATTGACCAGTGAACGTGAAGCGTATCAAATCTACCGACAACAAGTACGAAAACATCGAAAAAAATCTTCTATCTTTCTATCATTTTATTTAGCTTGGCGATGAACACGAACGAACTCGTGAAAGTGCTCAAGTACTGAAACATCTTACAGAACAAGCTGTCGTCTTGCAAAAACGAATGAATGATGTTGTTAAAGGTCAACTGCTGATGATTCCAAGTATAACTGTAAGTTGAGTAATGATTCACTGAGAGGAAAATATAACAGAATTCTGTTTAGATTCAACAGCCTACTTTTCAGAATGTGTTAGAAATGTTAAATGTCGTCAATGGAATATTATTTATTCAAATTCGTGAGAAAGATCTGGATTTAATCCGAGACGAACTGAATAAGCAAGCTAGCGACGAAGAGCAACCGACGACACCTCTCGTCAAGTCAATAACTGAAGCAGCCGAACAAGCAGCAGCATTGATGAATAACGAAGTCGACTGAAAGAAAAACAAATAAATAGAGCAGGCGAAATATCCTATAGTCTGATACGTTTCTCTTTCTTTTTGTTCGTAGTTTATAGGTCAATTTTTGTTTTCTTGTTGTCTAGTCTTTTCTTAGTGGACTCACTTTTGTAGTTGAATATATTTCCCTTCAGAAATGTGTGATTTTGCGCATGTTGCTAACATTGTTGTTTTTCTCTTCATGGCGTCCTTTTTTGATAAAACTTAATCGACATCGAAGCAGTCCATATCTTCGACTAAACTTTCGTTTTTATCGATCGATTTTGTTTAGATTTAAATGAGAAGCTTACTTCGCTTATCTATTTCTCTCAGTTTTGGGAGAAAATATCGAGCATGAGAGTTGTCTGACAGGAAGATATTGCAAAGAAAATGTCTTCAAGAGAATCAATATGGTTTTTTTCCAACCCTTGTGTTATGTATAAATAGATGCGCGTACGAGTGAAAAAGGACTCGCCTTATACCTCAATGATTTTTAGCTTTTCGATCACTTGATACTTTTCCTCTTGGAATTTTCCAAACTTTCCTTGGTAATTTCTTCATACTACGTTTTCTATATATGAGTGAATTGCAACTTCATTGTATGATTGATTATAACTCCAGTTCTTGTTGACTGATTTAAAGTTTTTGTTTCGTTTTACTTCTTCAAGTCATACTTGTACTACCGTATAATTTTCAAGTCTCTACCTTGCCCAGTCGTCGAGATATTCACAGTGTAAGACAAAAAAAGGAACATTTTTAGATAATCCAACCAAACTAAAATTTATTTTACGAGCAAAGAAAGAAGAATATAAGAGAAAGTAAATAGCACGTTTTGTGGCGCAACTTTCAGGCTATCGAATCGCATCGCTTATAAATTTCTTTTTCTTTCTATCATTGTTTATGTCAGATTACAGACACTAATTTTGAAAAAAAATGAAACTATCATAAGACAAAGCATGAAAAACTTTATCGAAACAGCCTAAAGCATTAAAAAATTTAAAAAAAACTCCTTTTGCCACACCCTTTGTAGCTCCAGATTTTGATCATCGATTTTCTAGAGACCTATGTGCTGAATCGAGCTTTTTTGAGTGTTTTTCAGGAGCTTTATAATTTGGATAAAGAGCTATCGACTAACATGTAACATGCGCGTCTCTGCTTAATTCCAAAGCATTCTTATACACTGAACCTTATATATAAAAATTCGAACTTTAGGAGGCTGAATATCTCAATCTGTTTGTATCTGGCAGCTAGGAAATTGTTAGTGGATACTCAGAAAAGGATGCGAAACAATATGTAAGCATTAGATTTTGTCTAAACTTATTTTAATTTTTTTTCACCAATCTTACAATAAAGTTGCAGTTCACTGATATATACTACTTTATTTGTAGAAAATCATTCCATCGAAAGAATGGCTCTAAGCAAAACATTTGCAATTGTCTGGCTTGATACTTATATTTCTGCTCGCGGTCAATACCAGCAATTAAAATCGACTTTTCAAGCTGAACTAGCTCCTGTGGCTGCAGCAGTTCCTGTCGATCCGATCGACCAACTGATCGTCTGTATACGAGAAACATGTGCACCAGTTATATTTGCACCAACGGTTGAAGAAACATTGTCAATTATAGAAAGGCTCGTAGAAGACAATAAATTTGTGGTTCTAATTACTTCTGGGTCATTGGGAAGCGTTATTTTACCAGAAATACAACGTCGTTCGTTAACTTTACATTCGTACTATATTTTCTGTGCAAATATGACTCACCATGCCGAATGGGTACTAGAATATCTGGATCAAGGTCTAGAGATACAAATGTTTGACTTTGAAATTACTCTTCTAACACGTTTGGCAAGGGATTTAAGTAATGAATTGATTAAACAAGGTAACGAGTTACTGAACACGGATCCACTGTCTGCTTTGAATTACTTTCAATGTGCCCGTGTTTTGGCAGAAAATGCTGTAGCACGAGATATGTCATCAAATGCAACAGATCTGCATCGACCGTCGACTAAACATCGAGAAATCTTGGATGGTGAGAATGGTCTAATTGCGCAAGCCCAAAGAGCTTGCAATCGTAATAATGTTTGAAAATTCCATTCACTTATTATACAAACTCACTCAAAAAAGATCAGCTTTCGATTTTTGTATGTGATTATCTGTGGAAACATTGTTAAAAATATTTTTATGTTATAATTGTGAAGCTGGCACGTAGCACAGTAATATAGTTGGACGCATTGGAATTAATTACACCAGATCCCTGACGAAGACTCACGTCTGTATATGAAAGTATATTTACAATGTGGCGTCATCAGGATGATCACCTCTACGGTCTAAAAGGCATGTCATAAGTGGGATTTTCATTCCTACATCATGACGGAATCTACGACTGCGGAAAAGAATTTGTAAAATATAAACACTATTTGTTTTCTTCATAAGCAATAGAAAATAATTTTACGCAAAAGAAATAATCAGTTAGAAAGATAGGACACGAATTAGGATTAAAAACTCGGCGAAAACTTCAAACGAGTAAAGTCAAATTCCTGGGATGGGTTGCAAACCAAGTAAAGTTTCTCTATCCAAATCGGATTGTTATTGTCGGTCTTCGCCGTACAGTCGTACCAATAGTTCAATTGATCTATCGCCCGCAGATGTTCAAGCATTTTCTCCGCGTGTTTGTCAACAACGACAATCAGCTGTTGATAATATGCGTTATCGTGAGGTTATCAATCGATGGCGTCCGTCTTCTCTTCGTGAATTAGTTGATTGTGTTGAGAAACTTGTTCCTCCTAACAATCAAATTGAATGTGCGTGGATTATTTTCTATTGGATTAGTCAAAATATCTCTTACGATACAACTGCTTACTTTCAAAATCGAATTGTATCACAAACTGCAGAAAAGGTCTTTCAAAATAAACGAGCAGTTTGTGAAGGCTACTCAGTAATCTATGCTGATCTATGTGAAAAGATCGGCATCAAATGTCGAAAAATCACTGGTTATACAAAAGGTTTCGGATTTGATGCACGCCAAACAACATTTCGTGAAAGTGATCATGCATGGAATATTATTACACTTAACAATGGCCATTCATATCTGATTGAATCGACATGGGGATCTGGTCATCTCATTCATGGAACAAACCGATTCAAAGCAAAATTGGCACCTCATTATTTTATGTGTCCTCCTGAGCATTTAATCTACAGTCATTTACCTGAGAGGGATAGCGATCAATTGTTAGAATATCCACTTACAATGAATCAATTTTTGGCATTGCCTCATGTGTATTCAACATTTTTTACATCGAATTTACAACTGATCTCACCGCTTTTTTCAAACACAATTGATCTTGTTAGAAAACAATCGTATGGTGAAGTGATTATTCGGACATCGAATAGAAATATTGAATTAAACGGTGCTTTGAAGGATGAGACGCACGTTAAGGTTGATGGTGGGGAGTTTTTATTTGCAGATAAAAATGATCCAACATTATGGAAATGCCAATTCGCTCCACCAAAACCTGGCAAATACGAGATTGAAATATACGCTAACACAACCTCTGATCAATCTCAAGCATATTCAATAGTTGTTAAATTCGTATTTGACGTTGCCCGTCTTCCACGTCCGGCTATTTCATTTCCCTATACTTGGCCAACATTTTCTCAATACAACTTAGAAATTATAAAACCAAAGAATACACACTTTATCGATAGATCATCATCTTTCGACAATGACTATGGTGAAATTCTAATTCGTTCACCAAAGAATGTTGATATATCTGCATCGATGAAAAATTCATTGACTGAGACAACTGTGCACAGCGCTGTGTTAACTAATTATAATTATAAAATTAACCTATGGCACTGTCTTTTCGCTCCTCCAGCTATCACTACTCCATTCGATATTATAATTTTCGCCAAATATGCAAACGAAGATAAATTCAATTGTGTAGCAAAACTGAAATTATTTTCAGTAACAAAAAGTAGTCGAAAACAATCGGTGATGGTCCCAAAAGTGTACCATGCATTTACAAAACATAAAGCTCAATTAATCGAACCATTGAATGGAACTCTCCGCAAAGATTCTACTGTACGATTTCGCTGTCGTATTCCAAGTGCTCAACAACTCAATATAACTGTTGATAATAGTTGGACTTCAGAAAATGGTATCACACCCGATGCGAAAGGTGTTTTCGATACAACTATTCGGGTTAGACAACAGCATGTTGGTATATGGGTGAAAATGAACGCAAGAACTAATTCATACGAGGGACTTTTGCAATATATTGTGAAATAACATTTTTCTAAAATTGTTTTATGCAGTTGAGTTGTACAGTTTATCATTACGCAGTAGAAAGACGGAAAGTTTTTATCGATTCCTGTCAATACGCGAAAAACAAATCTACGAATACTTACGCGCAATGTCATATATACAACTTCCTCTTTTTCAAGCGTTTTAGCTTACAGTCATCTGTAAAAAATGCGACGAATTCATTTGCTTTCTTTCCTATTCGTTGATAAGATAACAAACGAACGTGGTTGGATAATTGGTAGTAGGAGACTGTAATAAAACAATTCGCTACAAAGTAGTAGTAAACATATTGAGACCGTTTTTCATTCATCATTTCATCAGTCTCCGTCGGTTGTGTTCTAATAAGGAAAGATACTGACATTCATCATGGGTTGCGACATCTGTAAGACAGCAGTGGTTGCTCCAGTAATTGTGATTTCGGATGAGAAACATTCATTGACTAGTACCACTGAACAAGTTGAAACAAGAGATGAACCACTACAATTCCCTCAGTCACAAGTAATACACAGAACAAAATCATTGACGTCTACCAATACAACAGACCCAAGGGAAAGTGTTGGTCTGGTGGTTATAAACCATTCAAATGAAAGAAATATATTTCAATCAACACCATCGAATAACTCCTCGGGAATCAATTCTGATCAAAGTACCAGTTTGAAAAGTGAACGTGATTTTCGATCAACGTCATCTCACTCAATGGAAGTGTTTGTGCGACCGAAAACTGGCCGAACATTAGTTGTTGAATCGTTTCTATCGGATTCAACGGAAAATGATTTCCCTAACGAGACAATGATTGAGCCGGATGACAAAGAAATCTCCCATGATGGTGTGGTCAGTTCATCGACACCAACCAACGTCGAACAAACAATATTAACACGACATACGACATCTCGGTTTAACGATGAGCGAGCTACTGTCATCAAAGATTTCTCCAGTGATTCCGATGAGTCGTATCCATTGCACAAAAGTTTTGTTACCTCGTCATCCGAGTCGGATATCACATCAATCAATGAGAAATCTGACCACCGATCGTTGGTCACAAATATGTCCAAAGAAAACATCGCACGCGGTATGATTGCTGATGGCACGGATTCTTCCATTCAACTTCAAAATAGTCTATCGAGTGATTCTGAAGGTACGACTGTACGTAAAAGAGTATCGAACATTTCACAACCTCCACATCCAATGAAGTCAGATAACTGTTCGAACGTGTTTGTTTATGAAACATCCTATGAATCTGAAATTGACGCAGAGCGATAATTAAGCAAAGAAATCAATGCCTATGATTTATCTGATGTATTGTTGACATTCTTACTTATATTTATTTTATTATTAGAAATTTCAAAAATTTGTCAATGAAATGTTTGATAAATTCACAATCATGGCCTGTTTATGACTAGATGTTACTTTTTACCGTAGATAAGATATCACAATCTATGATGCATACGTGAAAAATTGAGAGATGAGTAGTAAGACAACAATTAGATGAATAAGTCTATATTGATCGTTTTCCTCTGAATTTAATCAAACAATTTTAACATAAAAAAGAAAATCGATGACAAAATTATTTCTTTTCATTGAAAAATGGAGGCAATAATTCGATTAGTCTTCCAACTGCTAATCGTTCTTCGTCGGTCAGAGATGTAGATGAATTGCTTTGAAATTCAAATCTTAATGTCACAAAATGGTAAATAATACTCGACTTCAATTGTGCAATTATATGTGTAAATAATAGTGGCCAGTTCAAAACCACACGATTTACTAATGCCTAAGAAAACATAGAACGATGATTGAGATGTATTTTTTCAAAACGAAACCTACGTAGTTAATTTTAAACATGGGTGTCGTAGAGTTAATACTACGTTTTGACATTCGAAGATTCAAGTCGGTAAAGGCACGATTACTGTTACTTGAGTTCAAGTTCAAACTTTCCGTTGAATGCATGAAATTTGGTGGATAGGGTGTATATAATTGTGAGTCCGATAGAGGATTGTTGTAGTATCCGTCTAGAGTCTTAACACCCAGACATAAACGAATTCGTTCGAAATTTTCTGTTAGGATTTCACAAATGTGATCGCGATTTTTTCCACCTATGAATGAGCCATCTAGTAAAACTGAACATTTAGAAACTCGTTGTACGTACTGATTTGTTCGCTGTTGAATTGATCATGGGTGAAACGAAACAATGGTGACCTATGTTCACCAAATGATCATTTAAATACGATATTCATGTAAACGTGCTGTCTTACTTGCGGTCTAGTAGCCGTTCAATTGTATGATAAATGTTCTTTACGTGATCTACGATGACGACATAGTTAGAAGAAAACAAAGTACAAGATAAGAAGAAAAACATTGGCTTTTTTCAGTGTTTTTCATGCATTGTTTAAGCAAATAAACATAGTTAAAAGAAAACTGATAACAATTTATCTCTATAAACTGCGCACATCTTATATGACATTTCAATCATAAGATCTTTTCTACATAAAACATGCCATTATTGAATGCGTTTATCAACTCTGTTGCTTGCGTTGGTTTTACATCGGAGCGTGGCGTTGCAATTGATTCGGAATCGAAAAGCAATGGATCTCTCTTTAAATCTCCCTTACAGGCATCTGTCTTGGCAATCGTCAATGCTGATCGTGCAATGTATCCCGAATCACGAAGTAGCGAACTGATTGATCCCTTATACCCACCAGCCGGCCATACAAGTACTCATTCGACGTCAGCATCATCAGGTCGTTCAACACCTATCTCTCCTCTGGCTTCGAACGCCAGACCTTCTCGACATCAAATGATATCAACTATCTATCAGAATCTGCCATTCTTTTGCTTTCCCGATGGGGCTCATGCAACGTGGGAACGAGAAAATGAACGAATACATCACATTGTCTTTACTCGAGAAGATGGGAAACGTACTTACGCTCTTGTCTTTACATTTCAACAAGCTTTCACTCTGAAAACTGATAAACCAGATGATGACGGTATTTATCAAATTAGCGATGTTCAACGATCAACTCCAACTGCAAGACGGCCAAGCATGTCGAAGATACCCGTAGCAATCGATAAATTGAAATCTGCAATACCAACACCAACACCACTAACGACAACAATAGTTAACAGCACACATCAAGATGTAACGCCTACGCCGATGACCGCGCCTGCAAAATCACGTTCAAGAAAAATGCCATCATCATTTCACTTTTCCGACCAGCCATCTGGCAGTCGTGTGCGCTCAACAAGTACCGAAAATCTAAGCAAACAACCTCATTATGAAACACCAACATTTAGTAGTTACATGAAAAAGTCTGTTATGGAAAATTGTCTTTTGTGATAATAGATTTGCTTCTATCTTCTTCTAGTTTATCACCTTCAGCCGCACCTCCACCAGCACGTCTGTCACGAACAAACAGTCAAACTAGTTTAGCATCTCTGAATGATAACACACCAAATGAAACCTCGAGCTTTTCGCGACAACGATCCACCTCAAATGCGTCTCACAAAATACCTACGAGTACAGCACCTTCAACTACGACTAGAAGTACAACTAAACCTACAACGCCAATGCCAATACCGACTTCATCCAGAACGGTTACTTCGAATCACACTTCCACATCAGTTTCAATTACCAACTCCATCGTTAGTTCACCAGGACAATCATTCGATTCAACAAAACCATTCTACTTACCACAATGTATTGTTCTTCTTTCAAATCAACCATTTTGGACAGAAATGCAAGAAACAATGACAAGCATCCACGATGAACTGATTCAATCGAAAGTTGAACCGAACTCAAATGCATACAAACTTCTCATCCAAAAATATGCCTTTTTCGCTTGCAATACTCCCATACCACCCATACCATGGGATCGCTTTTCTCTCTCGCTCAGTCTAACACACAACCAGTCGGTATTAATCTTCGATCCGCCCGTCAATACGGATCGTGCAGTACTTGATCTCGACTTATCAATTCTACTTCTAACATTAAATATTGGCAAACTACTTGACGTCTTAGCCGCAATACTGACAGAACAGCCAATCATCTTTTTTAGTTCAAATTATTCGAAATTAGTAACAACTCTTGAATGTCTTCTCTATCTAATCTATCCTTTGAAATGGGCTCATATTTACGTTCCACTAGTGCCCTACGGTTTGCGCGATCACTATCTTGCCGGACCAACAGGTTCTTATATAATGGGCACACATGCACGTCACCAAGAAATCGTTGAAAAACTTGACAATAGTATAACGTGTAATTTAGATAATGATAAGAACATTCGCGTACCAAAACATGTCAATTTGCACAATATTCCTTCGACAAAACTTCAACGCTTTATTGATCCCATCACTCATTTTCTGGAAAACATTAAAGTATCTCGTTCGTTGCAAAATGTGCATACGCCCATTCGTTTACGTATGGATCAACAACGAGAATTCGAACGTGAAACACGTATCGAAACGAATCAAAAGATAACAAAAATGTTTTTCGATCTCATGGTTGATCTATGCGGCGATGCTCTAAAACCAATCTACTGGACGGTTCATCATCAACATAGTCCAACAAATACACTAGCACGAACATCAAATCACGAGGGAAAAACAACGATCACTTCTCAAACAACAACGTTCAGTAAAGAGAATTATCTCCTATCGAAAAGTGAAGGTGTCGAATTGGAGTTCTATCAGACATTTGTTGAAACAACCGCATTTCAACATCTTCTAGAAGAAGAACGAGTATCAGTTGTACCAAGTATATTTCGACAAACTTGTCAGATACAATTACTGTCCGACGAAGATCAACTTTATGATTTGAATCATCCAGATAATCCAGTAAGACAATTTTCTATCGTGATTTCAAGTTTTCACTCATTCTCTTTTTTCATTCAGAATGACTTAGCAACACTATGTGATTCTCTGTCCTCACAAATGATTCTACCATTACCTAACTGGCCAAACAATGCATCTACACATTATTTGGATAGTTGTATCGATGTATTTACTAATGAATTACAAAATGCCCAACGCGAACGTTCACCAGCTGTCATCGCTGTTTTTGCTTATCTACGTGGATGTGCATTCTTAGCGCGTGGAAATCTGCTGGACGGTCTACGTGATCTTTATCTGATTGACAATCAGAATCTATTTCCACGAGAATATATCGAAGCCAAAATCGTCCCTCGACTTTCGGATGAACATCTTTTGGATATATTTACTCATGAATCGTTCTATCAAGATGCACCTGAATGGAAAAAAGTCGACATACGGTCTGATTTACGCTTATCAAAAGTTGATCTTACTGAAAGTGGAAACTCATTTGAAGAATCGATATCTACAAAATCATCGAGTGACTTTGATAATCACAGTGATCTATTCATTGTCAATAGTGCCCTCACTTACGAGCAATTTACTGAACATATCCAACGTTTGAGTATTACAAACGATGCGGAAACAACCGGGATATTGTTTAATGCTTTGTTATATTGGACGGATAGTAATTTAGTGAAAACATTGAAAAAAGATAAAACATTAACAAGTAAAACATCAAATTCAAGTCAATCATCTGATCGACACGCTTCAATATCGAGCAAATCATTGAAGGATACGTTGATGATACTGAACGATCATCGACAAGGTGGTCAAAGTAGTAGCACAATACCGAAACTGTCTTTACAAACAAATTCAACAACATTGCCAGCTGCATTGTTTGGCTCATTTCTTGATGTATGGCAACAGACTAATGCAGAAAAAGTTCGAATGATTCGTTGTCTACCCGACGATCGACAAAAGCAGGAATCAATCTTAAAGGTAAATATTCATTTCTTCAGACAAAACGTATGATCGGTAGTTTCATACTAATTGTCGATTAGGTTTCATCGTCCGGTGTTGTATCGAAAAAGGATGGTCCTGGCCAAATAATTCTTACGCAAAAACGTCTTTACTTCTTACCTGAAGCACGCTCACTAGCTCGCCTTCTGACAGACCTGATGAATATCACGTCTGTACATAAATATCAACATCAAACTGTCTTTTCCTCATCGAAACCTGGTGTCAAAATTCATACGTCTACAAATGCCGGACATTCATCGCTACCGCGTGACACAAATTCGACATTAAAATCGAAATCTGCATCCTTAGAAAAAGAAACAAAAACATCGATTAGTTTATTTTTCAAAAGTAACCACGAGCAAGAATTATGGTATACATTAATAATGGAACTGTGGTCAGGTTTAACGATTGCGCATGAGGAATGTGATACCACTGTGCTTAATAAAGCAGCGAGACATATCGCACTGATGGACACATTAGCTCATATCGAGTATGATGAAGATATTTCATCACCTTCTGATCGACAATCAGCAAGTTCACGTGCTAAACTGAAACAACGACATAATGAGGTAAGTCTCATTTGATTGTTTTCGTATTCGTAGCTCTCCATTTTCTTCTCATGTATGTAGACTAGTCGTGAGCTCGCTTTAGGCGACTTGTCGACATTTACTCGAACCCTTCAAGATGGAACGTATAAACCGTTACCCGCCGAAACTCGCAGCGTTCTTACGCGCCGGTTATCACCATCGATCAACGAAAAGGTACGACATCCTGTACGCTGTTTGGTATTTGTCGAACAAGCAGAAAATGGACGTTCTTCGTTATGGTGCTCGTACGGTCCTAAACTTAAGATCTTCAGTGTTTCAACATGGATTTGCGATCCGAGTGATCTTATGTTTCCATCGGAGATCACCTGTTTATGCCTTGATGGACGCTACAAACTATGGGTCGGTTGCATTCATGGTGAGCTGTTTGTTGTTGATACAACGACACGAACCTGTAGTTCACAATTAACCTCCATTGAGGGCGAAGGTGGATGTCAAACGATGGTATTTAATGCTATACATAATCAGATTCTAACAGCAAACCGAGCAAGTACAGTAATCATATGGAATGCATCGAGTTGGGAACGTGTAGCAGATGTGAATTTGTGCGAAATATATAAGAACACTCATGACACTAAATCAAGAACTTTCAAGAGTGAAGCTGTTGTTCAGTTCCGCAATCCGCCAAAATCAACATCATCCAATCATTCTAATCAACCACGTCCTCAACTGGATATACCAAGTAAGAGTAAATAAACAACTTAATATTCTCCACCTGAACTAATTTAGGTATGCCATCATTTGGTGGACCAGCTCAAGTTATTCCATCTTCATCAGATAAACTTGAACGTTTACAAATCTACGAAAATCTTCTACTCGGTTGTTATTGTAATGATTACATCTTAGTATTACGTATTATCGATATCAATACCTACACTTACGAACATGTCATATCTGTCAAGTACAAAATAGGTGATTCAACACCAATCGACTCATTTCTTGCTTACAATAAACAACTATGGGTGTCAACTGGTTGTATTATTCATATATTTGATATTGATAACGAAATCGAAGGAGGTTCTTATGATTTACGAATGAAAAAATCTGTCGATGACGATCACTTAATGACTATGTTGGGCTTTTCTGGTTATATTTGGGCTGGATCATTACATGGAAAAGTTTATGTGTTTCGAATGGATAATTTCGAATTATACAAAACATTCGCAGGACATCGCGATCGTGTCTTTTGTTTATGCTCAATGTTAGATACATATGTCGTAAGTGGTTCAGCACAGAATGATACATCAATTGCCATTTGGGAAAATGTACAAACGACGAATGGTGCAACGGCATCAGCGATTAGTTCAGCTGCTAAACGTGCATTGGCTAACTCGCATGGAAACGGAATGAACTAAGCGCACGGCACTATTTCCTTAATTCTAGCTCAATCTTAATAAGAAATTGTCTTTGTTTACCTGTTAAGAATGAATAATAAATAGCCGCACGATCTATTTTAAGATCAATCATATATTGATAGAGTAAACGTGCAAACGTCTAAATAGAGTATTCGATTCGATTAAGTTTCTATTTGAGAGAAAAGAAGACTAACCGTTCGTTTAGTAAATTGGGAATGATGTTGATTGATTGTGGTAAGTAAATGATAAAGTGAAAGTGGAATATTTGCCAGATATTGTTGCAAAGATTTCAAATAAATCGATTTTTCATCGATTGAGCCTTAGATCAAACAAAACGATACATCGATCATTCAATGAATCATAACTTACACTCCGATAACATAGTTGTTTGTATTTTCGATCTCCATTCCATATCTTTCTCATTTGCACAGAGATAACAACACCTACAAATCCATCAAAGACTTACATTATCAAAGTATCGAAATTTTCGTTTACTTTGCAAAAAATTCCATCCAGTATTTCATCATAAGAACTAACCATTCAGGCAACTACAGATAAACAAGTCTAAATTCAAATCTTAATCACAAATCATTATTACTTTCATCGTCAAATTATTCATAAATGACCAATCACGCTGATGTTTGACAAAAACATTGATTAATTCCCATTGTTCATTCTTCATAATCATCTGAATCAATACCGATTGAAACGCATCCAGTTCCGAGTATTCAATCAACGACGATAGAACTTTCGTATCCGCAACATAGTTTTGCTTAGTTTCAATGATACTTTTCATCAGAAGATAGGTCTTTATTTGAATTCTTAGCTCATTATTCATATCAAACCAGTCAGGTCGAATGACATTCAACCAAGAAATCTTCGTTTGTAATTTGGTCGAACGATGGCGAGTAGCATTCTCTAATTGTTCATAAAGAAGACTGCATGGACAAGTGACAAGAACAATAGCAGCAAGAATTTCATTTCCATCATGGAGAAATTTCGATCTAAAAACAAAGTCAATCGGACGTGAGGATGAAATGAATTGAATTTTGCAAGTTACTCGAGATGATCATTTTGAAATAACACGAATTGTTTGATCGGACTGTTCTGTTGAACAAAATAATGACTAAATTCACTTGCATGAACCAATAAAGCAAGAAGGTCCGTTCTATACTGGTTTTGTCTCGCATAGGATATTTGCATTGACGCATAACGGTGAGAGAAGAATTTCATTAAATCTAATAACATGTGTGGAATGAAGATCGAGAGCAAATTCGGACAGTACTGTTTCAGATAAGAGTGAAATCGAATGAAATGATGAAATAATGTGTCGATATAGACTGAATAGCGTTGATTTTCAACATACGATTTGGTGTTTAACCGATCATTAGCATCGCAGTCGTGTAGAAGATTAATTTTCCAATAGTTCAAGATAAACTGAGAGAAATTGTATAAGAAATATTGAAATTGCTCATGAGAATACAAAATTTCGATACTGGACAACGAAGATATCAAGCAAATACAATGTTCAAGAGATGTAGATGTTGGATAAGTATGGAAAATCTAAACGAAACAAGCAGTTTCAGAGAATATTTTCATAAATTGTTTACACTCGATGCTTTGTCAAGCAATTGACTAAGTTTTTCATTGCATTTTTGTTTAAGAATCATCGAACTTTTGGAGATATTTACATCGTTGAAGAATAGAAGCAGTTTACTAACATCCTACAGATTAGAAAAACGATTTGGACTTGGTTTCTAGAATGAGACACATGAATATTTACTGGATAAATGGTGAATGTTGATTGTCTCAAAGGACATTTGTATCCTTCTAATTTGTCGAACGAATCGAATTGTTCGAAAATTTTCTTATTTAAAATAAAATCTGAAATATTCGAATGATGATCCTTTTCGACGAGAAAGCGACTTATATCTAACCGATTCGTTGTTGTAGATTGGCGAGAAGAATATTTGAAAAGTATTCATTGATAATCATACAGTTCTATTTGAATAAGAAATGTTTTTCAAATGAAATATACATTCCTACTTACTTTTTCTTCGTCAATTTTGTCCAACTGTTCGCATACCTGACTTAATGGCTTTAATAAATGAACAAACGATAGAAACTGTTGTTTGTCTAATTTATTCTTCAAATATTCATTTAATTCATCAATCAATGGCTCGAAGGAATTCAAGACAATGGAATACCAGATATGAATCGTGTTTTTGATCATATTGTCATTTGTGTAATAAAGATTCAACGATCTTTCAAAGAGATTTGCTAGAAGTTGAATTTTCTCACCATTTCCACCCCATTTTTGCTTTTGGGTATCCTTACGAAATTGATTAATCCATGATTCTATGATTGGCTGTCGAAGTGCATTAAATGACAAAATGAAATCGGATGACGGAACGAATTGTTTCAAAAGCTCGACGAGCGACGGAATGAGTGGAGTAGAGCATTGTTGACATCGATTCAATTGATGTACAACAAAGTCACTTGAATATTCTTCTTGATTGATCGGATTTGTGAGGTGAAGAAAAGCTCGAAGGATGGTTACACTGTCGGATGGATTGGCTTCTTGAAATGTATACTAAAGAGAAAAACCGATTGTAAATTGAACATTGAAGAGAAGTGTTCTTACAAGTGTTTGAAAAGAATTCGGATTTGATTTTGAGTCGTTTAATATTTCATGTTCTTCATTAGAATTATTCATTTTAATAAATATGTTCGCTTTAAACTAGAGTCGTATGTATCAGTCAACCATGATCAAGAGTGTTGGCAAGTAAACAGGATAGCGATTGTCAGGCATCGCATTATAGGTGTCGTTCATTGACGACATTGAAAATTTTCCTTTGTTTTTCGTATGAAACCAAAGATGTTTCTTGAGTGGTGTATCCATTGATATATCTGGTTCGATAAATTAGCAAGAAATCGAATAAGTTTTCGTCATAACTTTAATGTAAGTTTCCTATTTATTACCTTTCTACATATATGGTCTGTCTACGCTCGTCAGATATGAGAGCAATCACCTGTGTCATTTTATTTCTCATCTATTGATACTGCACTTCCTTCAAAACTTCGCAACATGTTGTATGCTCTATTCATCCCATTTCCAATTGACCAAGGCAATTTCAACGCGATGAATATATATATTTATCAGCCGAATCGCCCGATTGTTCAACAGAACCGTGGGGTTGTTCAACTACGTCAACAAATACCACAACAGCATCATCAAACTCGAGCTGTGCATAATTTGATGACACAAGCAGTACAACAGCAACGACAGCAAAGCAAGACATTCCCTGAATTAGTTGGCCGCCCTCCGCGAGTAGCTGCTACTTACGTTTCTGCACGAGGTTGAAATTTACTAATCTCTTATTGAAATGACATTTACTAGAAATTGTCTGTTTCCTTTTCAGGCTATCATCCTTTTGTTATAACAGAAGATGAACCAGTCACTAGAGACGTACGTATGGATCGTGTACGTATCGTCGTCGATCCCACTCGACAGTTTGTCATTAAGCCACCGATGGTTGGCTAAATCAATTGGTCATAGAACTTTTCAAAACAATCTGTTTTTCAACGAAAGAAAATCTTTTTGAAAATTGTTTTTTTTTATAAATAGATCTCATCGATACGCAGTGGTATCACGATTAACACATTTGATGTTTCTGATGGTCTGGAGAGGAGGAATATTTCTGATAGTATCAGACGTGATATTCGATGTTGAAGAAAGTATGATGTAATACTGACGTCAAAAATGATAAATCAATCGACCATACCATAACATCTGATATTTATGACTAGTTTATTGTTTATATAGAATTGATCAAACATGATATATTTCATTTCAAACAAGCATCTCGAAAACAGAAACGTCATGTATTCACGACGTCGAGTTCCAATGAGTCACATCTCTCGTCCCATTCAAACTCAAAATCTTATGACATCGTTTCCAACGCAATCTTTAGATCGACAAACATCCTTTCCTGAACTAGTCGGTCGCAGTTCAAGAGAAGCAGTAGCTTATCTTTCCGCGCGCGGTTTGTATCCCTTCATCTGTTTTGTACTGTTTCTCATATAATAGTTTTGTCTTAGGTCTGTCACCGGTTTTGGTTAGACCAAATCAACCGATGACAATGGACTACCGAATGGATCGTGTTCGAGTCGTAGTAGATCCATCAAGACGTATTGTTATTCAAACGCCAACTGTTGGTTAGAAGACTATTTTCTGTCGCTTCTTAAATGGAGTTTTCTTTTTCATCTTAGTTTTCTTTTGAATAAAGTAATGCGAAGAACGCGCACATGAATTGTAGCTTTGCATAATTTGCTACTCTGAGAATGGAGATACACTCAAAATTGAGGCTAATAGAAAAATCAATGCATCATCTGAGCACTATTGGTTTCTTAGGCAAAAGTTTTGTTCATGATCAAACGTCAATCGTCATACTTTGTAAAGTTATTCCGTCACCACTCCAGAAAAAATATATGGAACAGAACTAATTGAGTGAAACATACTGTTTTCTATTCATCACATATGAGTATATAGTTTCATTCACTTCATCGTGCACAGTGCGAAAAACATGTGTTTGACAAGCCATACACTCCTACATACAACTTCTATTTTAACCTCACACACAGCATTACCTCGCGGCATTGGAACTCGCCCAACGTCTTTTCCTGAGCTCGTTGGTCGTAGTCCTAGAGAGGCAATTACGTATCTGACTTCGCGAGGTACAAACGCATAATCTAAATCGATTCAGTACCGATATTTTTATTCTTTCAGGTTTGAAACCAGTTCTTGTATTACCGAATCAACCGGTATCAATGGATTATCGAACTGACCGAGTTCGTCTTGTGACTGATCTATCTCGACGTCGAGTTATCGAAACGCCTCGTATTGGCTAAACGTTCTTTAAGTACAGTTCAAAGAGAACTATTTCAACTAATTTCTGTATGATTTTCGTGCGCGAAATAAAATCAATTAGAAAAACTTAAATAAGCTCAACTAATATGCCGTAGATGTTGACATCATGCTGATTGTGTCATAAATTTGTTTTGCAATCACGAAAAAGAACCTGTAGAAATGACGGAATATTTTCGTTTTATTTCTTCCAAAATGCCAATGATTGGTATCCATTTAGGTTTAGTTATGCAAACAAATGTCCGTTTTACTGCAATGGTTATAAGTACCACTCATCAGATCTTTCATTTTGTATCTATATGTAGCAGGTAATACAAAGTAGAATATATTTTTCATAGAATTCAGCTGGTAAGTTTCTCATGATAAAACAGATAACAGATTGTTTTGATGAGTTGAAAATAATAATAATCTTTCGATATAAATAATGGCTAAAACTTACAAGCAGTAATACCATTGAAAAGTATTTTGCAAATGCTCGGATATACTTTTATCACCTGTGCCCTTTTTATCGGATCTGCTCTGACGAATCCTATCTCGGTATTCAACACCGATGGAATTAATTACGAGTTATATGGTAAATACAAATGAAGTACCATTTGAATCATGATCATTCGATTTTTCATAGGTGGTGGATTCGAAGGAGATATGATTTTTCCTGATGGATATGATCCAACAAAAGATTACGATGGTCGAGGTGCAGCTGCTTATGGACCTCGACAATGGCCGAATAACATTGTTCCTTACGATCTAACCTTAATCACAAGTAGAATCTTTTTCGGAAAGAGGGGCGTACGATTAGATTTAGCTGTTCTGTAAAATCGATAGATGCTGCACATCGCACACTTATTGAGCAAGCCATGGCAACATTAACATCTGTTACAAGTAGCACAGTTGGTGGAACAACGAAACAATGTGTCGGCTTTCGGCCAAAATCAGCAAGTGATAGAATCTTCCTTAAAGTCCAATATGGAACTGGATGCAGTGCATCGGTAAAATCATCATGAAAACACACATCTTCCCCAATAATGAAGCACTTTAGGTTGGTTATGGTACAGGCGAACGACGAATGACATTGCAAGACTCTGGTTGTTTTCGATCTGGTACTATTCAACACGAACTTATCCACGTTCTTGGTAAGTACGACTTGTATGTGTAACTACAAGCAGCTTCTTCATCGATGTATCACAAACCGATTTATACAATGCATTATTTCAAAAATATAGGTTTTCATCATGAGCAATCGCGTCCCGATCGTGATACATATATCACTGTCAACTATGCTAATATTGAATTAGGCAAAGTATGCGTCTGTTCAAAAAGATATCCTCTCTCATAGCTAAACAAATATGAACATTTTAGGAGCATAATTTCAATAAATACACCTGGGGTAGTACTGCTTTGAATCAAAATACACCATATGACTACGTCAGTATCATGCACTATGGCCCAAATTCATTTTCCAAGAATGGACAACCAACTATCGTGCCAAAGGATTCAACTGCAAAAATTGGTCAACGGGATAAACTCAGCGCAGGTGACATTGCAGAAATCCGTGCTTTCTATAGCTGTTCGTAAATTATCACCAAATAAAACAGTCTATTACCGCACACAATGTTGAGTTCTATCACGAAATCATATTCTTAGCCGCACTACAATGATTCATTCATTCAAGTTATATAATTATTTCATAAAAGAGTAATCAACTCATTTACCTCATAAGAGTATAAGTACTGAGGAAAGATGCAACGAAGCGTATCATATACAATATAATATAGAAATGCACACGTATATGGGTCGAGTAATCGCACCTATATTATCATGTGATGATGAAAGTGCCGCATGGTTATCTCGACAGGATCGTTGGCTCGAGGAACAACCACAGCGTCTCCTCGATGCATTGTCTATCCGACGAGGTATGAAAATAGCTGATATCGGAGCTGGAACAGGATTTATCACAGTGCAACTAGCACATCGTGTCGGCCATCGTGGTCTGGTCGTTGCTTCTGACTTACAACCTGAAATGCTTGATGTGCTAGTCAATCGATCAGATATGCCTGGCAATGTAGTTCCCATTTTATCGACACCATATGATACTCGTCTTCCTTCGAATACATTCGATCTAATTCTCTTAGTTGATGTATATCACGAAGCACCAAGACCTGATCTTTTATTGCAAGGACTAAGACGTGCTCTGAAACCTCGCGGACGATTAGCTCTTGTAGAATATCGAAAAGAAGATCCACGAATACCGATCAATCCGTATCATAAGATGAGTGCTAGACAAGCAACTGTAGAACTTCAAGCAAATCGTTTTCGATTGGTACAACGATATGAACAATTACCATGGCAACATCTATTGATCTTCGTAAAACAATGATTTTGATCATTTTTCTTCTTTTCTCAATCAAAAGCTTGGCCAGTTTCACAGAGTAAATCGACAGCCTTCATGAAATAAAAATTCGCGAATTTTGATTGAAAATGAAAACGCATTTTCATTGTTACAAGTCATGTGAGTGTATTCAGCTGTCTATGATCAAGCACTCACTTGCCCTTTATATTTTTCTAATCAAATACAGATTTGCTACCTACGATAGTGTTGAAATATGCTTTTCATATTTTTTATAACATTGACGATCGTTTCCGCTCACCAGAGAAATTCATTCACGTGTCCTGATGGCTCTTCAAACTATCTGCCAGTAGATTTGCCTACCAGTTGGATTAATGGATCCGAAAATTGTTTTGATCGCGATGCTCAAAGACCCGATCTCGCTGCATTCGCTGTTAATAATGATACTTATATTTTACGTGAAAACAAATGTATTAATTATGAAGCACCGTTTATATATTTACTTTTCAGCAATGATACCGTCCTATTAATCGATAGCGGAGCGACGGTCTCATTTGTTTCTTTACCTATTCAACAGTATGTCGAAACATTGATACTTCACTGGTGTCTGGCTCATAAGAAAGTTCGTGAAGATCTTTCTTTAGTTGTTGCACACACACATAATCACGATGATCATACAGCCGGCGATGCTCAGTTTGAAAACAAGCTGTACACTACTGTCGTAGGAACAAGTGTTGAAGAAGTGAGTAAATTTTTTCAATTAGACAATTGGCCAAATTCGATTGGCACTTATTCGCTCGATAATCGACGTCAGCTGGCTGTTGTACCCATACCTGGCCATGAAAATTCTTCAATTGCTTTCTTTGATTGCGCAACAGGATTATTGATAACAGGTGACTCACTATTACCTGGACGTTTATACATATCGAATTTTTCTGCAAATGTGGAATCGATTTCCCGTCTAGTGAACTTTATTGAATCAAATCGTCTCAATGTGACATCGATTCTTGGTGCACATATCGAAATGACTCAACAGAATACAGTTGATTATCCACGAGGTGCAACCCATCAATCGAAAGAACGTTTATTGAACATGTCATTGGAACAATTACATCAACTTAATAATGAGTTGCAACAACAATGGAAAGATGGTTTCGATCATCGACACAAGGCTTATTTCGATACATTTATATTAGATCCTAAACCATCCGAACTACCACCATTGACACCGGGTGGACGTGTTGCAAATCACGGTTTTATTCTATTACCTCTCGATCGATTAGGTTATGTTTGGATCTCACACAAGCCAATGTTCAAAGCACCCCATGATTTTCAACTCGTTTATCTTGCGTCAGTTACAAATTCAACAGTAGATCCTTTACCTCTGCCAACTGATATTACTCAGTTAAGCACGCAATTCACCATTGAGCCCAAAGAAAGCTGGTCATTGAACGATTTAATCAATGGTAACATTACATCATTTCGAACGAAATTATACGCAGGAAATTTTGAACAAGGTGGTCAATATTTATGCGATGTGACCATTACTGTACTCCGACCATTATTAACCGTTGTTCAACTGAACGAAACCGAAGTTGAACCCTATCAACCATTACGTTACTCAAGTTATCTTCTTTCCAATTCAACTGTTGCAAAAGACAATCATATCCATGTTTTTCTACTTCATCAAATTCGTGTTCAACCTGACTTTGATGCTATTGTTCATGCCATCATCAATCCAATGAATTGCACAACGGATATCGATCGAAGTCAATTGAATTCTTTATTAGAACAAAATGAAAATGAATGGGCATTCCATGGAATTGACAACGATATTGGCGATCGTCTTACGCGAGCATCAGGTTTAGTTCGCGCACAATTACTTGGTGACATTTATTCTACGATATGTACCATGAGTATTATCGCGGAAATTCAATGCACAATTGGACCTGATTTTTTCGAAGATTGTAACGTTTAATAAAATAATTCTATTCTTTATTCGATTTGTTCAATAGTATAGAAAATAAAAGGGTTTAATTCGAAACATCGATTCATATCTGACAGCAGAAAAAGTCGACAATGACATAATAAAAGTTATCATTTCGTCTTGACTAGATCTATACTGAGTTCGAGAATTGAAATGAAAAACAAATTCTATCCAACAAAATAATGTACATTGAAAAACAAAAGATCTGGTTAAAACGTGTTAATCTACTTTTTAAATCGTTTTGCGGATGATTTCGTATCTTTGATTATGTAATCTTCAATCGAACGTTGACCATGTTTTGCCGGCGAAGACTTTCTCTTTTTCGTAGTTTCTGTTTTTAAAATTGGTTCACGTAGATATTGACTACCCGATTCCTGTTTGATTACAAATGAATCGAGTGTATTTCGATTGGTTGGTGTCGTTGTGCTAAGAAAACATAATGGAAAGAATTCATTCAAGTTAAGTCGTCTCTATCATGTATTAATACTTGTTTTCATTAGTAGTTAATGGTCGAAGATTGCTCATATCATTCATCTTTGTTGAACCAACACTTGGTGATACGCGATACATGTGAATATCATTACGTGGTTCAAGTAATGGAAGAACCTAAGAAAGTTGATTTAATTGGTAAACAAGAAACCATTTCATCCTACGTTTTCCGCATCATATCGACCAAAATCAAGCCACTGATCAACTTCTTGTTGGGTTGTTAAAATAGCCTAAACATTCATTTGGTATTCACTTCATAGAAATAACTCGATATGTCCTTACCGGCATTCGAATGTGTACGTCAGACATTGTTTCGCTAGCTTCAACAGTACAAATCGTACATGAATACAATAGATCGATCTAAAATAATTGAATAATTGTCTGAATAAAAATGGCATGATCTACTTTACTTCACAATATCGATTAATATCAAAAATACCCGCCATGGCTAGTAATGGCAACTTCTCTGGATCTTTGTTTTTCATCTCATCCAGAATTCGATCAGCATTTATGTTAGGATAATGCTTTTCATGAAGAAATGGTTCTGTTTCATAGATAAAATATGGTGTTTTTGCTACATTCTTTTTCCATTCGAAAAATCTAGAAAGCAGATCAATGAGACTTTTTAACATGATAAAACCAATCGTCATTTACCCTTCAGCAAGAATGACACATCGTTTACCATTTTGAAATGGCACTTTGAACGTTGGTTTTTCTTCAATAGTTTCAACTCGACAATTATTCAAAATAGGCCTATATTCAGCTAAACTTCCTTTATGATAATGTGGTACCAATGCCCAACGCATTGAACAAAGTACACGTGTTGCTGAATCTTCGGTTTCATCCAAATGTTTGGCCGAAATTAAACAAAGACTAGAAGAGAAATTGTCCACTTGTTCTCCCTCCAAAGGCTATCTTTCTACCATGTTGACGTTGGTGAGATGTTCCAACTTGACCGGAACGGTTGTGTCGATGACATGAGGTCGATAAATGGCGGGAGAACCGTTTCTTGTGTTTGAGAATTTGTGTAAGTCGATAGACGTCGTACGACATCCGGCGCTAGTCCACAAGCAAAACGTCCGCACATCGTTTCTGAAACAGTAAAAACCAGAAAGCGTGTTGTTCGAGTTTATTATTTCAACAAAACAAAAAGAAAAACAGATCGACAAGTTTGGCGCACATGATGTTCATACAAAAGAAACATGGTTATTTCATTGATTTTCTTTTATTGCAAAATGATAAGAGAACGATGTGCTTTATCTTTCTAAATACATATGTAATAGACAGACAGAATGAATGTATAGAATAGATTGATAAATAAAAACTATAACGAATATTATTAAATCGATAGACCAAAGACGGAAACGATCGCGTAGAGATGTTTGTTTTCCCAACTAAACATAAAACGAAAAATAATCGAATGCTTTAGATCAAATTCCAATCCTTACCGAACTGTGCAACTACCATCAGTTGTATTGTCCCAATAGCATGAGCTAGCCGTATGTAAACCAGCTCCATTCTTTTGCATAATCACCTACAAATAAATCAAACAATTTGACGATTGCAAAACGGCAATATGTCATACCGCTTGTACAATGTATTTGAATGGTTTGCCTAACTTTGTCAGCTCGGTTAAAACATGATCAACAATATCAGCTGTCCACCGATTGACTTTGTTGTGCTGATAGGAATTTCCTCCGATAATTCTTTCGATCGTATCCTTGATTATATTCGATACTTCATCAATAACGAATGATGTATCTTCTCCACTCATCACGCAGGTTAATCTAAAACGTGAATAAGAATGAAAACAAACTAAAAGTTGCCAGTGAGCCATTGTCTTCTTTTCGAAAAAAAAGGAGGAACACATTGCATAACAAGGCCATTTTTATCCTCGCACACACACTCTCTCTCTTTTTTCTTCACCAACTTCATCCTTTTTTTTTTCTATTGACATAACAAAATAAAGAGACAGGGACCATAAAAAAAATATAATGTCTATATGGGTTCTCCTTGAGAAACAATGATTATACACGAAAACGAAGAGATATCTATAAGTTGTAGTTCAGCGTATCAATAAAACGAACGCAAAAATGGTAATAAAACATTTATCACGGACACAAATCCTTATTATAGAATCAAAGTTACAAGAAACCAGACAAAAATATATGTTTTACGTGTTTCTTACGATATCAAATAACCATCGACGATATCATTTTATAATACGATTGAGAAGTATCAATACTTCTTCTTCTTCTCGCCACTATTCTAATCCCTTTACCCTCTTCTCGGTAGAGACTATCCCGACTATGAACCCCCTAGCGATTGAACAACAATAACAACAAGAAAATGTTGAAATTGATATGTGACCGCTCGTCACTTCATCATCGTCCCTAGCTCTCTTCTCTCTCTTCTCATTATACTCTCGCTTTTGTTGACCTCTAGCTTACCTTCTCAGTAACATCGGACCATGCGGTAGTAAGACACGCTCGTCTATAGTCATTGTCCTATTGTTCAATAGATTCTTTTTCCTTTTCTTTTGTCATTCAACGCTTTTTTACGTGTCTGTAACCTTTGTTCAATTGACAAAACGAATCTAATGTTCTCTCTTAATTCACTCCTATTTCCTTCAAACGACCTGCGATCATTAATTATAACACATCTACTCTCTCACACCGAAAATGAGCTATTTATAAAGCGCACGTATACGTGTGAAACAACAAAGAATAATCTAATCAATCGTTATTACAAACTCTTTTTGCTTTTATTTGATTGGTAAATAGACAACAGTAGCGCGACTGTCAACGTGGAAAAAGGATTTCTCATAAAGGCTAAAGACAAGATAAAAAATAGTCCAATAAAAATCAATAATAAAATATTGCACAAGGCAGACAAATTGTCGGTGACATAGTTTTGGACTGTATCAGTTGTATTCCTTCTAGAAATTGGAAAAAAGCTAAAATATGTCATCGACCGAGAAAAAACCACGTCCAGTATCAGTGAATCCAATATTGTCTGATCATGACTTGACTGAACGCTTTCGAACCTCGTATATAGATCGATCATCAGTTGAAGAACAAGGTTTGTGTGAAAAAACAACTTCTGGTTGGTTCTGAAACCTTTTTCTTCAAGTTATCAGATTGGAACATGAACCGTTTTCACATTGTGTAATCGATGATTTCCTCCATGAGACACAAAGCAACCAATTCCTCAATCAATTAACGAATGAACTGAAAAATATCAGGTTAAACCAAAAGAACAATGATTTATATAAATTTCAACAGGTTGGAGAGAATGAAATTAATAATCAATTCGTAGACATTTTCTAATATGATTTAGTCGGATGATTTGGCGAATGTCACTTTACCGGCAATTGAACAGATGAAGTGGGTCTATTCGATATCTGGTTTATTACTAACTTTCTCTTCGAATCCAGGCAGTTTCTCTATATGGATCTAAAAGATTGGCTGGTGCAAGCGACTAATATCCAACTAAGTGATAAAATTGATATGACGTCGTCGAAATACGAATATACAGGTAAATAGATGCATTGTGCTAGAAAAAATATACAGTTTTTTTTTAAGATTATCTTTTGTGTCATGATGATGACATTCACGGTACAACCGAAGGTCGCCGAATAGCTTTTATTTATTATCTTGTACCGGAAGATTGGAAGGAAACTGATGGTGGAACATTAGATCTATTTGAAACAGATGGTAAATCGTATGTCAACGATGTTTTCAAGAGTTTAATCAATGATTTAAATGTTTAGATCAGAATCAACCATGCAAAATTGTTAAATCACTATTACCGAAAAGAAATCGATTGAGTTTTTTTGAAGTGACTGATAAATCTTTTCATCAAGTAGTTAAAATTAGGAAAACAAACAGCATTTAGTTGATACTATTCATAGGTATCTGAAGTTTTAAATGAAAAACAGGGAGCGCGTCTATCGATCAATGGTTGGTTTCATGGTCCTGTTAACTTCCGTCCGACGCCGATTTTTGAACCATTACCAATCGCGAAACCAGCGACAAAATTTCAATCAAATGATGTAAGATAAATCTCATTATCTGAATGTATGTATATTCCTTTGATTTTAGTTAGAACGTGTAAATCAAACAGTTACATCGACGTATTTGAAAGTTGAAACACAGTACGATGTTCAAATGGCATTTCAAGAAAATTCCGAAACGAAATTATCAGAATTTTTTCAAGTAACTTTTCAATTTGTATACAAAACTTGTTCATTTTCAATCTCTAATAGAAAGACTATTTCCAAGCAATGATAAATGAGTTGAAAAGCGATACAATCAGATGGACTCGACGTGGTCCATATAATAAACGGTAAGTCAACACTATTTGGAAAAGAAAAGTCTTTTTTTGATGCTGGAAATAACATACAGAAATTATGATGTTGCTGATGTGAGCTCTTTACCATCAGCATTGAAAAATCTCGTCGATTTATTTGGTTCTGAGCCGATGTTCACCATTCTTGGATCTTTAACTGGTTTAACATCGGAAAATGATGAAGAAGAATATGAACCATCGCCTAAAAAACAAAAATCAACTTCATCCGGTAAGATACAACGTTTAAAAGTATTCTAAAAAGTGTTCTCCTCCTGTAGCTGAAGTTCCTTCAACATCAACTGCATGTTCATCTGCTCCAAGATGGTATTTCGAATTACGTCGATGGAGACATACGTATTATAGTTTATCTTTTGATATGGATAATGATGAAGATGGAGAAAGTGAAGACGAAGACAAAGATGGAACACTTGATGTTATGCTTTTCTTCAACTATCCGACCGGTAGTTCTCGATTTCTGTACGAAATCTGTTGCAAATTTGTTTGTTTGTTTTTTTCAGATGAAAGCGAAGAAACCGTTGGTGGTGGTGACGTCGTGTACACCATTAAAAATGAAGATGAGACAGTAGATATCCCAGTTTTCGTTTTTTGACACGTATCCTTTCTATTTTAGTTATTACGTGTGATCCCTGAAGATAATAGTCTCAATTTAATCTACCGTGAGGATGATAAAGTGCTGAAGTTTAATAAATATCTCAATCATCGACAAGCCGATAAGACATTCTATGAGTTTTGTGCGTGTTATCTTGATTTAGATAAACTTAAACTTGATTAATAAAAGAAAATAAATAAAAAGATTTTCGAAAAGAGAAAAGAAGAAAACAATTGATTGTTATAGATCTCATTAAATGGCAACTGGTGAGAATAGTTATTTAACTGAAGATGAAGCAGATCATCATACATCATCTTCATCATTGAAACGATTTATTACAATATCGTCCGATGATGAAGAGAAAGAATCTAATAAGCAGATGGTCAAACGTCAACGTGCATCTTCATTACCGAAAGCATCACCGTTGCAATTAATCAATAAACAACCAATGATTCGTAATACTAGACAAACATCGCTGTCGATCATAAGAACTGATGTTAACACTGGTGAAAACAAATGGAATTTAAACACGATAACAACTCAGATTACAACTAAACAATCAAAGAAAAAAACAACGCAAACGGTAAAAGTAGACAGTAGAAAATGTACTCATTTTTACTGGTATTCTTTTAGAAATTATCGACATTTTTTAGTTCGAAGTCTTCTAGTCCACTTGTACGAACAACTTCTTTGCCGACAGTTGTTCAAAAGGAGTCAATCACTGAGAAAACCGATACAGTCTCTCTCGAAGGATTTGATATTGATGCAAACGAGATCTTCTCTCAATGGAGTGATGAATTGTCAAATACATCTTCGTCTACTCCAACAAAGCCGACTGTAGATTGTAAATCAATATGGAAGCAAATTTTCAATAAGCCAGTCAAATCGAAAGCAGACGATCAGGAATTGAAACAGCAATGGTCGAAATTAGATCAAGAACAACCGGCAGGTGGTAATCACCATGGATTTCGTGGATCAACTAGTGATATGAAAAGAAACTGTCCATTCTATAAGAAAATACCAGGTAAACATTTTCAGGGAAGAAATAAATCAATATTTTCGAGTTGATAACTGTTAGGAACAACATTTTGTGTTGATGCATTTAACTTTGGAAATATCGATGGCATTCAAGCGTATTTTCTCTCACATTTTCATTCGGATCATTACGGTGGATTGAACAAAAAGTTTTCTAATATGCTCTATTCAAATCAAGTACGCAAATTATCCTTTTCTTTGCAAACTATTTAATCCGCTTTGGTTTAGATAACTTGTAATCTATGCAAAAGTCAGTTAGGTGTTCGGCCGGAAAACATGACAATTCTCCCAATGAATACGTTTACAAATGTTCATGGGATTGATGTTGCTCTTCTCGACGCCAACCAGTGAGATCATAGTTACGTATGAATCATTTTACCTAAAATAATCTCGTCTAGTTGTCCTGGCTCAAATATGTTTTTATTTCGATTTCCGAATGGTAAATTAATTCTACATACAGGCGATTTCCGTGCAGCATCACATCTTATGAAACATCCATTACTTCAACCGAACCAAATCGATACAATTTATCTTGATACAACGTAAGCATCTAATCTACACAAATATGTTCATCTGCCTGTTGTCTTTCATGTAGATATTGTGATTCGCATTACCGTTTTCCTTCACAGGACGAAGTGATCCAAAGTGCAGTTGAATTAGTTTCAGAGCAGCTCGAACAAAACCCAAGAACTTTGATAGCCGTCGGAACGTATCTTGTTGGAAAAGAACGAGTCTTCCACGGTAAGGCACATGTGTTGATAACTTCAGAATCAATCGAGATTTGCCGTTTAGCCATTGCCAAAGCACTCGATTGCAAAATATTTGTCGAGGCAAGAAAATTTCGGATATTAAATCAACTGGAAGATGACGATTTATCAAAACGTTTAACAACAAAGCCTGATGAAACGAATGTTCATATAGTCGGAATGGGTTCCGTAACTCCACCGGTACATTTTCGTTTTCTCACAAAACTGTTTCTTACTGAGCCTGATAGATGTTGCAAACGCATGCGGATAAGCACTCATTGAAATACACGAAAATTATTGGAATCAAGCCAACTGGCTGGACAACTCCTCGAGCAACAGGCGGAACGAAGCATTACTCAATCGAATCAAAGTCATCCAACACTACTGTCTACGGTTTGTACTACTTTACTTATTCACTTGAAAACGAATTCTTATTTTCAACCATTTATAGGCTTTCCTTACAGTGAACATAGTTCTTTTGATGAATTAAAAGCTTTTATCGAATATCTCAAACCTAAACGAATCATTCCAACGTAAATTCATTCAATTCCTCTCATATTTCTTCACACCATCGATTTTTCCTTTTCTAGAGTGAATGTCGGCCGTGCAAACGTGCGTGAAAAAATGAATGGCTATTTTAAACAATGGTTGTCTACCTGAATTTTCTCTTCGCTTTGTGTTGTATATATATCATAGAAATAATATTCTTTATTTTGCGATGCTCACATGTCAGACTACAATGGATCAATGAATAACCCTGCATATGTCTTTTCTTTTCAGATGCCTATTGTCATCATTGGAGGTGTCACTGCTACTGGGAAAACAAGTACAGCGAAGAAATTGAAAGAACTTCTTCACTGGGACTATATTGAAGCTGATGAATATCATCCACAAGCAAATATTGACAAAATGCACGCTGGAATCGCTCTAACAGATGAAGATCGTCTTCCATGGTTGCTAACTCTCCACAAACAACTAGAAAAGTATTCCGCGCTTGGTCAAAGTTGTATTATAACATGTTCGGCTTTGAATAAAAGCTATCGGCAGATTTTATTATGTGGTACAGCTGATCCAAATGTGCAGGCGAAGATGCCATGTGGAGATTTTTATTTATTTATGTTAACATTACCACGCGATGTTTTACATAAACGTCTGGTTCAAAGACAATCCGAACATTTTATGAATCCACGTTTGCTAGATTCACAACTTCAGACACTTGAATTACCTGCGAGTAAAGAGGATGAACCTCGTACACATGTGATTGATTGTGATGGTCTTTCACCCGATGAGGTGATCGAGACGATACGGAAAATCATCAAACAATAAACTTTTTTAGTTGTACCTTCAACTATTCTGCAGATTGACGCCGATTTGTTAGTTAATTACACTTTTTCTCTATCTCAATCATTATCAATGGTAAATATCCTCTACCGAAATAAATTGATATCAGTATAAAAGCGAAAGTTGTTCCGCCGGGCATATTTTTTAAATAAAATATGATTGGTTGAACAGGCATCGTACATTTATTACATAACATAACATAACATAGAACAAATTTTGCGAGCGAAAGAAGAGTGTTTCATTTACAAGTCAATATCATCAAACCTTCCTTGTCGTATGTATTGACTTTTAGATTTAATCTTCATTGGTAACTTCTCATCTTGATTAAAGGAAGGCAATCCTGTATACATTTGTTTAGGATTACTTTCTCGTACAACGGTGTTAGATGTTCTTGAGATGAAACTATCGTTCCGAGACGACGAACGATAGGAATTCTTTCTTGTTGATTGTCGGCGAAGTATGAGTAAGATTTGCTTTAAACCAAAAATTCCAACGAAAAGACAAAAACCAATCGTGACGAGAATCCATGACCATCTTTTTGATCGAGATTTCAAAGACGCTATTGTTGTGGGTTGCACACTGCTGGATGATTTCTTCACAAGCTGGAATTGATTTTCAGACGATGGACTAACAAAATGACGGTTACGAGGTGTTACAAAATCATAATTTTTCAATGCGAGTTCACATTCATCTTCTACGAAAGTATTCGACCAGATATGAATCGCATCAAAGTGTTCTGACATCACATACTTGTTCCAGTAACTTCAATCAGAAAGCATTGAATCATTGTCGACGGTAGTTTCAATCCAAATTCGCCAACAAAACACACTGGATATTTTTCGCATAGATTTGGTGTGCATTGGAATGTAACTTCGATTCCGCCATTCACTAGATTAACCGGTTGATTGTTATTACATAAAGTTGTTAATTCCGTGATGGTTTGATCTTTCGGTGTAATCAAAGCACAGTTTGGATTGACACGAACTGAAATGTAAACCGATTGTTTAAGTTTAATTGTCGATGATTTTGCCGATGAATCAGCTTCATTTTGAACAAGAATGTCCGGTTGTGTTTCGCAGAGAATGTCTTTCAAAACATGAACTTGTAAACTGATCAAAGATCGCGAAAGATTATGTTTATTGTATCTATCCGATAACCAGAATTGACCAAATTGTTTCCCGGGACGATTCGTTTCATATGTCATCTTGCACGTACTATCGATGTTTACTGTTAAAAACTTCTTATAATTCTCGGTGAACGGTTCGCAAACAATTTCATCGCCTATTCTTCACATTAAAATGCACAAAATCAGCAAAAAAAAACAAACTCTTACCGTCTTGATCGTATATAACCAACGGAATCGCTTTTGGCTGTGCGAGACTCACATAGAATGATGCCGGAATGTACGGATAAGGTGATGAATTAATTCGTGTAGGATGTGTTTCAGTTATTAAGTCGAAATGAAATCTTTGCCCCACAGAATTCGCCCAACAGCATGACGTCTAGAAAAATGATCTCTTTTACATATTCATCCGGGTCAAGTAAACTATAATAAGTATTCGATTATCTACATGAGAAAGTTGAACGGATTCGTGTTTGGCAAGTGTTAACAAAAACTGTCTTCGTAATATTGAATAGCCACTATTATCATTTGAACTTTCGCAATAGCCCCATGTAGCTTGCTGAAAATCTTCGCAGCCATTTTCATTTGTTCTGCTTGAACATTGGATTTTATAGTAATCTTTATTCTTTCGCAACTCTTCTGCCTCGAGCCAGAGATATGTTTTGGTTTTGTTGTCGTATGGAACCGATTCACCGATTACATAGGCAACGAGATGTTTGTTGACTTGCTCAGCTGAACAAAAGAAGTAATGATTGGAGATATGGAAACGGAGTTCAACGAGAAGAGTTTTGTAATTATTTGAATCAGTCGATTGTTGAATACGTCGATAAGTAAATGCACCGCCGAGAAAATGCGAGGCGCTCGTCAATGAAAAAAATACGAAAACAATTAGTGCAAAAAACTGAAAGATCATTTCTATCTAATTGTAACCAAAACACGCGCCATCTCTACATCACAACACGTTGGCGCGTTACTACAGATCATAGAAAGTACTTCAACATGCCGAACAATGTAATAGTGTTCAATGAATACAAGGAAACATGTCGAGTATATGCTTGTGCTCCTTTCAAGTGTGCTTACTATTTGAAAAGTATCTCTACCTAGGTAGCTTTTGCAAGCAATCACCGGAAGCGATCTTTCGATACTTAATAATTAGAATTTTTTTCGAAGGAATTTATTGGTGCAATATTATAAAACAAAACAAAAACGAAGAAAAAGTTTCAAAAACACATTTTTTTGATCAAATTTCCTCAATGAAATGTTTTCAGTTTACTGGCCAAGTCGTTCGAAGAGCTCGGAATCGATCCAGTCGAGGTCATCGAGGGTGCTACTGTCGATACAAAGCTATGTTGTTTGCTAGCTAGTACTCTTTTTCGTTGATGCCTTGCAGGAGCTGGTCGTACAGAAGAACGATTATTTTCATTATCACACCACCTACATATCAAACTCAGCGGAGAATCACATTCAAAATGCACTTACGATCCACACACAATCTGCCAACAGATGCAAAAGGCGAATAACTAAAAACATACGAAGTGAATGAAAAGATATTATCAGAATTTTCAACATACTATGCCAACGAATCCACCTATACCAACACTAAGTCCGACTACCATCGCTCTGGTATCATCGTCCATGATCGTTGCTATGGATAGTTACAATTGTATTTTTAGAATCTGATTGTTGCTGCCCCAAAACAGAACATTAACCTCTAGAAAAAAAAGGAAAGAGAAAATATATTGAGTGATATTTAAAATCCTTTGCTAATAATTAACACTTCAATTTGCATTTTGTTCTGCTTTTCACTCTTATGAAAACTTGAGAAACGTCTTCATTCACTTCCTTCCGCTGTTATTTCATATAACAGCTTTTCTCGAGTTTGAAGTGTCAACAAGAACAAAAGTGAGGAAAAAAAAAGAAACAAATGCATAATTGGGAGAAAAAAAACTATCAATCCTAATGATCAGATGGCATGATTTCCATAGAAATAAAAACTGCCACGAAAAAACTTTGCCCTAGTGCATCGAAGACTTTTGTTCTTCAAGAAATATATCGAAATGACTTGTCAGAAAAGAGAGAAGTTCATTCTGTTCTCCCAATCACAATGCGTAACACAATTAAAACAAAGAGCTAATTGATTTCCCGGGTGATATTCCTATCGATTACTATGACCGAGAACCTATGACACATACGTCACTCGAAAAACCATGTGCAAATGTGGAACTTTCGATAGTTTATCGAGTAATATTATTTTAATTGGATCGAGTTCAAAGAGAAAGGAGCGTTTGTTCACATAAACAGTGAAAAAAGAAAGCAAAACGACATCCGCCAAACGTAATATAAACATCGTTAATGATGATGAGTGATAATTGATGAACTAAATAGATTTCGAATAGAGATGATATCTCGAGAACAATGATGGCGTTTTACATACACAGTCTGTGATATTGAGAACGAGAAAGAAGAATAAACTCTCGATGATTAGTTATCTACGTATGAGATGTTAAATCGATAGTTGTAACACTATGAGATACGATCAATCTATCTCATCATGGAAAATCAATGAGATGGAAAATGATTTATTTTTACACAATTAATCATGAGAATATCCAAACAAATACGTGAATATGGCAAAGTTCACATTGATGAAACGAAAATGATTAAATTCCATTGTAAGACATATAGCTTACAATTCGAATAGAATTTTAGCGCCTTGAACCACACAATCTCATCCAAATGTAAAAATTTACTTTGCATATAAACAAACAAATGGTTCGTCTAAATAGATGTTCATCGATATTCAAACTGACGATAACTAGACTGTGCACATCTTTTCTAAATTCAAATACGTGACATGTCTCACATTGTCTTTCTTTTCCTTTCCTTTCTGTCCATTCTCTCGTTGTATTACAAGTCGAAATTGCTTGTACATATCTCGTTCATTTTTCCTTTCTTCATTCCTGCGTTTGTTGAAAGCGTTATTCGACTTAGTAGTATGTATTCGAACAAGTGACATCTCTGAAAATATTCATTACCAACGGCTAAATTTGTCTTATGTGTCTGGTTTTAGAATTCATTCAAAGATATATTCAACGTGATTATTCTTTATTTCTTCGTTTCCTTATTTGTCTTTTGAACAAACTTATTTGATCCAAGTAAGTAGACATTTTTTCAAAGATATTAACCAAGACGCTACGAATTTCGTAGGGATGTGTAACGAAATTCAAGAGAAACAATCTGAAACCATCGATCTCACCAAGAATGACGAAGACGAAAATGTGGATAGTGCCAAAAACACTCATGAGGACTTGTCAACATATTGCTGTTCGTTTAGAATAGTAGTACGGAACGAAGTAAGTTATCTACACATAATCTTTAACGAGAAAATACTATTGGGAACGATTGAGTTTTCGATGGCTGTCAGACAGACGGTTGATATCTAGGGATGCAGACTATAATATAGAATTCAAATCGAAAGAAACCACGATGAATACATAGAAGAATGAATTCGAAGCACGTGATACGATCTATGTGTGGTAGAATTCCATGCATTCCTTTCTCTTGATTCAATACAAACGTTTTGGTGCATTGAGGGCAAAATTCTCTACGTCACTTTTTTAAGGCTTCATTGGACACAACGGTAACTAGTGAAAGAACTAGTCAACTGCATGCGTTACAGCCAGATGAACACCGTACCAAATCATCATTAGACAAAAAGGAGATTATCAAGAGAAAGAGCAAAGTAATTGAATGTTAATTACGCCTCAAAAACGTCACTCTGCTTTGCATTTCAGTCATTGAGAAACAAATATGTTGTCGTTGATTCTCTGGAAGGTTTGAAAAAGTTACCGAATAATTCCGTCCAGTGTATCGTCACATCTCCGCCATATAACAAACTTGGTCTTCGAGAAGGTCGTCCGTATCTTGGACAAATTATCTACGATACATACGATGACAACATGAAAGAGGAAGAATATCAACAATGGCAATTGAAAATACTCAATGAAATTAATCGTGTTCTCAAACCAAATGGTTCGGCATTTTACAATCACAAAGATCGACGTTATTGCAGACAGGATTATAGACCTGAAGATTTCGTCTCCAAAAGTGATTTGAAGATGTATCAAACATTAATATGGGATCGTGGCTCAACAGTGAATCAAAATACAGCTTATTTTCGTCCGAACGTCGAAAAAATCTTCTGGCTGACTAAAGCTTCATCGGGCACGCCAAAGTTCTATCGTGATCGTTTACCAGAATGTTTCAAAGGCTCAGTCTGGCGAATACCACCTGAAAAAAAGAATAAACATCCTGCACCATTTCCATTAATTTTATCGGAAATTTGTATCTTGGCAACCACAGACGAAGGTATGGCGATAGTGTTAATCAAAAACTGAATTTGTTTCTGGTTTCTTTCAGGTGATTTAGTTTTGGATCCATTTGCTGGCTCTGGTACAACTTTATTAGCAGCTGCAAATCTGAAACGATCATATCTTGGATTTGATCTAAGTCACAATTACAAAATGATGTTTCGCCAACGAATAGCTGCGTCGAAGAAGATACATCTGTGGGAACAAATGTACATCGTGGAAAAAATCGTTGATCACCGGATTCGAAATGGATGCATGGAATATCTTCTGAAATGGAAAGGATACAGCGAAAAAGAAAACACGGTAAGGACAACGAATTCGTATAGAATATTTCCAGTTGAAGACAGTAAGTTTCTTTCTTTTTTATTCTAGTGGGAACTTGAAGAAAACCTACATTGTCCAGGTCTACTCCAACAATTCAAAGCATCATTATCAAATCAGAAGAAAGCAAAGAGTAAGTCGTCGAACAAGAGACCAGTTAAATTGATTCATTCCAATTCGGTAAAACTTTACTAAGTCTATCAACTATTTTCACGTTGGAAATCTGTTTGAATGTAGTCATGTGATCGCAAGCGAAGTATATCGTCCATCAGTTCATCGAGCTCCGACCAAAGCGATGAAAGTGAGATGAAACGACGATGTCGCGGCAAAGCATCAGCTATCAGCAAAACTTCAGTTTATTCTGAATTATCCGACGACGACTATGAAAATGGTATCCTTGGTGGCTATGAATTACGACGAAGACGCTGAATTATTATTAACAATTTATTCATTATCGTCAGTATTTAAAAGACGTGTTTTTTTTCTGTTGCTTTCTCATAGTTCACATATCGATATTTTCTCTGTTTTCGTTTCTTTTGGAACTTGTATTGAAAACATACAATCATTTGTTTGATTACAAAAAAAAAAGAAAACATTTGTTTATACTTTGCCGTAATCAATCGTCTACTTAAATTCTTTCAACCAGTTCATTAATCAAGTGAACAGACATTTTCGATCCAATACAGAAGAGAATTATATTCACACTAACGCATACAAAGCTATGTTTGTTCTGATATAATAATTATATTTTGAATATGTCAACACGAGGAATGAAGAGGTTTGTCGATTCAGCTCTTTTTTTTAGCTCGTTCTTTCACTGTTTTCTTTTTTACATCGTCACTTCACAACCATACTCACCTTTTTTCTAACACGCACGTTAAACGGTTTCTACATTTTTTTTAAAAGAAAGAAAAGGGCAAATTAATTTTGTTATCATAAATGGCAACCAGTGCAGCTTCGACAGCAATAACTGGTCTACCGACACGTGGTTTTTTTGAACCGGCGCAATATGAACGCTGTATTAATCGGTATGAATTCGGCAGTGAGTTACTCGGTCACTTGTCGAGTATGTTCGAAGAACGATCGAATTTAGAACATAGTTATGTGAATTCTCTTCGTTCATGGTCGAGAAAATGGCATGGTGAATTGACGAAATTATCCGAATATTCTTCGAATAAGAGAGTTTGGGACCAAATCGTATCGACAGGTGAACAAATGGCAGATATTCATCAAACAATCGCATCTAATCTACACGACAATATTCAACCGAAACTAAAGCAATGGAGGAAGGACAATTACGAAAAATCGTTTATAAATTACAAGAAATCAAAAGAATTCGAAAAGGAATTCGACAATGTTCAAAAACCATGGAGCAAACTACTTGAATCCATACATGAAGCGAAACAAAACTATCATAAGTTAAGTAAATTATTAAAGCAATGCGAACAGCAAAAATCATCAATGCCTGCCGATGTGCCAAGTGAAACACAGAAACAGATTGTTGATCATTACATTCAAGTGAGTCTCGATGTTGACACTGCTCGCACACGATATCAACATTTATTACGCGACGTTGCGCCTGGCGCGGAAGCAAGACAACGGTATGAAGCAAATATGACTGAAGTCTTTCAACATACCCAAGCATTCGAAAAGAAACGTCTCGATTTTTTCAAAGATATATTTACCGATTACATCAAAACTCTTCAACAACAAGCAGTTTTCAATAAAATGCTTGATGATTATGTTCGAGTTTTGCAGACACATAATACTCCAGGAGATTTGGATGCTTGGTATAATAATCATGGGCCCGGTACTCAATCACACTACCCAATTTACGAAGAATATCAGGAGACTTTGTAATTGACTTTTTTACTTTGATTTCATAGGAAACATAATAAATGCGAGACGAAAGAAAAAGAACGATCGATGATTGAAGTGAAAGGTATGAATCAGTGTCAATAATTATTCTGTCAAGAAAGCGATGCGTCATTGAGTGTGGAGGATACCGAAAGGTTTATTTGAACAAAGAGACAGTTATTTTCAGTCGTGCTATTGTACTGATGTTTTTGTAGTCGATGATGAACGTCGTGCATTGCTTGTACCGGTTTGAGTAGTTGAGTATGTGGTCGAAACGATAAAATCACTGTGGATACCCGTCGGAGCTCTTACGCATAAAGATTTAGAAATTAGTAATGTCGGCACTTTATTTAGTTCGCAATCGGATTGTCTATGTCGTTGGTGAAGTACTCGTCGATTAACATACGGGGAATTATCCGTGTATACACTGAGTTGAATATTTAGACTATTGTTGTCGAGATTATTTGATCGATTGGGTACTTTACGCTGAGAACAGGACAGTAATTTGATAAATTCTCTTCGAAAATCTTGTCCGCTCAGTGTGTAGAGGATAAAATTTAATGCATGTTTCGTATACCACAGCGATTCAAGTAGATCCAAGACAAGTAATTTCGTATCTGAAACTCTTTTCGGCGATTTTAATCGGTTTATACATATATAAACAACCGACGGACACGTCAACAGCATGAATGCTAATGTGACGGACAATAACATGATAGTTAAGCGATTATTTCGTTGTTGTTTTTTCGATGTTGTAAATAACATATTCGAATGCATAGTTGTACGAATGATACCGATGTTGGTGAAGACCATTAAACAAAATGGAATGATAGCGACAAAAAGTAAGTCGAAAATTGGTACGTATAAACGAAAGAATTCTTCATATTCTTGTCGTGCCATGCACACGAAACGAAGAGTGTAGTTAAAATTGTCAGTAGCATTCTCAAGATCTGTTTGAACACTTGATATTTGTAATGGTATATGCGTTCCTAGAAAACAAAAGACGAAATAACGTTTGTATGAAATATCAATCGAGCGACCCAACAAATGATAATGCTATTAAAAAGAATATGTATCGAATGCTTACCTACGACATGAAAATAATGTAAATTCTCTGTACAGACAATAAGAATAAGTATACATGAAGATTTTCTTACACGTGAACTAGCATTACGACGTGTGAAAAAATTTTTCATAATGAAATACCGATCAAAACTAACGATAACTAAGATCCAGGATGCTAAATGTGACAAAGACGAGGAAAAGAACGTGAACGATCGACAAATCCACAGTGATGTATTCCGTACATCTACATGAAACATATATCGATAAACATAACGTGTCGATCTCAAATAAATAAAAAGTATGTCGATTACAGCCAGTATACACAAGTATTGGCATGTTGATTGCCGACGAAAACGTTTTCGTAGAAGAATTTTCAAACAGAGAATATTTCCGATTGTCCCGAATATCATTAAACACGGATAGAAGATTCGAAGAAGACCAAAACGAACGATATTATGCCACATTGTTTCAGTAGTTGACTGAAAAAGAATGAATGGGCATGCTTAATACTCTAATTTTATATTGTATGACGCATATCCGTTACATGAGTTAAAGAAATAAAAATTGTCATGATTAATTAATAGATCTCTAAAAGTGCAAAGATAAGCTTATTGTTTTACGTCTTTCAAAATAGATTTTCATCAATATCAACAAGGATAAGACTAATTTCTTCACGAGCAACTCTGTCTGATCAAACAAGAAAGCTACCTCTTCCGTTCTAACTCTGAATCACGCATACTCAACTCCAAAGAGCAAGAAATCTTTTTTCATCATCGGCACTTATCTTAGAACATATGATTAGAAATGACAAGTATTGTATTCAGGCATACGAATGTCTACGTAAGACTTTAATTCGATGAGAATATAACACATATGCTAAGCTTGCTCTTTCTCTATCTCTCTGGGCGTACCTGTCTAAAGACATCAAACACCACCTACGAATTGTTTAACGTTGAATAAATCCGAGCTTGTTCACTTACCATAGAACTATTGATTATCATCCTTTTTCACTCGATAAACTGTTTTGAAATTTCAATTTTAGTCACTCGAAATACAAGTCCGTCGCCTAGTCGATTCCGTGCTCTTTAGAGTACCCAAGGATAAGACTTACGTGCGAATAAGGGAAGTTTATGACAAAGATTATATGCATGATCAATGCATACGCCTCGAGCGATGGGAGCTTTGAGCTTCATTTTGAAAGGAGGATCTATTCTCTGAGTTAAGCGTGAAAAAAGTCATGAATGTGTTTATATATGGCTTCAATCTTGAACTTCATGAAATATTCGCAGCCGCTACTGTTTTAAGATAGAAGCGACTGCTAGATAATAATGGAAAAAAGTACATTGAAGTCGTCAAGTCGAATTGAACTTAATACTTCATGATAAAAGAACATTATATTGAGCTTGAAGATCATCAATTATGTATAGAAATCTATTCTCAACATGAGATAAATTTAACAGAGGTGAAGAGAATTTTTTTTATTTTCTATTTTATAATGCACAAATCGTTGAGATTGTAGACAAAAGAAGGTGAAGGGTTATCTTTTGGATTGTGTTGATAAACCAGTAGTTCGAACGTAAGAAAATTAAAATGCGCCGTGCAAAGTGTGACCGAATTCGCGTCAGTTTCACTCGGAATACGAAAGATTGGAAATGATGGATTTTCATTGTCACCTAAGAGACGAAAAGCATCGTCAATGGTAAAGATTTCACCGAATTCTTGGCCGCGTTTCCAACGATTGTAAGTCGAATCCAGGCTTTTCTGTTGAATGATAACTTTATGTAATCGTTCATAGTGATTATAATGTACAAGATAATTCAAAATAGTCTCAGATTGATCTGAACAAAAAAGAATGATTAATTAGACGATTATCTGTAGCAATGATTTTACCATTTCCTTTGTTTTCTTTTTGACCCTCATTAATTATACGACATTTGCTGATGAAATTTTCATTAGCAAGCTTGATATTTGGTCCTATTTCATAATTTAGCAGACAGTGTTCCTCGCGAAAGAACGCTCCATTGACACAAAAACCAAAGGCGACAGGTGAAATACGCAGCAACCTATCGAGATCTTCTTCGTTCCGTACGGACAGAAGTGCACGGTTGACAATTTGACGAGGTAGACGACCATGGGCGACAAAGTTCGGATAGAGTCCATTCAACCCAAAAGCAAAACTATGTTTATTGGCACCGAAACCATTTCCTAAATTGCAAACTTAGTTTTTCTTTCATGACACAATCGATTATCTACCTGGAATAGCACCGGCATAACAATACGCAATGAATTTCTCATCTGGACTCCGACGTTGTCCATCATTATATTCAATTGAGTGAATATCTGCTTCGACGAGATATCCAGTCATGTACAACGCGGTAGCGTGATCTTCATTGTGCAGTAGAGAGAACGTATTGGTATCTTGTCGATTGAGTAACACAGTTGTGCAACCTTTTTCACCGGTTTCATCGGAAGTTTGTTTATCTTTCGATAGCTTATAAGCTGTTTGAGTTTCGTTGAGAAAATTCAAAACTAATATTTGCTCTAATGGTACTTCGGACCCATCAGCTAACCCGTTGATTTCATCCCAGTACCATGGATACAATGACCGGATTGTTTTGGCGAAATCTCGATATAAATTAAAACCATCTTCGGTTTGAATATATTCAAATAACGGTGATAAAACAGTCAGATCATCAGCGATACGATGACGGATAGCTTCGCGTGTGATCTTGCCGATAACATGAGCACATTCATAGTGCGTACCTTTCACACGATACAACGGGATTCGAGTTGAGGTCATTCAATTTCCACCTCACACAAGTGTTGGCAACAACTAGAAAAAAAAGTTATTCGGGAAAAATCAAATAACTCAGAAGAATGTTTTTCAAGATTGATGGAAACGATCGACAACAGTCTTACGTAGAAACCAAACCAAAAACATGTTATTGAGTCTGTTATTGGCTTAGAAGTAACCAATGCTGAAACTTACATTAATATCGGGATATAGAGGAAGTTATCTCGAGCACAAACTGAAGATGTCTTACATTCATTTTCCACACCATCAAATGTGGAAAATTTCAAAAACTAATTAGTTCTACATTCATGATTTCTCCAAATAGTTTTAGGTCCTGACCTATTTTGCCATTGAGAACATGCAAAAGATCACCAAGACCAGTATAGAACAGATGATTTCGCGATTCTTGTCAATTGTAAATGAACACCAATCACACACATGAGCTGATTTTCTATTCTCAAATGCATCATGGCGAATATGAACATAACGGTTAATTGAGATTCAAAAGAAATCTCTCAATAGAAACTTTACTTTCATTCAAGACAAAATGAAAATAATTAGAAAGGCACTGACACATGTGTCATTAGAATATCATTGTAGTTTAACATTCAACTTTGCTCTATATCTCTTTATTTGGGTGTCAAGACTGAATTAATCGTTGAGAAACCATCGGAAAGATTTTATAATGCAACGGCAAATTCTATCAGGCGACACTAAAATGGAATGTTCAGCCGAAGGAGACGGGAAATTAGTCGAATTTGCATCCTAATAGAAAACAAATCTAATCATAAAAAAAAGTTCTTTTATTGCTTTATTCGATTACGCGATGAATTTCGATAACATTTCTCTTATGTATAGATCAAAGCGTGAGGATATGTTCTCATCGTTGTTTTAAACTAACAATCATTAATTGTCGTTTGTCACAAACTGTGAAATGCATTCTTTGAATTTGTTTTGTGTTTCTGTAGGACGCTGCAGTGACTGTCTTTGTTCATGAATCATGATCATCTACCTACGTTGTACGCCTTTTATTACCGGAAATTTGCCAAATATTGTCATTTTTTTTTATTAAAAATGCGTTGTAATTTTCCGTAAAACATCCGCTCTTTGTGTGTATTTGAAAATATATCATTATGAAGTATTCAACGACGTTGCAATCTATTGATTTGCAGTTTCACAATCACGAACAACAGCGAAAAGCAAAAGCGAACTCTCATCCAGGTGTGATGGTACTAATAAAGTTCTATTGATTTATACTTTTATGAGAGTGTCTTCAAGTAGATGCGCTGTTGTTTGTTGACAGAAATGAGAGTTTTTCAATAGCACACTCATGCAACTTAAACAACACAACTTGTTTTCGACAAGTCATTGGGACGAGAAAAGTTTTCCAAAACAGACGTATTGTTTTGTCGTTACTCCTTACGAAGAGACATGACATAAGACAGAACTAGTTATTTTTCTATCAATAACCATTTGAGAGGAAACAGATTCAAAAACGAACAAAGACTTCTTTGCAAATAGTATATGTTCTTCTGATTTCTATCGGGTTTGTTTTAGTCGATGCATTTCTGTTGAGAAGATTAATAGACATCGGACAGATCTTTTTATCGATCAATCTCAATTACATTTTGTCGCGATACTCTTTTGTCACTCCATACCAGATGTCAATTACATCCATCCATACAGTTGCATATCTAGTCGATATGTGGATGAATTTGATCGAGATTTGTTTATATGAGACATTCGAGCGCATACATCGAACGTATGGCTTGTTGGCAGCGATAGAAAATGTTATTATTTTCGAATTGATTAGAATAGAAGTTTGTTGATGGTACTGATGAAAATAAAACAGACAGATGATGAAATTAGAGAAGAAAAAAAGTTTTTCTACTCGATGACGACCTTTTCAACTCAAACGAATGTTGAAATCTTCTATTCTTACTTTTCTCCTGTGTACCTTTTTTTTGAAAAAAAAACAGTCCATATTGATGCATTAACTTCTTTTCTTTTCTCTTTTTTTTTCTTCGTGTTATTTTTGTTCCTCTATTTTTCCTCTGTTTTTCTTTGTGTCTTCTGCTTCTGAGTATGCAAGAATGTAAGAGAGAAAAAAACAAGAAAGAGAATCTACCAATCTTCTCCTACTTCGTTTACATACATTCACTCTCGCTCTTCCCTCTCGTCTCCTATTCTCTCAACCGTTTTCCTGAATCGAGCATTTTGTATATAGAATTTTCACTGTCGACGAAGAGTGAATGACTAACTAACTGACATCCACATATTCGACTAGGATCGTAACAAGATGCTTCTTTCAAATCCAAGTAAGTTGAACAAGCTCATTTTCAGTTGAGTTTACCCGTTGACAATATTTGTTTTGATACTTGATTTCTTGCATGATGATTATGTAGACGAGTAATGTTCATTGCTTGAGTAATTCAGATGAATATTTAAGAAAAGTTTTCTTTTCATGAGAATAATTGCTTGCATAGCTGAACAGTATATCTTGCATTCATGGATATTTGAGAAACCTTCATGAAAGAGAAATTAATTCACAATAAAAAGAATAGAATAAATATTATTATAATCCTATTTATATTTGTTACTTACGTCTATCTATTCCCTAATGATCAGATCATAGAAATGAAGCATATCTGAAGTTTGTGTCGTCGTCCGAGTGAGAGAGAGAGGTATCTGTATAGATCTTGTCCTATCATTCGATTCTTCGAGACAATTTATTCAAATAACATACGGAGACGATTGACTAGCGAAGAAAACAAACTACGATTGATCGTTATTATTGCAAACGATACAATGATCGATGCGCGATTTGTATTTTCCTTTAGTTTTTCGCCTCGAGTTATTATATCATCCATGAAATGTTGCCAACATTGCGTTTTCCTTTTATGTTGCTTGGATCGGAATAAAGGAGAGGAAAAAGATGACTGATGTGATGAGGATGAGGATGAAAACGAGAAGGAATGGATTTGCTATCTGTCAGTCTGTCTAAGCACAGGAGTTTTCTTCGTAGATTACAGGAAAAGGGATGGATGCCATTTTTTTGGTAAAGCAAGAAGAAAGGTGAGGGGAGCATAGGTGCTTTAATTATCGAAAAACTCGGATGACAGAAGACATATAAATAAGAAGAAAAGGATGCTTGTCTATCTGACATTCATTTCATCGATATTTCTTTGTAAACGTACATAGAAAATTTTCCTTTGTCCTATCATCTTCGAATATTTTATCGTTCGATCTGCGAGTACTCTTAATCAAGAAGAAAAGTATATCATTGGTGTCAGTGCGTTCGCTTTTTTCTTCTTGCCTTACTGTGTTATTAGATATTTTCCTAACTATTCAGTATCCGATCGGGTTAAAAGCAGTGGATGGGAGACGATCGCGTGTTAGAGTCGTCGCTTTCGCTTGTCTCGACTAGCTGTGTCCTTGTCAAGCAAAACAAAAGCTAAGCTATTTGGTAGAAAGAACATTGATGAAGCACACAGGTTGATTTGAGATATAAACAAACAATAATGATAATAACACTAATCATCGCAGACATTGCGGGAAGAGAAAAATCTTGCATAGCTTTGTGAAGATGGGTTAGAATTCTTTTCGAGTATCTCATCATAATTATACTCGAATGGAATATTCGGTGAACATGACTAAGTGTTCTACCATTTGACCTGCATTCACATGTTAATAGATTTGTCATCTGTGAATTTGTTTATTGTCATAGATTCTCGGTCATATTTAATGTTTTTTTCTCACAAAGTAATGCGCTCTAGAATGTCTGTTTACTTTTGTTGTTGATCTATTGAGAATAATTATCAAAAGAAATCGTTGCTTGTCATTCGTGCTTGTTTTCTTTCTTTTACTGACAAGTACAAAACAGCTGGAGATCAAGGTGTACGATGTCATGATTTCCATTGAATCGTATGCGCGCTTGCCTGCTGATAATGTCCATGATTTGAGTGATGAAGGAGTCTTTCATTGAATAGATACATACTAGTTATTTACTCGATAGGAAGTCGCGTTTCGTACTTCGAGTTGACATTCCGACAAAGATAATTATTGTCAGTCATTGAATCTCGTTAAAACTAATCAAGAGATTTCTCTCGAGTAGTTGTCAAACAGTTGCTAAATATTAGAAACGTGTTCTGCTTCTCCTCACAAAGTAAAACAACGCGAAATTGATTAAATCAAATATTTTGATCACATTTTTAAAAAAAGCAATGAATGAGCCAGTAACGATTTGAGTAATTTCATTTTTATTGTTTTCTACTTTCTTTTCACTATTCATATAATGTGCATCGTAAGAGGATTAACAATTATTGTTTTCCTTTCAAATAGGCCACAATTTCTCTCAATTTATTTCTCATAATGACATCCAGTGCACACACATTTTTTATTATTAATCAAACGAGCCTGGCCTATATGTCGCCTCGAGCTCACGCTGAGCAATGTCGTCATCGGAAGAGTATTTTCAGATTTTACCTTTCTAATCTACCTAAATTTGTATAGGAGAGGCGGGCATTTATATTTTTTTGACGCACAAAGAGGAGAAAGCCATATAAATACGCGTGCTTTCTATAAATAGAAGAGAATTAGTCGGTTATTTGATTTATTCTTTTCTACTGCTTTGTAGAAATTGATTATTCAACAGTTCGCCGCATGCCAACAGTTAAATTGAGTGGACAAACACAAGGTTCGACGATGCCAACATCGACATCATTGCAAGATATCAACGCTCATACACAAAAGTTTGCCTGGAATAGTTCAACTGAAAAAGATGATCGCCTCGTTCATTTCTCCGGGTATGTATAAAGATTTAGTTGGCAATATATCCTAGTTTCCCTTTTTTATTCCAGCCAATTATTATCAACAAACAGTGTTCGACGATTGAGTACATCGCAAAGTGATGAACGAATCTTTGAACATCCGGAAGTGACCATAAAACCATCGGCACTTGATGACGAAATTCAAAAGCGTTTATTAACCATGAAACCATCGAATACTAATGAGAATCTGATTGAACGTGACGGAGGCAGAAGTGCGCCGAATATTCTCGAACATCCTGACATGCGTGCACCTGTCGTTATGCTATCTCAACAGTTGTCATCATCTTCAACATCATCATTGATTCAATGTGACTTAAAACGTGTGACGCGAACACAATCTGGTAAATTAAAAGCAACTTCTCGGTCGAAGCTAAAAAAAACATTCATTTTCCTTTCTAGCTGAACCTCCATCGACAACAACGCACACACTATCACCAGCACGTGACGATGTCAAATTTTATCTAGACGATAGGGACAATTTCAAACGATCAACGTCACCTGGTGACACAAATAAGAATTCGAATTCAGAGAAGGTATAACTTTGAATGATGCTTATTTCGTCTGACTGCAAATTTTGCTTTTAGAATGAAAATTTAGCATCATTGACCAAAGTTTCTCTTTGTGAACCTGAAGAAGGAAGCTCAAAATTAGATGTTCATCTACTTAGTGCGAGAAAGAACGAATCTTGGTGATGTTTAGCTCTTATGTATTTGATCTATTTTTTTCCTGTTGTTGTTTATTTTTCCTAATTTGATGTGTACATAGTACTAATGAGAAAAGCGACAAGAGAAAACACGTCTATATGTATGTTTTTTTCAATAACGAACAAAATGAAATATATTTGGAAATGAACTACGAATCGAAATCTCGTTCAATGGAAAACGTTTTCAATATACGATTGGGATTATAGTCTTGGTTCGTGAAAAACAAGGGATTACTGACGCCTAAACGATACGGTTGATAACGATCAGCAGGACGTTCGCCATATGGTATGTCAGAACGAAAATGGGATTGAGGACGAATCGTTAAGCCATACCATAGAAACCAGATGATAATAAAAACTAACATTAATGAAAATACATAACCAAATACAATAGCTAATGGCCAGAAATCAGTCGGACTAGGTTCATCCTGACTGAGTGCACTATCACGTGGTAAAGCATCGACTGGATCTGATTTGAGAGCAAATTCACATCGTTCACCTGTATATTGTTCATGACATGAACATGTGTAATTTGTTGAAGAGATTATTGATTGACATGTACCATTGTATAAACACGGATTCGATAAACATGGATCAGTGTGACACAAAGAGTCTAAACACAAACAAATCTCTTCATCAATTAGACAAAAACCAGTGACAGTCTGGCTTTAGTATATCGGTGATAAACGAACAACTGTTTTTCTCGTAACTGTATCAAGATAAACATGCATTATTGATGTAGAAAGTCTCGAAAAGAAGAAAACTGATTTATTCTCTATGGTATTCCCTAGCTTCCTTTTTTATTTATCTTTCTATCAATTTATGAGTCAAACGAGAGTATGAAATGAGTAGTTGTAGCGTACCGGTACAATTATTTTTAGTTAGTTCACAAAAGGAACCCGTATAAGTTGATTTGCATATACATCGTTCTTTGTTGGCTTCATCAATCTAAACGCAAAGAAAGTGCCACGTGCACATGTGAAATATTTTGATTAGCAAGAAAATATGAGTGTATATTTTACCAAACAAATACCGCCATGTTGACAGATACGAAGACACTTCGACTTAGATGAAACCGGTTGAAATGTTTCTATAATAACACGATTGATTAACATGAGGAAACCACTGACAAGTACATACGTGAAAGTTCACAATATTTGCCCGTATAATGTCGTCGACAGATGCATTGAATATCATGATTGGATTTTGCAATACAAATACTATCATGCTGACAGGGTGAACTTTCACATGGATTTGTTTCTTAATAAGATTGAAGAAAAAGGTATCTACATGAGTTTCTAGTTTGGCAACATGCAAACGTTTCTTTTGCCTTTCTACATTCATTCCGACTAAACTTACGAAAATAGGATATGTTCAATAGTTCTGGATAGATTGAAAATGTTCATGAGAGAGTTGGTGTTTTGCTATGAAAGATAGAATACTTACCAATTTCACAATAGATTCCAATAAATGCTGGTGAACAGATACATCGAAATTGATGTTCAGATTGAATGACACATGTGGAATTATGCAGACATGGTGCACTCAAACATGGTGAATATTCTATAAAAGAAAATAACTGAAAAAAAACCGGGAAATATATGCAAGCTCAGTTTTACTGGTTTTGAGAAACAAAGCAGGTGCTGCTGTTGGTAGACTCGAATTTCTATTTCGATCGATTCCATAATTGACATGTAACCACTCCGAGTAGTCGCTAAGGTCCGTGATTACAGATACATGTGATAAATCTTTTATTGATTTTATCGATGATGTTTGCATAGATAACGTTGTTTTCACACGATCAGACTTCTTAGTAGAAATATTCGTTCGAGTAGTCGTTGTCGATGCTATAGATTATATCATGTGTGATCGAGTATATGATGAATTCTCCGAATGGAAATCTTACTTAACAGACTTTGAGAACAATCGATACCACTCCAATTCTTTTCGCAAATGCAAAGTTCGGTATAAAGATCAATTTTTATGCATTGACCATGAACGCATGGTATTCTTTCACACGATGTAACAATTTCTTATGGAAAAAGAGACAAAGGTTTCTATACAGATTGTCAAAATTAATTCGAAACTTTTCTTACCAACTTCACAGTTTCGACCAGTAAAACCGTTCCGACAATGACACTTATAGATTGATGAATTCTGATCACCATGATCTTCACATGTAGAATTATGCAAACATGGCCGACTAGCACAATCAATCGTTCCTATTCAAAAATTCCATATTTTCTATTGCTCAACATGAAACTTTATTATGCCGATAAGCTCAAGCATTTTTGTTTCAAATTACAAAACAAAATCAAGGCCATAAACGTACTCGGAACAAGCCGTTGATTGCAATTCTCTGATGTCCAATTCTCATGACAAATACACTTGCCATTTCGCGAACAATATCCATGCACACATGTTGTTCGGTTACATGTATGATCAACATTTATCATCGACGGTCCTAAATCACACCTTGTTTATCCCTATTAATCTAATCCTTGACAACAACTTACCAATTTCACAAGTAGTACCTGCATACCCCAGTGGACATTGACATAAATAACCACGAAAGTATACGACACATGTGCCATTATTAAGACAGGGTCGATCTTCACAGGCACGAACGTCTTTGGAAGAACAAAGAAGAAGAACTTGTTTTCTAATCAAACATGTGTCGCTGTCATTTCTTACCACTAAGACAATCCTGTCCAATATAACCATGCTTACAAATCTTCTGTCCAGTATTCACATCGCAATCGTAACGTTGCTCATTCGGTAAGCAAAATGTTTCACAATCATGATTGTAATAATGTGGAGAGCAATACAACTAGCAAGAGAATGAGAACATCGAAAAAATCAGAGATTATTCATTGCTTCAAGAGACAAACCGTAAAATCTGCTGTTAGATTTGTGTAAATTCCAAAGAGACTGCGTAGAAATAATCTTTGCGGTTGTGCGACTTCACGTGAGTGTTGAATTTTTAAATCAACTAATGTTTTTGCGTAAAAATCAATGGAATCGTGTACTGTTTGATTGTTGATATCGTCAATGTCATAAACTTCGACAATGACACCAAGACCAGCCTTTTAGAAGAGATACGTAAAAATTCTAAATTTTTTTATAAGAAATCAATTTACTTTTGGGTATGGAAATCGAAAATAAATTGTCGGTTGAAACCAAAGAGAAATTAACGACGATCGTTGTTTTTTATTATAGAATGTTAATGGTGGCCGTGTCAATTGTTGATCAATATTAATGAAATGAATATCATCAGCACCAACGAAACCAGTGAAATGTTCACCTAATGTACAATTATGTGGATTCTGGAACGGTAATTGTACGAGACAAAATAAAAAGCCGGTATCACATCGACCGTCTCGGTTAATGTCATGGCCAAGTATTGTATCGCATGCACGATTCTCATAAGTTAAACCATTTCGATTTTTATAATGAAGCAAACGTAATGCAAGTGTCACTTCGCCCAATGATAACTAAAACAAAGTAAATCGAATGGTATTTTGTCTCTTCACACGAATTCCAACAAACTTTCAGAATCGCAAAATTATAAACGAGAATAATAATTAGCCATTGTACCATGTCGTTGCCTTCCGTGCATACTCATCAAATACACAATCGGAATGTTTTATTCTGACACGTAAACGTGAACAATTCACGTTCGATCTATGCGAGAAAAAGAAAGCGAGATGTATATACCAAACATACATCAATAGAGGGATGGTCAATATTGTGTACACGCCCTATTCTTCAGTTTTCTTCCAAATGAGTGTTTACCTTAGGGTTATTAGTTGCAATGCGCTTAGACATTCTTGTTTTCTTTCTTTTTTCTTGTGCGACTGTCAAGCCTATTGCCTACAATGGGATGCAATTTTTGATCTTTTTACCGCGTCTTCTCTTTGTTTCTGTTGAATATACAAAGAATTAATTTGAATTAATATACTCAAGAAGAAGAAGAGGAGAACAAAGAATGACGAGACGTATCTATATGTCTAGAACTGCATGTAATTACGACAGTTAATTATTCGTGAATAGTATTCAGACGGTGAACGAGTCTTGTGTGAAACAAATTTCGATATTTGTAAACTAAATCTTCAAGACGATCGTTCAATGTGATGCGAAAAATTCGTTTGCTCATCAGGTATATGTCGATATCTATAAAATCTGTTTGTAGGTCGTGGCTCATGACATTCAAATTGTTAATATGTCATCAATTGCGTAGACAGTAAAAATTATCACATGTATCAATCCGATATGTTATGTTTAGACATAATAATGAGTATGCTATGATCGATGTTTATACGAAAATTATCACAAAAGAAAAATAATGTTGCTTTAGCGAGTTTTGTTAAAACAACAAAGTATCTTGATCTCATGCACGTGCTGGTTGTTGTATAACGACAGGTTCATTTTGACCAGGTTTGTGGGCAACACTAGGTCCATTATCTATTAGAAGAAGAAAACAACCGATTGAACTTTCGTTGATCTGATTGATCAAAAAACAAACTAACCTCTTGATTTCATTTCACGAGCTTCTTGACAAAGAGCACACGGACTGCAACAGATTGTTGCCGGCAGATCTCCACACGAATCTTCTTTCAAACTATATTTTTCACGTAAGTTTTGTCGTTCGAAATAATGCGGAATACAGCATAGATAAAAGCTACTTGCTATACCGTATAGACAACACATCAAAAAGCAGTTTTTCCCATCGATTTTCTTGGCATTTGAACCGAATAAACAAGGCGTACAACAAAATCCATAGCAACAAGTTTTTCCATCGTTACAACAACCGAATAGTTTTTCTACAATCGACAAACATTGTACATGACGTTTTTTTTCTTATCAGTAGTTTTCTTTACCATTCCATTCGTTCGTGCCTGGCATGATTATCAATGAAGAGAAGATTCTAGGGAAATTATATGATTATTCATGAGAAAGATTGTGTTTCATAGCCATGCATATTGTTCGAATTTTTCAAGAATTAGTTCTCAATTCGGTCGTCAGAACATAGGAAAATAAACTTACCTATTTCTTGGGAGAATGAAAGAGGCACTGATGAAATAAACATTCGTATTGAATGCGTGTAAGGTATATATATATACGATTTACAATCATTATATCATCATTGCAAAAGTTAATGCTTGAATGTATATTTCACGCCTGACCGATGTTTCTTACGAAGATACAGCGAGAACGACGGCTTGTTGTTGTAAACATAGGTCGACCTACTGCGTAATATTTTTTTTCCGAGCAAGTTTCAAGAGTCTGACTCATCGATGCATCCACAAATACAAAAACTAACGTCTTTAATCAAGACAAAACTTTAAAGGAATAAAATAAAAGAAATTTATTGCAATGGTTCTCATTGGCGTGATTATGTCACTCATTTTCCTCGTAGTAAACCATTTGTTGACATTAATTATCTAGATCTTGAAGGTCAACGTAACCAATTGTTACCGGATCTGCTTTATGGCAGAAAAAAAACGACCCACAGAATGTATTCATTATCGATGATTTATATCAATCATCTGCAGACATCTTATCGTAAAAAGCGATTTTCTCTCCTTAATGAAGAATCGCTTGGTTTGAATTCATTCATTCAAATCGAAATACATCTATTTTCGAAGAATCAAGGTCTATTGATCAAAGAAGTCCTTTTATAGTGAGCATATTCCTTGTACGTCAGAGTAAAATTATATTGTCAAGAGTCAATGTAAATTCACTTGTTGTACTCTTTCGAAGTAAAACAAAATAAACACTGTAGAAAAGTCTTGCTTTGAAGAAATCAAAGGTTTCATTCATTCATTCATTTTCAAAAGCCTATCATCGATAAGCTGTCACATTCTTCCGAGCAAATCGAACGGCAGGTTTCACAAGTCTCATTTCGCGTCACCGTTTTACCTATGTTGTCTTTCAAGTAACGAACTAAACTGCATTATGAAATATAACTCATCTAATCGAAATATTTATCGACTTGTAATTCAATCGTGTCGCATAGCAGAATTTCGTGTCATTTTTTTTTCTCTTCGATAATGTAGTCTGTAAATAGAAGAACGAAAAAAAAATACAAACTATCGCCTCGTGGTAACGATGTCTATTACACTGATGGAGCAAGTAATAATTCTCAGTGTTTTGCTTTTGTCTGTTTCTATCAACACGCTTCTCTTGCGAGATAAAACAATTTTGCCAACGAGTATTTAGTTAATTGTATAAGAATAATTTCGTTTAGACTTATCCAATCGAACGCCGATGACGACTAAAGTTGAAAATATCCTGTTATTATCCACAATCGAAAGAAAACAACAACCGCAAGATGAACATGAAATATTTTTTGATCTAAAGAACAATTCTCTCGATTATACAACTCGTCAACGATATCCATATATATTGAAAAGGTAAATCTATTTATACATACATATATAAATGTCTAAGATAAGAGATACGAATCTCCATAATGTCGTTTCGTTCGGATTGTATAGACGAACTCGACTTTGTGTTGCTTTTCTTTCATATCGAAAAGATTTAACTTTGATAAGTTCGTTTTAATAGTAGACATCATTATATTGCACATATTTAAATCATTACAAAAGGTCGCAAAATATGATTAGAACAAAAAGAAACGCACCCTCAAGAATACTTTCAATACACTCGTAAAAATTCGATTATAAAAGATGTCCTTGACTCGCAATAGTTTCATATCACCTGAGTGAGAAAGCAAAAGATGAGCAAGAATAGGATATCAGTAGAGAGTTTCTCGTCAAGAATTCATCAAAGGTAAAATCGGCGATTTTCCATGTACTGAGATATTATTCATCGTTCTTTTCAGATTGATCAAGCCAATTAATCAAAGATGTCTGTACAAACATCTTCTTCTTTGGGTGATTCTTTTCGGATGTTTATTTATTCTTGCTGCTCCACTTGCTCTCCATTTTTCATATGCTTTACCAACCGTTAAATCACGAACGATACCGTTAAATGAGTTTAGTGAAGAACGTGCCCGTGATTTTTACCCAAATTTAACTCAGTACGGACCCCGGGTTAGTAACACACGAGCGGATTATCTGACACGCGCATTTCTCATCTCAGAAATCGATCGCGTTCGTGCAATGGCTCAGCCAAACATTCGATTTGAGCTCAGTTTACAGAATTTCTCTGTAGTTAAAACGAATGACCTACAGAATATTGCCGTCAGAGTATCCAATTCAAACTCTTCGCCAAACGCACCCTGTTTAATGCTAGCTGTTCACTACGATTCAGGTAAAGCATAAGTTCTACTTTGTGTCTTGTTGCTCGAACTCATAAATCTATGCTAAATAGTGGAATTCAGTCCGGGTGGTAGTGATGATGGTTCGGGCGTAACCATTCTACTTGAAGTTCTTTCGAATCTGATCAGCGATCCGACGATTACATTTTCTCAAGTCAATTTAATTATTCTTTTCACCGCAGCCGAAGAAATGTCTATGGAAGGTGCTAAAATCTTTATTTCGGATCACAAATGGGTAAATGATATACGTCGCTTTATGAATATCGATTCAACTGGTGGTCATGAAAAAGCCATCCTGTACCGTGTGAAACCATCGCAATTGATTAAAGATTATGCTCATGTCCCAAGACCACATGCAAATGTCATTGGTGATGATATTCTTGGAGCAACTGGATCGGATACAGATTACAGCATATTCACTAGGCATGGATCATTGCCAGGCTATGATTTCGCCTATTATCTTGACGGATATAATTATCACACATTAATTGATAGACCATCGATTGTGGAAATAGGTGCGTTGCAACATTTAGGTGAAAATATTTTAGCCTTGTCTCGTTCGATTCTTCTTGGAAAAGTCGATATTGAGCTACCAGTGAATATATTCGACGATGAGGATCTGGTTTATTTCGATATTCTTGGCCGACATTTGATAACTTATACGAAAACGACATCAGTCATCGTTCAGTCGATTCTTATTGGATTGACTATTTTAATTGGAATTGTTGTTATCGTTATTGATCATCTTTGGTATCGAAGATATTCTTCGAGTGATAATTCCTCTTTTTCAATCTATTTCTATTTTAATTATCCATTGATTCTCCGAATTATTTTCATAGTTCTCTTTCTACTTTGCTATCTTCTATCAATCATATTCGGTATACTTTTTGCTCTTCTTATTGCATTGATTACTTCAAAACTTCGGCCATTATCGTGGTATGGTAATTCCACATTGCCTGTTTTTCTTTATGGTCTACCGTGCCTGATTGGTATTATCCTTGTCGAAGCTCTCTGGTCATGTTTACGTCGATCAATTCTCTCGAAATATCCGAAAAAGAATCCAATGGAATTGAACACAATCAATTACATTGATCGAAATTGTTTTAATTTCGAACGTCATCTAGCCTTACTATTATTTTTTGCTTTTCTCATGTCAATTTCGATCTATCTCGGTTTCCGATCACTCTACGTCTTTCTTCTATGGTCTATATTTTTATGTCCCATTTACTTAATCATAATCGTTATTGAATTTAGTTTCCGATGGATGAAAAAACATGTAGTCATTCTCTTTAATGAACAAGGATGGTATTGGCTATTTGTACCTTATATCGTCACGCTGATACCGCTTATTCATACGTTGGAGATGACGAGTCGTCTCGTTCGTTTAGCGATACCAATGATGGGTCGAGCAAGTATATCCGCCATACGCTTTCCTCAAGATCTTCTTATTTGTGCGTTGGTTGTCATACCAGCAGCGATATTTTTCGTGATATTTATACCAAATATTCAACGAACGTTGAACTATAGTCGAACATTGATTCTATTGGCAATTAGTTGTCTCATTGTGTTCGTTATTGCCTGTACACGACAACCATTTAACAGTACGCATCCAAAAATCATCGACGTTGCACATAGTTCACGTGTAGTTTATAAATTACTCAATACCAATCATTTTCCAACTGAGATTCCTGTTTACTCGTCGCATGCATCGATTCAACTTGAATCAATGGACCTTCTCAATCTGTCGCCAACGCTCGATGAAATTTCGCGTCGAACTAGTCTCACCTTAAATAATCGTGAATGTTCATCGTCAACTAGCTGTTCATTTGATGATGCGTTCAATCGCACCATGCCATTCAAACAAGTCGAACTCACTTCCATAGATCGATACAACAACTATCGCTTTACTTTTCGACATGCCTCGTCTTATCAAATCGACGTGACTTCATCCTATGTAGTGAATTTCAATGTGCACAACTCCTCCGTCAAACCACGAATGGAAACGATTGTCGATGTTCAAACTTCCAATCCGTCATATGCGTTTGATATTCAAATCACGTTGCACCGATGTGATTTGCAAGATTCACCCTTCCTACAATCTCTAACGAAACATTTGCCTCATATTGTTATGTGGGGTCATGGTTCCTGTCGATCGCTGAAAGACGAACTTAATTTAACAGTCAATTTTTAAAAATGAAATCAATAATACTCCGTTTTTCTTTTGTCAATACTCACTACCAATTGAAATCGAAATCTTTTTATTAATAAAAAAACAAACAAACAAAGAATTGAGAGAGAAAAAATACTGTCTAAAAGGTTGGTTATCCAGCGAGTGCCTGACAAGGTTTTAACGGAGACGTTTGATTAATTTCATCGTTGAGTAAATCGAGAAAATATTTATCAAGAAAAATGTTTTTTATACATCCGCGATAGGCGTGACAATGTTGTTCATTATATGCACAGAGATGTTGATAACCACCAATATGAATATAGGTCGGATATGGACGAAATTCCGTGATACGACTGGAAGAAATCACACGACGGGGATAGTTATCATCGAGTTTCATTGTTATTCGACGACGATATCTGAAAATATAATCGTGAGCTTTTGTTGATAAAGATGAGAAATCAAACCTTTCGATCTCAATACGATGCCATTGACCGTCGTCGACTCGAATTTTTGTCAGAAGGAAAACTTCATTGGAATCTCGATCAAGTTTAGCTGTAAATTGTAGAAAACCATTAACGATCGTTAATGACATATATTGAGAAAAAGCGCTGAGTGTTGTATTTCCAAGATAAAATATTAAACCATACGAATTCGTCGTTCGAAATTGCAGTTTAAAGTAATTCCGATGGAAATTCAATGGTAAATACGAATAAATCAAGTTCTGTTTTCCATCTAATTCAATTGACATTTCGTTTGACATCGATTGTTTTGATCGTAACTGGCATGTATAGTTATTCAATTCAATTTGTTGACAAATCTCATCGAGTGCACAAGGATTCGGATGGCAAGGGTAACCAACATATTCACTTATGTTGTATAATTCAATTGCATCTTGACGAATATCTTTCAATAAATGATTATTGACAACAATCTAAATGCGAAATGAGATTAGCGAGATTAATAAAGATTGATTCGGGTTACTTTTTGTATGGCACCGTGAAATCCTTCGAAGAGAATCGAATTTGGTAACATATCGAAGGAACGATATTGAATTGGAAGATTGCCAATGAATGTGAATGAACGTGGCCAGAGCATGTTTATAGAAAATAGTTCATAGGTGACAACAGGAGGTTCCTGATCGACAATTAAAGTTAATTTTTGACCATAAATTTCAATGATCGCTTGATGCCATTTATTCAACTCGATCGGATATCGAGAGCTAAAAGAACATTTTTTGAGTAGGATATATAGATTTTGATTTCGATGAATATTACCTAAGTGATATTGTTTTACTTGCAATCATAATAGTACAGATGACCATTCGTCTTTGAATGGAAATAGTAAAATATCCTTTTTTCGCGTTTACATGATCACTGTAGATGAGTAAACCTAAACGAACAGGATGCTTTCGGAAATATTGATTCTAACAGCTGATCAGACCTAATGAACTTTCGGTTAGAAACCAGATTTCCAATGTAAACTTTCCCGTATGTTCAATAGGTGCCAGCGGAGGACGTTTTACATAACTATTTGAGTAAAATCCAGCGATATATTGATAACCTAATCAAATAAACATTACATTGTGCAATAACAATTCCTAATGAACAAACTTGAAGAGCAATTCGAACAAATACACGTATAATTATTTGGATACACATTAATACATTGTTGATCATAAGTACATGGTTTTGTTGAACATCGATCAATGGATGATGTCAAACAATCAGTATTTGATGACGATAGGTAATCATCGCACACACATTTATAACTGTTTGCATCATTATTTCGTATTGGCATACAACGAGTTTCGTTTTGACATGATGCAATACCTGATCGACATGGATTTGCGATGCATTCATCTATCAAAATCAAATAATTAGATAGAGCAAATAATCGAAGTCGGAACAAACCAATATTTTGCGCACTGAGAATGGTATGATGATCAGAATTATTGAATGTTAATCGTCGACCGTTGATGGACACTTCGTGGATACATCCTTGAAACCCTTCATCAAGATGAAAACGTTGATAAAGACTATGAGATAATGCAATTACAAAATAGAAATTCAAATCTAAAGAAATCACTTACGAACGAAGAGAATCAGGTAAACCTCCGAGATACAGTGTACTTTTAAATGAACTACCAAATGGTAATAATCCTTTAAAAAAAATTAGACTTTTATGAGAAGTTTCATTCGATTCAAAACAATTTTTACTTGATGAAATATTTCCATCATTCAATCGTGCACGTATTTCATTATGTAAAATATGTACTTGTAGACGAGCATATTTATCAAGTTCAATCATGTCTGATAATTGAATTGTCGAGATAAAATGATCAAGACGAACCCTTGAGAGATGTGAAATCGAATTTTCATCAAAAGAGACAAAAGCATTCGTACGTTATATCAAGAATTCTATTTCGAATGGAGATAATGAAGTAAAATTCGGTTAATTTATCATCAGCATAAAGAAGTAGACCATTTTGATGTTCAGACGCAAATATGAGATCAATACGAAGAAGTTGATTTTCGTTTGGTTTAGTAGCGATTTGAAACTTCAGTTCAAAATACGATTGACGATTGAAATGTGGAATTGTCACTTCGAATCCTTTCGAAGAAAAGTGTACAATAAAATATAAAATATTCAATGGGAAAGAAATAACAAGAGATACCGTCGATTTTGTATGAAAAAAAAGCTCTTACTTTCATTACAATGTCGTCCCTGCCAACCGAATGCACACAGACATTTGTAGTTTCCATCTGGTCGATCGATACAAGTTGCTTGATTCTCACATGGAGTACGTCGGAGACAAGCACCCATAGTTGTACGACGAACGGGATTAACTAGAAAGGCAAAGAGAGCAGTTTCTTTTTCTTTTATGTTTTGAACAATTCTTTACTCACGTGTATAATTTGTGGCAACGAGATTTGAATGAGCTAAAATTAATAGAGTTAATTGAGTTATCAGAGAAATGTCCTTTGTCGCAAAGCGATGGTGTTTATTTTGCGCACAGACATACACTAAACAACAAGAAGATCAGCTTACGCGCCACGCATCGTGGTCCTGGTATTCGTTTGTATTTCTGTTTGGCACATTCACAAAACTCCGACAGACAAACCATATTTTCTCCACAATCAGAATTCGTTACGCATCGTTCTAAACGAGGTCAGTTTTTTTCAAAATTCAACAGAACAAAATCAACTATCTCACTTGAATCAACGGGCATCATCGGTGATGAGTAATCAGGTGAAATATCTTCTTCCTCTTGCGTTGAGAAATCTTCTTCCATCTGGCTGTATTCCTTTGATGAACTATCAGTTGCTAAATTACATAACCAGACATTATCTTAATTCTGATCAAAAACTATCGAATATCTTACCTGTACAAACACCTGGATAAATTAAGCCAATTTCGTATTGTTTTAAGCATTGTTGTTTCTTGATTGTACATTTCGATTTATAAGTTCGTCCGTCCGATGCACATATATCCATTGGACGTTGCTCATCAGTTGTACATGTTACATGATGGCATGTGCAACGAGGATGACCATGTACGATTTGACATACACCTTCAAAAAGACACTCAAGATCTCGACATGATCGTGGACGACGACGACTTTTATGTACTAGAAATAGTATTATATAATGTAAAATTTAGATTTCTATTCGATTAGAATACGAACTATTGATACATCCACGTTCCGTCAATGTCAACGATGAATCAATGCATTTATCACATTGACGACCTGTGGCAAATGAATGGCAAGCGCATTCACCAGTATCTTGAAGACAATCCTTTCGTGTTGAACCATATGGATGACAACCACAGGCTATGAATATTTTCATTGAAGACTATTCGTTATGCTAATATCAAGCGAAACTTACGAGTACATCCTGTATTATTATGTGTCAGGATACGTGAAAATCCCCAATATTCATTTTCACAATGCGAACAACTCGATCCACCGACCGCTGGCCGACAGTAACACGCATTTGTCATTGGATCACATGAAGATTGTAATGATCCAGTTGAATGACAGTGACAATATTCTGAATGAATAGAAGAAATGACGAAAACTGTTTTCTGCAGACTGATCTTCTCACCTGGACATCCACGTCGATCTAGACTAGGTGAAATAGTAATATTATCATTACAACAACCATATGGCGAGTCGAAACAAGTTAAACCCATCATTAGATGTGGAACAGCAACTACATTCCAAAAGAAATCATTGATAAACAAAGTAGGAAAACGAAATTCAATCGCTTACCGCATTCTCGTTTTTTTCTTGCTGGTACAAAATTTTGTCTTGCACATTCACACAGACCACTTAAACACACCATATTCTTGCCACATTGACTATTCGATGAACACGTTCGATAGGGTAGTATAGCCGTTATAACTAAACAACACGATTGATTCAAATCGAATGATCACATTGTCTCTGATTTACCTCGAACACAACATCGATTGGTTTGCGGATTACAATAGCTATTCATCGGACAACGTCCAAGAGTGTCACATTCCGTATTACGGTTCAATATCGCGTCGAATAATGGTTCATCATAATTACATTCGCGATTATAATCTATTGAAAACAAGAGTCAAAATTGAAATGAAAAATGTTAAAATCTCGTTTACCAGGATCGTTTGTTTCTCGAGTACAATACTGTGGTGCGATAGCGTAGAGATGAGTTTGTAGTTCACATGATCGAATGTTCATTTCACATTGACTGGAAAATAATTGTTGATTACTTGCACAGATGGTGTATGAGTCATCATTCTAAAAATCGATTTATCAGATGATTTGTAATAAAAAGCTAAGAAAAATGTTAATTGCTTCTATCTCTTTAATTACATTTCTTTTTGTCAAAGATTATTCACATATCATTCAATGATTTATTCTATTTTCTTATTAATTATTCTCAAAATCGTCACGATCACAAGCACCATCAGAGTTACATAACCACACTCAATCTCCGATGAATTCGACATCGAACAGACAAAGTCATCAATAGAACATGTTACTTAGAATGACATTTAGTAACATTAGTTTTCAATCAAGTAATCATATTTTATATCTCGAACATTTCTCTTCTCTTCGAAACGCCAAATCTACAACTGAACAAATCAAGAACATACTCGAGTAGGTGGACATGTCTCTTTCGATGGACAATTGCAACTGTAATTTCCCTGTTCCGATCGACATTCACCAAAGAATGGACACGTCACATTATGACAATTGTTACACTCTCCCATATGAATCGGTTCTATGTTCGAATGGCGCGTACAGGCATCATATTCCAAATGACATTTCGATCTAAATGAAGTTTTCGAAATCAACACACGAACGTCAACGATTCCCGATCACTTACGAGTACGTGATGCCGTTGTTACCACAAATTTTGTCATGATCTGAGTATGGTCCTGAACATTGTGTACATTCACATTTCACTTGACCATTGTCGTTTTTTCGGCATTGTCCATATGGACAATGGATGGTTTCACATGTTGATATACCTAAAAATATTTTGCGAGATTTAATTGTCTGAGGGTGTCTCTCTGTCTCTCTCATTTCATTAATTTCTGTTCTTTCTCAGACTTTGTTTTGTAATCAAACATTGGAACTACGTAGTAATATTGACAATTAATCAGAAGTAAAATGGGCATAAGGGAAAAAAAAGAAATCTTTGTTGATTAAGCAAATAGGCGTGTGTAACTTACAGTAGGAATGATCAACCGGTACAATGTTCTCTTCACGAAGACAACGATCACGTTCCAGTTCACATAGATTTCGATAGATGATTCCATTTGATCCACATACCTTGAGAGAAAAAAAAAGAGAACTTTCCGAGCATTGTCTTCTCTGTAGTGTATCGTTTTACTGTGTTTTCTTGTGATGAACAATTGAATAAACATCGACAAACACCAATACCATTTTCGATCATACATGTTTTCCCATTAAAACACATAAGTGGTTTACAAGCTGAAAAACCACAGAGAAGGAAAACTGTGAGTCAATCGCAGATCTCTTGGGAGTACTTGACGCTTAAGCAAAGGACATGGAAGAGAAAAGAAAAAGGAAAACTGATTGTCGAGAGACATCACTATCGATTAATGCAAATTAGCTAAGAAGGGAAAAGAATCATTCGGTTTCTTTTCAACAAATTTGACAATAATCGAAAAATGAAGAAGATCGATGGGTGAACATTTAACCTCGAGAACAAATCAAATCAGTCTCATTCTCTCTTATTTCTTTTACCTTCTACTAATCGTTGTTGTTCGAGTAAATCGCACGAGCCAACATGCAATTTACTTAAATGTATATTTGATTGACATGCATATTTATGCATTTCACATTCATTCGAATACTCTTGAAGATTACTTGCACATACTGGATGATATTCCGCTGAACATTGCGTGTGAGGATTGCATTGATTTGCATTTGGAGGACAATTTGCGTGATGACAACCTTCTAAATATAAAAGAGATTTTTCTCCGTTTGTTTGTTTGTTTGTTTTTCCCTTCGAAGAAATACATACGACATTCGCCAGTGTATGCCACAGTTAGATTCTCTCGAGTTCGACATGCTTTTTTATTTAAATCACATACGGTTTTGTATGTTTGATTATCCGTACCACAAACGGGTCCATCGGATGAACTGCCATCATTGTATTCATTGCATTCGTCTGGACAAGAACAGTAAGGCAAACCATTAGTGTCCGTTTTGCATTTTGATCCATCGAAACATGTCATCGACGAACAAGCTAAATCTTTTAAATGAAGACCATCTATCATCATCTTTCGTGATAGTTACCTTCTTTGGACACTAGCGATTGGTAATAAGTGTTACATCTTGTTCTGTCTAGTTGACATTGATTAGGATAAGTTATTCCAGTGGTTTCATCGCGAATAGATTGACCCTGGTCATTACAATTAAATAGACACCGACATTCATTTTCCAAAGTACATGTCGCGCGAAATTCGCATTCTGTTCGTCCATATTGACATGCTGGAAAATACACACATTCACTCTCCAAAAACAATGAACAGTTTTACTTACTCCGTGCAGACCGAAAGTCTTGTAACGATTGATCTAATAAAAATAACAATCAAATCATGTTTCTCTTTCCAAACACAACTTACTAGAAGTAAACTCAGTACTATTACTATCAACTGCAATAAAACTTTTCCTTTGAGTACCTGGAATATTTCAGAATACCAAATAAGTATACTCGAAAGCGGAAAGAATAAAAGAGAAAAGCACCTGTCTTAAGTGTTCTGTAAATGACAATGGCAAGGAACAACGCGGCCAACAATATGATAACGCCAACAAAGATAAGGATAATACGTAGAAATTTCCGATTTTTCTCCTGTTGCTGCTGATCAACAGCAACCACGTAAGATTTACCAGTTACTGTGCTCATTGGCACTGCTAATAAGACCGAGCATAACGAGCAATAACAGACGATTGTCGTTTTTTTTTTATATTCTTTTTGTGTAGTTATGTGGACAACAAAAATCGTGTTCTTTCTCTCTCTCTTTCTCCCTCTCCTCCTTCTTTGTCTACAAAAGTGATCGTTCGTGCTCGGTCGCTCGTTCGCTCGTTTGCTCTACGGAACTCTTTAATGTCATTAGTTTCTCTATCCTCTCAACCGATTTTTTTACTAGAAGAAAAGAGAAAATCTATATTTATATGTGTATATATCCAAGAAAGAGAAAGAAAAAGAGATAAGCACAGAATCGAATCAAATACGCTGAATTCAATCAATTTCTTTTTCGAGATTTATAGAAGAAATCATCTTCAGTGTTTCCCTTCGCTTCTCTCGTCTCGTTCTGTTCATCAAACGACAAACATATACTCAGCAATGAAGACGACTGGTTTGACATGTCATCGTCTTGAAGAAGGAAGAAGGATAATGTGCCTCAAAATAAATGATCTTCAATTGTGGCTGACGTCTTTCTCTCTCAATCAACGACAACATATCTATACAACTCCGGAAATATGTCGTTCGTCGTTGAGCATCTCGGCCTCTTAATTCAATCACAGTTTTGATGAGTAACGACTAGGATAGAGTGGAAACAAGAGAACCGATACGGACCATCGAGATTACAACAGTCTCCAACTGGACTAATACAAAGGAATCACTAGACAAAGACAAAAGGATTAGATTTAATTGTAAATGAATTTAAAGCGAGACAAGAAAATTAATATATGTAAATATGTTCCCATATATTCGGAGAGAAAACAATCTTCACACATTGAATATCATATAATGTAGTCATGATTCAAATACAAAAGAAATCTATTTCAGCTTGGACTTGTAATTCAATTAAAATTCTCGGAATAATCGTTTTTTTTTCATTTGCTCGATCAACAATACTCCCGTTTCTTTGACCAAAGGCTACGAAGTTCTTCTTAGTCTTGTAGCTCGAGAGCGAGAGAGTACAAGAAATGAAGAAAAAGAATCTGAGATAGCGATCAGATTACGTCGATAGTGTTGTTCATTAGTTCTCTGTAAACGATGACAAGTGTAACCGGAAAAAAGAAGAAGATTGGATTATTTCTTTCATTCTGTTTCTTTTCACAGTTCGATTCGGTGTCGCTTAGACGCTTTGGGAATGAAGATGATGAGGAAGAGGCCGAAGGACTCGCTCATTTATTTGAAATTGAGGGAGTGAAGATTGCATCATTGTGAGTTTTCTCTATATACAACTATCTCATCAATCTCTATGTAATAGAACGATGATTGCACTAGTGTCAACTAATATCGACATTTACTGAACGTGTGTAAAGACGTCGAACGATGACAATTGCTAAACTTTCCATTAATCTTTCTTTGCCAGACAGAAATCTCGCAAACAAAAATTATCGGAATAAATTAAATAACTCATTTTACCCTCGATTGCCTTCATATTGGTTAGAGTCACTGGTAATGGTCTAAACAATGATTGAAACCGTGCATTATTAATACGAACTCCAAATATTTTCATATCATAATATGTTAATGCCGATAGTTGTTCGCAGATCGTCAAATTATCAATGATTATGTATAATGGTCGTTCGAGTTCTCTTGTTTGATAATGTGCGAGTAGAACAGAGGTACCGCGAAGTATACGGAAAACCCAAACAAATGCTGAGTACGGATAATCCGTTGACCATTGATGAAGTGAAAGGATTCGACCAGTAAAAAGCACCTCGCTTTCATCAATTTTCAAATGATCAATATTCGTGCATGGTTGAACGGAAAGAATTAATATCGGAAAGTAGAAAATCCAACCGATTCGACGCATTGTTTTCATGAGATTAATGAACTTGCTCTTGGATTCGGAACAAATCAATAGACTAGAATCAACAAATACCAAAAAAAAAGAACTGTCTGAGTATGTGTGTGTGTTTCAAGTTAATCAATCTAGTCGAGTTTCTATGTTTTCTTTACATTCATTATTATTATTTGTTACTATCAGAAAGGAAAGAGAGAGAGATGCACGACCGGGCATGATCTGAAATCTTTTATGTATCTATGTCAGACAATGACATTGAAGTAAGCATAAAATTGATTAAACCTGTAGAAATGAAAGGAAACGAAGGAGTTTTTGGAGATGATTTAGTACATGTCGGCATCGAGGGTTGTGCTCTTCTTTTTTTTTCTTTTTCAGACGGGTCTACATGAGCTTCATACACGAAAATGANCGCAGCATTTGGCATCATCAAAAATTAATCCTGGATTAATCATATTTCGATGTGTATCTGTGTACGCTTATATTTTTTTCTAGTGCCGGTGATCAACAAAAATGGATAATCCAAATGAAACACTTGCTACGCTTCTAAATGCGCCCATACACGCTGATTATGCTGATTACTTCAATCCATCACACTTGCAATATCATCATCACCATTATTTTCATGGTGCCAATCGAATGTATCAAACACCAACCGCATCTTACTTTACACCTGAACAGTTTGATACTCAACAACAGCAGCAACAACAACAACAACTGACTACTGATCATCATTCTCATCAACTATACTCATCATCAACAGCAAATCCAAGTTATTTGTCACATCCTTCTGCGGCAGAACTTTATCATTCTCAATATCAATCATCAGCATCATCATCGACACTTCTTACACATTTACCCAACTATGAAACTTACACGTCACCAGCCCTTCTAACAAACATTGATCAACAACAACAGCAGCTTCAGCAATCACATCAAAAGTCGAATCTGATCAAGTATGAACCTGATCAGGATCTGAGCAATAATTTAAGTGATCAAAGCGGCGGTGAAGATCTCGGTTGTAATGACGATGAGAAGAAATCATCGAATAGAAAGTCGAAATGCAACACTTCGGCGAATAATAGTGCAAATGGTCGACAACGTCGTCAACGCACACATTTTTCTAGTCAACAATTAACCCAACTAGAGCAAACCTTCACAATAAATCGGTATCCTGATTTAGCAACACGTGAAGATATTGCGGCAATGACGAATTTAACAGAAGCGAAAGTTCGTGTTTGTAAGTAGTAAAACAAAGACATATTTCATTCAAAAGTAGCAAACTATCGCGATTACTTTTCTTCAGGGTTTAAAAATCGTCGTGCTAAATGGCGTAAACGTGAAAGAAACATGGATCATCTACGAAACTTTTCTCATATTGTTCCACCGTTTGACATGTACTCTCATCATCAACCACCTCCATCATTCATGTCCACTTATCCTACAAATCCGAATTGGGATCCAATTAAATCACCTTGCAGTCCAAAGTCTTCCCAATCATCGCCCAATCCATCCAGTTCATATCAACCATCAACCACAGCAACAACAGCAGCAGTCGCCGTAGTCACTAATTCGACTCCTTGGACACTTCCACCAATGACTTCATTAACCCAACCATTGCCTATAACAAATAATTATAGTGATACATCATCACCAGCACCTCCTAATGCAACGATCACATCGTCTTCATACTATTCTCTCACAGATACCAATCCGAGTATGTATACGCATAATACCAATCTTATGGAACCTCTCTCGTCTCATCCATTGACACAAGTTCTTAAGAATAAAGCAAAACAAAATGGCTCTAGTTTTCAGTTGTACGAAAGTTCAATAGCAGCACAGAATGGATTCTTCTCGGAAACAAATTAAATTAAAATCCTTTTGTGATATCCAAAACAAAGAAAGACAAGAGCGTTTTTGGCTTTTTCTCTGTTTTATATATATGTTAGTTTCGTTTTTCTCTGTCTCTAACACACACATTCTCGTTTTTTTTTGTTTTGTTGTGCCTTTTCTTTTTGACCAATGTTTCATTTTTGCTGCGCGTGCGTTTATTTGGTGCATATAAAGAGAAAAAAAAATCGAAGAAATCTCTCGCTAACTTCACGCTCAATGTTGAACATAGGTGAGAAGAAGATGCAGAGGAGAATATTCATTTCCGTTTTCTCAACAAAAGAAATCAACTATGCCACAGCGAATCGTCTCTGTTGATTTATTTAATTTTCCCTTCATCGATAAAACGGAATGATTTCCGTTTGGACTCTTCTCCTATTGGTTTACGCACATTTCTATTGACTTAGTATGGGTGTCATAATGGAAAATAGAGAAGAGAAGAGAAAGAGTATATCACAAACGAGAATAACAACGACGCATCATCATACTCATTCGTCTTCGTTGTCGTTTTCTTTTCATTACATACACTAATCCCTTGGCCCTGCTAAGCATTGGGCAAATGTTGAATCGTTTCGGCCGCTTGTTCGTTCTATGACCAGACGTGTACATCTACACCTATGTTGTTTTTCATCTCTCATGAATATCAAGATTGGATGTCACTCGATATTCAACAAAAAATTCGATTCATTCGTCAATTTTTCTCGTAATGATTCTCAAATCAAAAATAAACCTTCGTTCTCCTCTCATCTCATCCTAATGATTATTATGCAAATGAGTATTGCATAGACATTCGAAGTTTCCCGTCTGTCGATCTATATCGCTCATGCAAATTACTTTTCACAAGAATAATTTCTCCTGATTAAGACTATCAAAATCCGAAAAAAGAAGACGAAACAAATTCAAAAATGACTTACCGAATTCGTACGCAAGTCGCTCCAGTTATTTTTAATACTGAGTAGGAAACATAGGATATATTTATATATATATATATATATACATGTGTGAGCTTCACTATCGACCACTAAATCTGAATGCTAATACAGTATGGTGATCATGGTCGTAATCCTTCACCATCGTTCGTGTGTACTTGCGTGCGGCTTTAGACTAAAACCTTGAGCTCTCCTTCCTTTCTCTCCTTCTCTTTCTAACGCACATATTCTTCTTTTTTTTTCTTTTAACGATACATATAGATATTACTGACGAACAAATATTGAAATAACTAAAAACTTGAAAGAAATCAATTCTCTTCATTTCAACTAGTTGTTAATTGAAATGCGAAATTTGTTGAATGTTGATTATCAGATCATGAATATCGAATTTCTTATTGGATCGGGAAAACAAAGTGCAATGAACGAAATCAAGGAATGTGCCGCCAACGTTTGTTTCAGCGAGATTTTGTTACCTATTGACAAAATGCTAATTTCAACTTGAATCGAACACTTTTATTTCGTTGTTCAGTAAGCAAATCTTATGTCATTGAACTTAGGAAAAACTGCAACATAAAAAGACGACGATTGAATATCATGTTCGGTATGCGGATTGACTGACACTGTTTTTCAAGAGAAAGAAAACGCGTTTGTTTGAAAAGTCATCTTCGACTAATCGTCGAATGTTTGATTAAAACAAGTTGAGAATCCCATGCTTTTCTCCGATTGTTTCCTATTGACACCCAAAACATTTGTTAGTCATCATAATATGCAAAATATTTCAAGCGAACGGATATAACCATACGATCGAGCAGTTTGTAAACAAACGGTAATTCTCATCCGAATGATGCATGATTTAATGACATCGATAATTGTTAAAGGAAGAAAAGGAATGGAATTCTTCTTCTTTTAACTAAACAAGCAGTATTTGTGATAAATGACATCTGTTAGATAATGTATTAGATGTGTGTATGACAAGTTGGTTTTGTTGAAGGAAAAAGAAAATGAGAGAATGTTTGTGAAACAATTGGGAAGGAAAGGATTTGCGCGCGTTAATCCGAGAAAAAGAAAACATTGTGGATTGTAAAGAAAGTGTCTTCTAGATGAGAATTTGCATAGAATGGAATATTATGTCGACAAAATCATCGGAACTGAATTTCAACGAAAGATCCTTGACAATCGTCGAAAGCATTTAGTTATAAATAGCCCCAATTTTGCAAGTACCATCGGAATATTTTCCTAGATAAACCAGACTTGGAAAGTCATTTACTGCTTTTTCGATTAATTTCATATTAATTGTGTAAACTGATCACAAAACACGACATTCACACTTCAATACAATTCACCGTTCTGAAATCTCATCATCTTTTTCTCGACAATGTGCAATGATCAACGAACATATGCTATTCGATACACCCTCGCCAAGGTTAATTATACATTTTATCACCAAGACCATATTGCTTCTTTTCTCGTCTTCTTCTTTTTCTTCTTCAGCGATCTGCTTGGCGCGTGTCTTTCGTCGTCTTCTTTGCGGTTTTTTATGTACATCCTTGATTTTTCTACATATGGCATGACAAGGCCGTTCTTTTTTTTTTCTTCTTCATCCATATATCGACGACCAATCTGTTGTCAAAAACGCAGAGGAAAGAAAGGTGTTGCCTGTTCAGACGGCGGTCGTCGGAGTGCAAATAAGAAGAAAAAGAAAAACCACAGCAAGTTACTAAGTTAGTGTTACATGAGAGTACGTGCATGGTACAGCGTCAGCTTGTGCAACCGTCGGATAGGTCATTGGCGAAAGAACACAAATACAAAAATCACGCCCGAATTCCCTTTCTTTTTTCTCTTCCTTCTTTTCATACATCGGTCATACGGTCGTTCAATACCTTCAAACAACCAGATACTGTTTGCATTGAAAAGTAAATTTTCGCTCGATTGTAGATTTATTTTGTACCTTAGACTAGAAATCATGCAACGTATGAATTTTGAATCTATGCCCGATGAGATTTTCTTAGAAATCTTCGATTATGTATCCGGTTGTGATTTGATATACTCATTTTATAATTTAAATCAACGTTTCAACTCGATTATACATGGTATTCGTCTCTTTCTTGATTTATCATCTGTCCAACAAAGAGCTTTTCTTTATACTTGTCACAATATTTTACCGAACTTTTCTTCTCAAATCTATTCGATGAAATTGTCGAATAAACAGACAATTGATGGGATTAATTATTACATCGAACAGAGCAAATGTCTTCAACAGGAACAAGTAAAAGTTTTATCTTTAATCGAACCCACAATCGAACAATTCATCAAATTAATTTCATATTTTCCTTCGATCAAAACTTTAATAGTGAAAACAACGGATTATTTAGTTTTACCAGTTGAATATCTTGCCAAGTCCTTACGTGTATGTCGCATAGGCAATTGTCAAATCGATTTATCAGCATTGGATCAAAGCGACAGTTCGAGCTATTCGATTGAAGATTTACATGTGAAAATGTCGGACATCAAACATCTTTTTACACTTTTAAATTCAATGATCTATTTAAGACGTTTGACATGTCATATATCTGAAAATTCCTCGAGTCAAAACACAGTTCTTCGATCTGACAAACCGCTGATGTTTTTGAATTATCTCAAACTCAATGTTTCTTCAGTTCCGTTTAGATGCATCGAAAATCTTCTCGATATGTGCCCGAATCTAACAGCTTTTACTTATACTTACGCGACCGGTACGGAACCGTCGCATGACAACGAAAATACCGATTATGACCGTTGGAACGAGATTTTCACGAAGAAATTGTTTCGTCTGAAAACATTTGACCTGCATATTTCGTTGAATATCGACCAGCAACGTGATTTAATATTTCTGACGAAAAAATTTCAAGATCTCGCTTTTTTTCAACAAAATCATATTCGAATTATATATGAAATCACCTCATACAAACACATCATCTGTACAATCCCATTAATCAAATCGCATTTAACAAATTATTTGAATAAATCATCATTAACGAATATTCCGAATGCTTATTCGCGTATTCGCCATTTCGATTTAGTTCTAAACGAAACAATTCTCAATCAACAACAGCACACAATACGATGTCCACTCGTTCATTCGTTCTATTTAGGTTTATATGAAAATATTGCCCCAATCGAACAACAATCACGTCTACTTTTGAATCAATCGATCTCATTTGTTTATCTAAAACATTTTGAACTGTATGGAACATGTATAGCAGATGGCTTTGTCGCTCAACTATTATCCAAAATGACAAATTTAAATTCCCTAACATTGCCATTGAGCCATTTGATGTCCTGTCAAATTAACGAGACAATTTGTCAGAATATGAAACGTATTAAACGCTTACAATTAGCCTTAACTGAAAGTTTATCATTCGATTGTATTAACAACATTCTCATCCCAAGTTTTCCCAATTTAAATTCGATGAGTTTCGCGATTGATAACAAAAATCATTCGTTTGAAAAAATTCTCTTAGCCATGCTCGGCAAATGTGATAACGAGAAGAACTTTTTAAAATATTTGATGTTCTTAGAAATTTTCGCGTTGGATCAAGATTGGAATCAAGATCTATTGAAATCATTGAAAGAATTTATTCGGTACAAAGATAATTATCGGTTTCTCTACATTTGGTTGTAATTGGATTTCGACATATTTTGAGCTTTCAAATAAACATAGGTTGATTTGCAATCGATTTTCGTCATTCTTGGACTCGATCTCGAGGCGTATTGATTAGCAGACGTTGCTTTTGCATAAATAAGATATACAATAACGAACTATAGACAAAGTCAATAAACATCCTTGTGTCAATAGGGTGAATAATGAAAACAGGAAAAAATGACCCAGTTTTCCCGAAATATTTGCAAAAAGTAATTAGAGAATAGCATGCGATAATTGTTTGTTTTCGGATGTAGTTCCAAATAGTGTCTTTAAAGCTATAGATGTTTTAGATTGCGATCGAATACTCAGAATGAAATCTTCTGTGCTCTAGAAAATGCCAGAATAATTCATATATTATGATTTATTGA